TTGAAGATGTCTGCCACACCATGTTGTGTTTGGGTAGTGTGCCAGTGATTGCTTTCACAGATTGCAGGTGATTTACTGCCGCCACTCTACACCCAAGAGCCCTCCGGGGGTACCCCAGGTTTCCTCTGCTCATGTTATTCAGGGGCCCCTGACGCCTCAACCCCCAAAGCAGTAAGGAGTGATGAGTGAGGTTGGGTGAATGTGACCCTGTGGGGCCAAGCCTAACCCTAACCCGTAACCCTAGCTTCATGTCCACACCCCAGCTCAACCCTAACCATTGCCACAACCCTAACCCTAACCCTAGCTTAATGTCCTCACCCCGGCTCAACCCTAACCCTAACCCTAACCATAGCTCAATGTCCTCACCCCGGCTCAACCCTTACCCTAGCCATAACCATAACCCTAGCTTCATGTCCTCAGCCCCAGCACCCTCTTGCAGTGACTTCTGATATGCTGCTAGGGGATACTGTGTAGATAAGGCAGGGTTGCACCATCCTCCTCCATCAATCTGATCACACCTCAAACACTGTCAAATGGGTCCTTCCTCTGATCCCTTTCCTGATCTTTATCCTCCCTCTTGCAGTTCCTCTCCTGCTGCCTTTTTGTGAGTTATAATGAACAAATGCCATTAGCTGATCCATACACATCTATGCTGAAGGAAGCACATTGATTTTTAATATTGATATATTGTAAATCCAGAAACATCACCCCATAGTGTTGCTAAGCAGCAGGCCAATGAGGCCAAGCACCCTCCCCAACATCACAGCAGTATCAGCCACCTTTGTACATTCCCCCATTTGGATCAAAATCCAGTCCTTAATCCTGCGTACTCCCACACCACTAACCCAGTAGGCCCCATGTGTCTCCCTTCAGACCACATGCTGCATCACTATCAATCCCCCCGGATGGAAAAACCCACTCACAATTTACCTAGTCTGTCATATTAGTTTAAATCTGGAGTCCTCTTTTTGTTATGGTCCAGTCTTCTTAACGTCCTGGTCCTCCTCCAGTGAGTGCAGGGTATGTGTGCTATGTTAGCCTAGTTTAAACAACAACTCTCTAACAGATGCAAATACAGCTCAACATAACTCAACATCCATGGCTCCACAGCCGGGTAACCCAGGTGGATCTTTTCTCACATGGCCTGGGGAAATATTTTCCTCTAATGCGTTTACATCGATGCTGTCCACAACCTATACATCTCATTAATGCTGTGTTTATCTTGAGCAGCCTTGAGGTCTGCAGGAATGTTTCCAACATACAGTGTATACCAGCCAAAGGTCAGCAGCCGATAAATGACAGATTAATTTACTACCTTGGGGTTGTTTTGAAGAACGTGATTAATTTACAAAGCTTGGATTGCAATCAAGGACACAGATGCTAATAGCTGTAAGTCACAGTGTCCAAGTGGTTTACACAACTCTGGTACTGTTGACTATGAACATGACCATGTTTATCATCTCTCTGTTGGTAGTAGAGTGGACAGTGTCATTCATCATGAACTGTAGACTGTTGGACAAGCAGCTTGGAGAGTGGTGGACACAGGACACACAGCACACTATCCAGTGGAATGTTACAGAGGTGGGGATCCATGCTAGTAGGTCAGCAGTCCTGTGAAGCCTCATTAAATCAAGCCAACAAACAGGAGGTTGATAACAGCCATGCAGCATATCCTGGAAGCCCCGCGGTGCTTCCTCCCGGACGCACAGCTATGGCCTCTTCCCCAAAGGACTTCACTACAGTAATTACTGTACTGCCTTCCTCAGAAATGACTTCCAGCCCCCACACAGATGTTGATTAAACGATGTGTGAGGGTGAGATGCGGGAATAGTCCAGCAGATCAGAAGGACTGAAAGGAAATGGAGCTGCCAGGCCTTGACTTAGAGACCACCGTTTAGGAGGATCTGCTGTGTCATTGAAAGGGTTGAGGAGTTGTTTACTGTAATTTGTGCAACATGTCCTCTTTCATTTCGCTCAGATATCAGGGGGAAACAAGGCAAACACAAAGTCACTCTGAATTACACTCCTTGACCGTAATCTGACCATAGTCTTTGACATTGTGGTTGATAATGGCACCCAATAACAGCAGAGAGATCTTCAACCAAATGTCACTGGAGGTTAAATTCAGCTGCTAGGAGCCCAACTGACCCTTTACACTCACTCACCCCACACATTGCTCCCTAGCATACTATAAATGCTTGTAAGGAGTGCAAAGTCCTAGCTACAGGGACTTCAGCCAAATACCTTGTTTTGAAGATCCCCTCCAACACACACACACACACTGAGGTCAGTGCGTAGAACATTGGATATCTCCAGCAGAGGAGACGTGGCTCTCCTCCAGGCTCCTTATGGATAGCAGCGGGTCGATACAGTGTGTTGCTCCTGCTGCTGATGCGGTGGGGCAGGATAAGTGTTGAGGCTGCATGTTCTCCACTGAAGGCCCTGATGTTTGTTGTGCATTAGTGGCTGGGTTACAAGACAAGTGAGGAATATTTGTTTCCCATCCTCTGCTGCTTCCCACAGCGTGAGTGGACCTGATGTGTACTGGATGCCCCAGCACTGCTCTGTCCATGTTCCAGTGCAGCCCTGGGCCAAAGAGTCTTTAGCTCAACAACAGGGTCACACACCTGGACTACTACAGTAACCCAAACAAACAGAGTCTGCAGCACACGGCAAGGACATCTTAAGCAGGAGCAGGGAGATGGAGAGTAGCAGCTGGCTGCAGGATGGCTGAGCCTGCTGGAGTCCTTATGCCAAGATACAGTGTTCTGGAGATAACAGCCACACATACAGACACACAAACAGCCATTCAGAGCCTCAAATTCAACGTAGCAGGGAGGAAATAAAAAATGTGTATTTGTATGACATTCAAACTGATGTGGTGCGTGCCAAGAGCATCAAAAGAAAAAGGCTAATGCCAACCGGCTGTGTTTTTAAGAGCAAACTGGAACAAACCCTCATAACATTTGGTCCTCCCTCTCTGCACTTTGAGGGTCGTTAAAGGGTGAGTGAAGAGCAACACTCCATCGTCACTGGGAGTAAAACAGTCATCAGCAGACCTAGCACCAGCCAGTGTTCACCCCTTGCTGATCTCTCTCTCTCTCTCTCTCTCTCTCATTATGGCAGGCCCAGTGATTAAACACAGCCTCTTGCCAGTGTTGGATGGCTCACTACTCTCAACATCAGGTCAATAACAAAGGCCCAGCCTGGGTTTGTGTGCTGAAGTAACACCATATGGCCTTACTACTGTATGTCTTTCTAAATGACAGAATCAGAACTTACCACTGCTTAAAGTGAGTATCTCAAACTTAGACATTCTTCCAATGGTTCATGAGTCCTTATTTCCAATGCGTCTCCATTTGTCTGTTCTCAATGTGGAAAGCTGCAAAGTACAAAGAGCAAGAGACCCTGATGAAGTGTCTAACATGATTATTTTACATCTATTGAGTAGCATACTGGTGTCATTATTGTGCCAACTCAAATCTGCAGGCCTACAGTATCAGCATACCATCTCTGTGTTTCCTAAGGATAAGTGATTGTTTTAACTGAGTGGGAATCTGTTCCACCCCATTCCTGCATGTCTGTACCCACCAGAGGCAGACCAAGGCCAGTTCAGATCGTGTCTGTGGTCAGTGAAGTTGTTCCAAAGATAATGAGCCTGGGTGGCCTAGGTCTCTATTCCATTCATGCCTGCTATGGACCTCAGCATGCCTGTCATGTCACCTGACTGCTCCAGTCATGTGACCTGGCTCAAGCTGTGTTGCTGGACAAGATATGTTGCTGTATTTGGATTGCTGAGAAATAAGTATTTATGCTCAATTGCTTTAGGAACATGTTCCTACTACCTAGGAACATGTACCTATTGTATCTACTATACCCAGTGTACAAAAGAAATTCAAACTATTTCAAACTTTAATTATTTTCAAATTGTGCAAAAAAAAATACAAAACTCCATCAAATGCCTATAAACACCATACAAACTAGACAAACAAACAAAAATAACACACCACATATAATTTTCAAAGATACCTTTACAGCATAGAGAACAGTTCAGAAAAGACAAATCAAAGTATTTACACTCCATTTCCCTAGCTGTACAAACCATTAACATTTCCCTTAAGATTTCCCAAGTTCTATAAACCTAGCGCAGCGACAAGACTGAGGTAGCCTAGAAAAACGTAGAAAGATGAAAACTAAGACAAAGAGAGAAAGGCTGCACTGCTGTCCTGTATAGATAGATAGATAGATAGGATACCTAATGTCCTTCTTTAGGAGACCCAAAACCTCCAGCATCAATTTACATAGTTTTACTCTCCTCTCACGACAAAGCCTCAGCAGTTAAGACGATATTCCCCAGCTGAAGCTTGCCTCTGCCTCTGTCCCTGCCTCTGTGTGCCTTCCTTCTGGATAAGTAACTATTACATCCCTGGGTATGAGTGGTTTAAACAGATCCATGTTCTGCATCCTCTGTGTATTTTACAAATCATTCCCTAACTGAATCATGAATCCTAACTGAAGCTAAGCCTGCTGATGGGAACACTTGGCACACCTTTCTACAAAACCTACAACATTCAACTGTCTTAAGTGGGGACAAATTCAACCTATCATAGAGTATTTCTCTTATTCAATCAAAACACATGGCATCAAGAGAGGAAAGAGGGTAATAAAGCAGTGAGCTATTATAAATACAGAATCATTTTTCAAACAAGAACATCGTTCATCTGTGAATGTCCTTGGATGGAGTCAGAACTGCCACCATTTTGAAAGCCCTGCCCACACATCCACCCATTGCCTTCCTGAGCTCACAGTGGACAGAATATTGCTACGATGTTTTTGCACCTTTACCAGATCGTCTGCACATTATTGACACTGGAAGGCGTACCAGCTGTATTCAGGAAAGGTTTCTTTTCCTTGGAGGTATGCCTTCCCCTCCTCCCTCCTCCACCATTCCTCTTCCCTTCCTACGCAACCCCTAAGTCTGTCTGTCTGTCTCTGTCTGTCCACTGTGAGCTCGTCCAGCATGCCAAACACAGATCCTCTCCTAACTCAAGCACCATGGCCTATCCGCCACAAAGGTAAAGACCAGGATGAAAGCATAAATGGGTTAGGAAAGCGGAGACAAGATACAAAATACATTATGAACACATATAAAACTGTCAATATACACCCATTTAAGAAAAATTTAAAAAGTAATTAAATCTGTACAGAATGATTTGATACAGTGATCAATATACATTCCTGTGTATGGAGACCAATGATTCACTTTTGTATTAAGAACATAAAATATAAACAAATATGACATATTTGATTTGAAACCTAACTACATGTCAAGACACAGAGATCCAGCACCAGCTGTTCTATAGGTCTTTGATGTTACACATCATTTTGCATTTACTGCTTGTGTATCTTACAAAAATATCCACATCTGGAGTTTAAAGGTGAGAAGGGTAGGAGAAGACAGAAGGGTCCTTTGTGATGTTAGCCACCGACTTTGAGCAGTTAGCTACTGTTTATTAGCTAAGAGGGAGAAGTGTCTGTAGGTCCAATGGGAAGTTCTGCTTCCTCCCAGGGTGGGGAACAGAGACAGATGGGAGGAGTTGCCATGGCATCGAACCTGTGGGCACTTTCTGCCCCTTGAGAGCAGATGGGGGACCTTGTTAGTCCCTGAACCAATGAGTGGGAGGCCCTGAGATGGAGGATATTCACTCCCTCACAGCAAAGACACGGAACGAGCCACCCACTGGATTGCTTTTACTGCAAAAGAGAAGTGAGAGAGACGGTTACCTTGAGCATTCATTCATGAACTCAAACAGTTAACCAGCATCCTTTCATCTCATTACTAAGACAAAGTGACATAAATCTAAGGAAAACGAAGAGAATAGAAACCATATTGCTGTCAAGTCAGTCAGTTGTTTTGTGGACCCAATTTATTTTTTTCATTGTTCGCGTGTGGCTCCAATTCAAGTCAGCCTGTTGCTCATGACATCCTACAGTAAGAGTAGAGTAATCACGGTGGACGTATCTGGAAACATGACTCAAACACTGGCTCATTGTTTTTTATTGTTTGTTAAAAAAATATTTTTTATTGTATTTTTTAATTTTGTTAAAAAAAATTTGGGGGGGGGTGGATCAGCTTAATATTGCAGATAGATTGTAACTTCTATCAATGTAATTGTCTGCATTACTTCCAATCCCCCAACACTGGCTCATTGTTAACCATGCTGTTAGTGACTGACTGACCTTTCCAACAACCACTATTGAATCTTGTGCTGGGCCTGATGGCTTTGTTATTAATTCATTAGTGGAGAGGCCTTGAAGACCTGCCATGCTCAGTAATGTCAGGATGATGCCCATCCCATTGGCATCAGATTGGCTGCAATTATCTGCATAGGGAACCACTGAGTCAGCCGCCGACAGCTTTTCCATCCCCGGGTAAATGGATAGGCTGTGATTATTTCCTCCTTAATAAAGGCCTGTTCACCCAGCCAGCAACATGTACCCCCCACTTCCTAACAGTTGGGTCATCACTTGGACAGAAGTCAACCTCTGGGTCAGTTTCTATCACATCAGAGAATGACTGTTGATGGCCATGGTTGTAATACCATACTGTTCTCTGTGCCCTGTTACTGACAGCCGATGTCCTCACTCACTCACACTAAGGTTAAGGTGAGGCTCCCAGTGAGGGGGCTCTTGATTTCAGCATTAAATTTCACTGTACTCTAGCTCAGCTGAATTTGGCCATGCAGCACTTTGCACACTCCATTGAATGTCGGGGTAAAGTAAGCAAAGAGTTCATGTGTGGGCCGTCCGCACACCAAACCACACCATTAGTCTTGCACCCCTGCGTGCCAAACATGGACTTGGCGGCAATGGCATCCGTTCTTGAGCCCTAGATCTCTGGGCCTGGCTACTGCCTGACAGGGGAGGGGTGGGCGAGGGGAGGGTAGGGTGAGGGCAGGGAGGGGTATTGTACAGGGGAAGAGGAGGGTAGAGCAGGCACCCACCTCTCTGACTGGATGCCGTTCTTCAGGACGCCAACGTAGCTCTTCTTCTTATCCAGGGCCAGGACATCCACATAGCCCCCACCGGCTTGGATCACCCCGGCATGGATGGCTGCTCGGCAGATACTGGAGCTCTGAGGGAGAGGGGGGATAAGAAGAGAGGGTTCATTGTACCTCTCATGATATCAGATACAGCAATCATGATTATTCAATTTCACTATATCAGTAATGCTTCTGTTATTAGGTACAGTACAGGCACATACAGTGTACTGAGCCACACCAAATACAGTCAATGTATCAGTTTCCAGAGCATTCAATATGTACAAATCATGTACATGTACACATGCATGACATTAGCAAGGCCGAAGCCAGGCACATCATTATCAGGATGTAAACCGCTGCCCCACTCTGGATTACAGATGACAGACAGCAGTAGAGAGCTGTTCACGCCACACATGGTTCTGAGGCAGGGCATGGTGCCTCCTGTCCCCCAGTCTGAGGCATTGAGTCTGGCTCCAGCGTGTGTCAGACCCTGGGTCCTTATCACTAACCTGGAAGGCTCATTCATCATACTCCATCACACTAGTCTAGCCCAACACAGGCCACATTCCCTGGTGTCTGGTGAACCGGTCTGGTGTCTTCTGTCATGTCAATATAGACCTGCACTTCTCCTTCTCCTGTGTTTTGCTGCGTGTTGGCACTGTGAGTGTTTAAGTGTCAGAATCAGGCTTTGCCCTTAAAAAAAAACAGCCTTTAGGCCCTGTTTGAGATCTCTGGGAAACTGATGTGTCCAGTTGGACTACATCTAAATGAAATAATGTTGGGGAAAAACACGAGTCAACAAGTTCATTCGAGGCAAGAAAACATCAACTTCATGTAACTGGGCCAATTTAGGTCCAGAAATGGTCCCCAGGGCAGCATAGTTATTTGTTTCACTCCTTTCATCCACTGCAGTCTCACATCAGCTTATACATGCAACTTGCAATTTAGGCCAGAGGTGATTTTAGAATGACAGATTCCGTGTCTCCAATGGCATCTTATTCTCTATATAGTGCACTCCTTGTCACTAGAGCCGTATGTGTCTCTGGTCAAGGTAGCACACTGTATGGAGTATAGTGTACCATTTGAGATTTGCCCTGAGGTCATTAGGGAGTGACAGAGGTGATGTGACAATAACAGAGGTGTGTCCCACTGCTCCTCCCTCTCTGAGACTGGTCCTAAAGCCCTCTCCTGACACAGCACCATGCCTCCGACCTCAGGCATGCAATTTCTGGGCCAGTTATGAATCAGCCAGTCAGCCAGGGCTGAGCAGCTGTGTGTGGTCGAACCCAGCACTGGGAGAGACATTACTACCGACCGTTACCAGGCCTGCATCACCAATGCTCCCATTCCGACTGTGTTCACACTGCTATTCAGAAGCTCGTGGTCGCCTCAGGCCACAGTCTCTTAAGTGCTCGACGGGGCTAGACCGCACTCATCTGCTGTCCAACATAAATCAGGTCAGTGTTCCAGTCAGATATAGTTCTCTGGGGAGCAGACACACTGAGGTGTATCTGTCTGGCAGGCCCAGTGGGGACGAACTGGTTGACCTCTGTCAGTATGACCTCTCAGGCTTTCAGCATGGTCAGGAGGACAGGACAGGCATGGTGAGGCCATTCTGGTATACCCAGTGACTAGGTCCAGTACTTACATCTGTGTAGAAGCTGTTCCCAACCACTGGGGCCCAGTAGGATGGCTCGTTCTTGCAGTTGGCCGGACAGAACACTCTGAGGAAGAGACACATTGAGAATGCATTATTATAGAGAAATACAATTGAATGGGCAGACCCATGGTTTAAACGCAGGAATTCACGCAAGAATTTGCCATTTAGCTAAATGTAATGTATGTCATGTTATGAATAACCCTGACACATTTTCTGTAGAACTTCTGTAGAACAGAGGAAAGACTGACACTTTCTTCTAGCCAGTAGTGTAAAGTACTTAAGTAAAAATACTTGAAAGTACTACATAAGTATTTTTTTTGTGTATCTGTACTTTACTTTACTATTTATATTTTTGACAACTTTTACTTCACTACATTCCTAAAGAAAATAATGTACTTTTTACTCCAGACATTTTCCCTCACACCCAAAAGTACTTGTTTCATTTTGAATGCTTAGCAGGGCAGGAAAATTGTCTAATTCACACACAAATCAAGAGAACATCCCTGGTCATCCCTTCTGCCTCTGATCTGGCAGACTCACTAAACACATGCTTCATTTGTAACTGATGTCTAAGTGATGGAGCATGCCCCTGGCTATCCGTAAATTAAAAAAACAAGAAAATGGTGCCGTCTGGTTTGCTTTATATAAGGAATTAGAAATGATTGATACTTTTACTTTTGATACTTAAGTATATTTTAGCAATTACATTTACTTTTGATACTTTCAAAACTATTCGCTGCTCTGGCACCCCAATGGTGGAACAAGCTCCCCCACGACGCCAGGACAGCGGAGTCACTGACCACTTTCCGGAGACACTCGAAACCCTACCTCTTTAAGGAATACCTGGAATAGTATAAAAGTTATCCTTCTATCCCCCCTCCCCATTAAACAAATACAAATAAATAAGTGGTTGTCCCACTGGCTATCATAAGCTGAATGCACCAATTTGTAAGTCGCTCTGGATAAGAGTATCTGCTAAATGACGTAAATGTAAATGTAATACTTAAGTATATTTAAAACCAAATACTTTTAGACTTTTACTCAAGTAGTATTTTACTGGGTGACTTTCACTTTTACTTGTGGTCCTCTGTAGCTCAGCTGGTAGAGCACGGCGCTTGTAACGCCAAGGTAGTGGGTTCGATCCCCGGGACCACCCATACACAAAAATGTATGCACGCACGACTGTAAGTCGCTTTGGATAAAAGCGTCTGCTAAATGGCATATTATTATTATTATATATTATATTTATATTATTATTATATTATTATTACTTGAGTCATTTTCTGTTAAGGTATCTTTACTTTTACTCAAGTACTTTTTCCACAACTGCTTCTAGCAGAGTCTGCATGTTTAGGAGATTCCAGTGGTTTTGTAATGGAGGTTTAAAACATTTGGCCCAGAGCAGGAATCTGACTAATTATTCCCAAGTCATCACTGCTTGTTGTGCGTGTGAAACATTGTGGGGGGAGAGGAGCTAGCCACCTTGGGCAGTTGGAGTAGGGCTTCTTGAAGGGGCAGATCTCCACCATGGTGGCATAGCAGTCCACTGACTGTCCTGTGGCACAGAGAGGAGACATACACCATCAACAGCTGCAAAAGTCATCAGGTGAAGAAGCTAAAAACAAGGGTGTGCTCCACTTATTCTGGAAAAACACAGTTTGACTTACTTTCCACTTTGGCCACCACAAATGCATTGCCGGCTTTGTATTTACTGTCAAGAGATCAAAGCCAGGCATTAGAAGACCATTACATTTCAGTATATCATTAATTTCACAAAACACAAATGAGCATAGCAGGCAGAATGATGACAGAGAATCAAGACTACCAGAAATATCTACCTGAATGACTCAATGCCGTTCTTTGTTGCCTTGACGAAGAATGGAAACTTGTCTTTCCTTGTGGTGTCCACCAGACCACCATTGTTATTAATGATGCCGTAGTGCATAGCAGCACGACAGATACTTGATTGCTGGAAAAATAGAAAAAATAATCCTCAGAAACACATTCAGGCATTCAAAATGTATAGTGTTAAATGTTGAACCTCAGTGTGAGACTCACCACATCATAGAAGAGCGTCCCCCACACTTTCCCCTTCTTGTTCTGGCAGTTAGCAGGGCAGTTGAATCTGTTGCAGGCTGCTCCCTTGCACTTGTCTCGCATTTTGGTTTCACACTTGATGTTTTGAGCTATGGGAGACAAATCAATTACTGGACAATTAGGGATCTCAGTAGCATTCCTTCCCATACAGTACATTCAAACAGTCAACTCTGAAAGCCCCCAACCACAATTCCCACTAGTCAAACTCACCCAGGAAAGTGCTGGTGGGAGCCTTGGGAGTGGAGGGCTTCTTGGGAGCAGCAGGCTTGGGTTTGGGTCTGGGGACAGGCTTGGCGGTAGTGCGGGGTGACATGGGAATCTGAGCTTTCTCCACCTCGTTCATGTCCTCAGTCTCAGAACGCTGGGAGTCTCCCTTGAAGCAGAGGTTGTCCCTGCAGCTTCCTCCGTAGCTAGGAGGGCACTGGGAGCATGGGCGGCCATGTTGGTAAGGGGCCTCTCCGATCCAGTTTCCCCTGGGGAACAGGAAGGAGCACAGTGGTCAGGATGACTGGCTGAAAACTAATCAGCACTCAGCCGTCACCGGGCACATGGCTTTATAATTATTCACGTGCCCTTTGCACATTATCACACACTCTTAAAACCCTGAGTCCAGCTGGATAATGAAAACAATCCCACTGGTCCTCTGGAAATTAAATTAGGTCTGTCTGGAACAGAGTCTGCTTAGGACCTGTTTTTCTTTCCCCTTCCTTTATTCTTTTTCTATTCAAACTTCTGCTGGAATTTCGGCATGGCCTCAATGTGTCATGAAATACTTCTTAGACAGACACTTTAACTGTACAATTAGACAGACAAATTAATATCCTTACATGTGCCCTCAAAAGCATGTGGTATTGGGTAAACACCCCATGGTGGTATGAAGTATGTAAAATAGAACACAGGAGACGTGACGTGTGAATGAGTGGTGGAGAGAAGCGTTAGCGAGTTGGTCTTACTTGGGGGAGTAGTTACAGACGAGGTAAACAGCGTTCTCCCAGATCTCCCCCCACACGTTCATCCTGGGACACACGTGCACTGCACACCCCACACGACTAGTGGTGGCCCAGACCAGCTGCAAATAAGTCAACACTTCCATTAACATTGTTATTATAAAAGGACATTCGCATTGCTGACTTGTTGTTCTTTCTGTGACCACACGTCCATCTCCACTGATACAGTTCCTCAGCTCCACATAACATTGCAGACAACTCTACTAGCTAAAATGATTTGGAGCCCTGCAGCCTTTGAAAGGGCCTGTCATGGGTGGCTATGGAGGTCTGAGAAAGAGCCTCACAGACACATTAGTAGGAAGCACCATGTTACTGTAGACCTCTCTCTCTCTTTTTCTCTCTTTTCTCACTCATCTCTCTCGCCCCTCATAGATCCCTCATTCCTGCCATAGGAAGTGGCTCCCATGCTGGGATGCTGGAGGCAGATAGATTGATGGGGCCACAAGGGCCCTTAGAAGAGGCTGCTCTTTCATTCGGCCCCAGTCAGAGGAAGGAGATAGACGACGAGTGTGACCACAGTTTGTTTCCTGCGACATTCTGTGATCATTCTCATGATCCAGTTTAGTCAGGTAAAGACATTTTCTGGCAGTGGCTCGGAGCGAATAAAGAGAACTCTGGACAGGCCCACTTCCTCTGTCAATATGGAGAGGTTGTTAAATCAAATCAAATCAAAGTTTTTTGGTCACGTGCACACGGTACAGTGAAATGCTTGCTTGGTAACTCTCAACAGTACAATAACAGTATCAATGAAGAATCAAATGCCAAATGCAAAAGTAAAAAAATAACAAGTATTACAGTAATACAAAGTCGAAGAAAAAAAACAACTTAAATGTAAAGCTACAGGCAGCACCTACGGATTTGAGACTGAGGCAGTCCTACTACTGAGAGCTTGTTCCATGACTCCACTACCACTCTTTCCCACTGTACCCCTCTCTCTTTCTCTCTCTCTCTGACTCTCACTCCTCCCCCCTCTCTTTCAGGAATGTGTTTCCCTTTCCTGGGCCAGTGAGAGGCCACAGGCAGTATTGACTTAGAGACAATGACTCAGCATAGACACCACACTGCTACACCACTACAGCATACACAGAGGTGTGATGATGAGGGCTGGAGCCTGTGGTAAAGCTCTGTGTCATCCCAGAGAGAGACTGTGAGGATACTGACCCGGAGGGGCTAGCATAACCTAGCTTAGCAGTGTTATGGTAGGGATTGGACCCCAACTATGCTACGCTACGCTAGCATTCCTAGGAAATAAAAGGCAGAAACAAGGAGAGGGTGTTCAGACATGGCATTGTTCCCCGCATTCCTGCATCTTCAAAGGAATCCAGGTCAAACACAGAGATGATTGGTGTGTCTGGGAAGTGTTTCCAGATGCTAGTGACCTGGTTTCCCGTGTGAAGTACGCTGATGCAGGAGAACGGGTCAGGCTGTTTTCACAAACCCATCCCAGCTACAAAGTAAAGTCTATGGGGAGAGGAAGCCAATTCTCCCTCTTCATCCCCATCTTGTCCCTCTCTTCCCCTCTCTGTTTATCCCTCTTTCTTCCCCTTTGTTTCACCCTCTCTACTGTGATGGTTTAATGGTCCTGAGGCAGCACATAACTTCTCCCTGTCACTACACTACTGCGCCCCCATATGGTCCACACTGTTTTTAGTTAATGGACACCCATTGAAGAGGCTGCAGGCCACATGTTGTTTTTACACAGGACCTGAATACCTGCAGCAGCAACACCTTTAGAAGTCACGTGCTGTCCATTAGATACTGATGGTAGGGAGGAAACATGTGACCTTGAACACTGCACAGGCTCATACACAGATCATCTACATTAGTTCAAAGGAAACCTGTAGAAATACAATTTAATATGGAATTAGATCCAAATGTGGTTTGCTGTTCATGGAGGAACTGTTGAGGGAAGTACTCATGAACTCAAAGCTCCAAATTCAGATCCCCAGCCATGACTCTCCCCCAGCCATGACTCTCCCCCAGCCATGACTCTCCCCCAGCCATGACTCTCCCCCAGCTATGACTCTCCCCCAGCCATGACTCACCTGGGTGTAGTGGGTGCACATAGGCCCTGAGCAGCGGTCGGGACACCAGGGGTTGCACTCATGTTGGTAGGGGTAAGTGTAGTCCTTCACCTCATCATACCAGGCCTGGACGTGGTTGGCTGGGGAGCGGTACCTGCAGACACAGAGGGAGCAGCATCAGCCTCAGCAGCACAGAGAGCTCATACAGGAGGACCTCCAGCTGCCAGGGCCACATGGGGAATATCTGAGGGGGCTGACAGGTGCTTTGGCTGGGCTTGAGACGCTCTACACCAGCCTCCCCTCAGGCTCCCCTCTGGCCTCCACTGATTAGTCCGGTTCTGACCCAGCAGACACACAGACACACTCAGTCTGTTTCCCTCCAACACTGGGGAACTCGAGACATGCTGAGAAAAAATTACAAAAACTAAACAGGGCTCCACAGCCTGACGAATCAATTATGGCCCTTTATTGTAAACATCTCTTTCTACGGTATTGAAATGTGCTGAGACTACAAACTGGCAGCGGAGAGGGAGAAAAACAGCCCTAGCCGGTGCTGGCATCAGAAGAGAGAGAAAGGGAGAGGGGGAGAGATGGAGAGAGGGAGGGGGGTTGTGAGAACGCGAGCGAGTGGATTCATGGAATGGCACCTGCTGAGGGAGCCCTCCACTGTCATACACAAAGAGCCCCACTGTGGTGAATGATGGACGGAGTCAGGCGCAGGAGTAAAATAACCGGATGCAGAATTTATTCCATCCAGACATACAATGCGCCTACAACTGCAATCGAAACAGGTACAGGGGAAACAATCCTTCCTGACCAAACACAATCTCAGAAAATACAATAAATGTAATGACACAGGGGAAAATCAACCCTGGCAAATTAAATGAGAGAGTATCTCAACCGAGCTACTCTCCTCCCACATAGAACAATCACTCACAAAGACAAGGGGGCAGAGGGAACACTTATACACAGACTAATTAGGGGATGAGCACCAGGTGTGTGATTGACAAGACAAGACAAGTGGAGTGATGAGAATGGGAGCGGCAGTAGCTAGTAAGCCGGTGACGACGAACGCCAAAACAAGGAGGGGAGGCAGCCTCGGCGGAAGTCGTGACACCCACTCTCAGCAATGCTCTGAACACACACACAGCACAAATACCTACACTGAGTATACCAAACATTAAGAACACCTTCCTAATAATGAGTTGCACTCCCCCCACCCCAACCTTTTGCCCTCAGAACAGCCTCAATTTGTCGTGGCATGGATTCTACAAGGTGTAGAAAGCGTTCCACAAGGATGCTGGCCCATGTTTTAACATTTGACATTTTTTAGGATTATTGGGACACTGTTTGAAGAGGTAGGGTTTCAGTTGTTTTCGGAAGATGGGCATGGACTCTGCTGTCCTAGCTTCAGGGGGAAGCTGGTTGCACCATTAGGGTGCCAGGACAGAGAAGAGCTTGGACTGGGCTGAGCGGGAGCCACCCTCCTGTATGCATCCAAACGTTGGCTGGATGTCCTTTGGGTGGTGGACCATTCTTGATACACACTGTTGAAACTGTTGAGCATGAAAAACCCAGCAGTGATGCAGTTGTTGCCACAAACCGTTGCGCCTGGCTCCTACTATCATACCCTGTTCAAAGGCACTTAAATATTTTGTCTTGCCAATTCACCATCTGAATGGCACACATACACAATCTATGTCTCAACTGTCTCAAGGCATACAAATCCTTCTTTAACCTGTCTTCTCCCCTTCAGCTACACTGATTGAAGTGGATTTAACATGTGACATCAATTAGGGATCAGAGCTTTCACCTGGATTCACCTGGTCAGTCTGTCATGGAAAGAGCAGGTGTTCATAATGTTTTGTCCACTCAGTGTACATTCACTCACAACAGCCACACTACAGACTCACATATACTCAGTAGCAGACAGCACAAAGCACAAAGTGTGTGTGTGTGTGTGTGTGTGTGACGTGTACATGCATGTGTCTCATATTGTCTTACCTGCCCCAGTGAACAGCGAGGTTCTGACCGATTGACATGAGCAGGTCCTTAGGTCCATGTTCCCACTGGCATTCCTCTGCCCAGTGAGTGGCTGACCTCTCCAGCTCATCATCCCAGACCTGGAAACACACAAATAACACTGTTAGAACAATGTTGTAACACTATAACTCACACCTTTCAGTAACATTATTGACAGCAAAGGGGTTCACATTCCTGTGACACACTACAACATATGATCAGTGAACACTGCGACAGACCCATCAAAACGACCTTTATCTGTGACCATCACCACAGCTAGACTTAGCCCAGCTTCTTTAATATCAGGCCCCCAGGTAGATCCCCTCAGTATAATAATGCTCCTCTTGTCTCCTCATAGCTACCTACCTAACCGCTAGCTACCTTTTTAGGCCTCTGCTCCCCCTCTTCCTTCCCAGGGAGCTGAAATTGAGTTGGGTACAAGTAAAACATTAGCTTTAGCCCAGGACATCTGAGTGGAGCAGTGCCTGGCCTCGCTCCACTACAAATCCCCAGCAATCACAGCTGAATTAGGCATATTTCCTGAGCGGGTTTCTCTCTCTACCTGTGGAAAAGAGGGTGGAAAGGAGGGATTCACCTCATCTCTGCCACCACTCTCACCACTAGGATATGGGGGAGGAGGGGGAGGAGAGGACTGGTACAGTGTGGCACCTCACAGTTTCTCTCCTCAGTACATTTCCAGGCCCTTGGTGGTCACCACCACCACACATACAAATACACACACATACATATACATGCCCATGACTATGCCAGCTCAGCTATACCCCCAGTCCTGTCCTCAGATCCAGGCTTGTTGGCTGAGGCCTGGCAGGAGAACAGAAGAGCAGGGCAGAGGGAGACTTCATGTCCCTTCCTCTCTCGCCAGACCACACCACAGTCACACAGAGAAGACACCACACTGTCAGTACTACATCTGTACTACATAAACCACAATCCCCCCCGAGTCTGTCCATCTAAACTATATTCACCTTAACCTCAGCACACCCTCTTACCCAGTCACCACATTCCATAAACACTATCCCTCTCAATAACATTCAGTGCTCTCTCTTTCTTGCTCTCTTCTACACAGTCCCCTTCCCACTCTATCCATCCCTCCTTCATGTAGCACTCTGTTTCTCCTCCACTGGCCACTCTGGCCTTCCTCGTTCTCTCTGTCCTCCGCTGGCCTACCCTGTCCTCATTCACCCCTCTCTGCAGTGTCTGGCTCCCAGCAGGTAGTGTAGAGTCAGTGTAATTATCCTCCCAGTAAGCCAGCTCCTCTCCAGGCTGCCAGCAGCTGACCACCATGAGCTCATCTTTTCCAGGAGAGAAGATTGTTTTAGTGTTGGGTTCTAGCTAGAAATATACTTTTTCATGTTACCATACTAGAACTTATTGATTACTTTATATGTATAATGTAGGGAAAGTTACTGAGTGAGACAAGGGGGAGTGCAGAAAGTTTACATTCTGTCAAAACATGGTAGTATTAAAAAGTATGGCTCCTAAGGAGGGAGGCAAAGGGCAAACAGTCTGGTTTCAGTCACTGATAAGGTAGGACAGTTGCGGATTAGGGAGGAGCGAGGAAGTCGGCCCGAGGTCAGGTCAGATGAAGTGAGAAGGAACAGTCCTACAGTGGGGAAAAAAGTATTTAGTCAGCCACCAATTGTGCAAGTTCTCCCACTTAAAAAGATGAGAGAGGCCTGTAATTTTCATCATAGGTACATGTCAACTATGACAGACAAAATGAGAAAAAGAATTCCTGAAAATCACATTGTAGGATTTTTTATGAATTTACTTGCAAATTATGGTGGAAAATAAGTATTTGGTCAATAACAAAAGTTTCTCAATACTTTGTTATATACCCTTTGTTGGCAATGACACAGGTCAAACGTTTTCTGTAAGTCTTCACAAGGTTTTCACACACTGTTGCTGGTATTTTGGCCCATTCCTCCATGCAGATCTCCTCTAGAGCAGTGATGTTTTGGGGCTGTCGCTGGGCAACACGGACTTTCAACTCCCTCCAAAGATTTACTATGGGGTTGAGATCTGGAGACTGGCTAGGCCACTCCAGGACCTTGAAATGCTTCTTACGAAGCCACTCCTTCGTTGCCCGGGCGGTGTGTTTGGGATCATTGTCATGCTGAAAGACCCAGCCACGTTTCATCTTCAATGCCCTTGCTGATGGAGATTTTCACTCAAAATCTCACGATACATGGCCCCATTCATTCTTTCCTTTACACAGATCAGTCGTCCTGGTCCCTTTGCAGAAAAACAGCCCCAAAGCATGATGTTTCCACCCCCATGCTTCACAATAGGTATGGTGTTCTTTGGATGCAACTCAGCATTCTTTGTCCTCCAAACACGACGAGTTGAGTTTTTACCAAAAAGTTATATTTTGGTTTCATCTGACCATATAACATTCTCCCAATCCTCTTCTGGATCATCCAAATGCACTCTAGCAAACTTCAGATGGGCCTGGAAATGTACTGGCTTAAGCAGGGGGACACGTCTGGCACTGCAGGATTTGAGTCCCTGGCGGCGTAGTGTGTTACTGATGGTAGGCTTTGTTACTTTGGTCCCAGCTCTCTGCAGGTCATTCACTAGGTCCCCCGTGTGGTTCTGGGATTTTTGCTCACCGTTCTTGTGATCATTTTGACCCCACAGGGTGAGATCTTGCGTGGAGCCCCAGATCGAGGGAGATTATCAGTGGTCTTGTATGTCTTCCATTTCCTAATAATTGCTCCCACAGTTGATGTCTTCAAACCAAGCTGCTTACCTATTGCAGATTCAGTCTTCCCAGCCTGGTGCAGGTCTACAATTTTGTTTATGGTGTCCTTTGACAGCTCTTTGGTCTTGGCCATAGTGGAGTTTGGAGTGTGGCTGTTTGAGGTTGTGGACAGGTGTCTTTTATACTGATAACAAGTTCAAACAGGTGCCATTAATACAGGTAACGAGTGGAGGACAGAGGAGCCACTTAAAGAAGAAGTTACAGGTCTGTGAGAGCCAGAAATCTTGCTTGTTTGTAGGTGACCAAATACTTATTTTCCACCATAATTTGCAAATAAATTCATAAAAAATCCTACAATGTGATGTTCTGGCCTCTCTCATCTTTTTAAGTGGGAGAACTTGCACAATTGGTGGCTGACTAAATACTTTTTTTCCCCACTGTCTTTCACACACATATACTTCCACGTCCACGAAGGTTCTAGCATCAGGCAGGGCCATGACTACACCAGTGAGAGGAACCAATTAAGTTCCTGACAAGCAACAGAGATGTATTGGCTGTCTAGATGTGCAAGGAGTTGACTCCGCCTAGTTGGAGGGTATAAATATATGTGCTTGCATAATCATGTCTTTGTCTTTGCAGCTGTAAACTTAGTTTGAGCTTTTTCTAGTTGTCCGTGAGTTTTTACTTTGTTTGTTCAGAACCTAACAGTAGTAAAACCAACACCCTCCCATCAAAAGTGGAGCCTATAAACACTCACCTACATTATATCGCTGACCCATATACACTACCGTTCAAAAGTTTGGGGTCACTTAGAAATGTCCTTGTTTTCCATGAAAACATACATGAAATGAGTTTGAATAGGAAATATAACAAAATGAATAGGAAATGTAGTCATTGACAAGGTTAGAAATAATGATTTTTAATTGAAATAATAATTGTGTCCTTCAAACTTTGCTTTCGTCAAAGAATCCTCCATTTGCAGCAATTACAGTCTTGCAGACCTTTGGCATTCTAGTTGTCAATTTGTATTCTGAAGAGATTTCACCCCATGCTTCCTGAAGCACCTAACACAAGTTGGATTGGCTTGATGGGCATTTCTTACGTACCATACGGTCAAGCTGCTCCCACAACAGCTCAATAGGGTTGAGATCCGGTGACTGTGCTGGCCACTCCATTATAGACAGAATACCAGCTGACTGCTTCTTCCTTAAATAGTTATTGCATAGTTTGGAGCTGTGCTTTGGGTCAATGTCCTGTTGTAGGAGGAAATTGGCTCCAATCAAGTGCCGTCCACAGGGTATGGCATGGCGTTGCAAAATGGAGTGATAGCCTTCCTTCTTCAAGATCTGTTTTACCCTGTACAAATCTCCCACTTTACCACCATCAAAGCACCCCCAGACAATCACATTGCCTCCAGCATGCTTGACAGATGGCATAAAGCACTCCTCCAACATCTTTTCATTTGGTCTGCGTCTCACAAAGTTCTTCTTTGTGATCCGAACACCTCAAACTTCGATTTGTCTGTCCATAACACTTTTTTTCAATCTTCCTCTGTCCAGTGTCTGTGTTCTTTTGCCCATATTAATATTTTATTTTTATTTGCCAGTCTGAGATATGGCTTTTTCTTTGCAACTCTGCCTAGAAGGTCAGCATCCCGGAGTCGCCTCTTCCCTGTTGACGTTGAGACTGGTGTTCTGCGGGTACTATTTAATGAAGCTGCCAGTTGAGGACCTGTGAGGCGTCTGTTTCTCAAACTAGACACTAATGTATTTGTCCTCTTGCTCAGTTGTGCACCGGGGCCTCCCACTCATCTTTCTATTCTGGTTAGAGACAGTTTGCACTGTTCCGTGAAGGGAGTAGTACACAGCGTTGTACGAGATCTTCAGTATCTTGACAATTACTCACATGTAATAGCCTTCATTTCTCAGAACAAGAATAGACTGACGAGTTTCAGAATAAGTTATTTGTTTCTGGACATTTTGAGCCTGTAATCAAAACCAAAATTGCTGATGCTCCAGATACTCAACTAGTCTCAAGAAAGCCAGTTTTATTGCTTCTTTAATCAGCACAACAGTTTTCAGCTGTTGCTAACATAATTGCAAAAGGGTTTTCTAATGATCAATTAGCCTTTTAAAATGATATACTAGGATTAGCAAACACAACGTGCAATTGGAACACAGGACTGATGGTTGCTGATAATGGGCCTCTGTACGCCTATGTAGATATTCCATTAAAAATCAGCAGTTTCCAGCTACAATAGCCATTTACAACATGAACAATGTCTACACTGTATTTCTAATCAATTTGATGTTATTTTAATGGGCCAAAAAAAAAGGACATTTCTAAGTGACCCCAAACTTTTGAACGGTAGTGTACATAAGACCTTGGTATTGCCTGAGTAGCAGAGACTGACGTTTACCTCCATCTCTCTGTACTATCTAATATTAATACATTGCTTATATTTGTCCTATTTCACAAGTGTGAATTGGAAATGTGTTTTTTTTTGCATATCCCAACTCTCCCTGAGACACCTTTGGAGAGTAGGGTCACAGCCAGGGTCTGCCATTATCAACAGCAACCCTAGAGCAATTAGGGATTTTTCACCTTGTCAGATCAGGGATTCGAACTAGCAACCTTTCGCTTTCTGGCCCAACGCTCAAACCGCTAGGCTACCTGCCACCCACCTGCTATTCATTATCTTTCTGTGCCTCCAGCTAGTGAAACAACCTCCAGCCCGTCACTTTCACTATGTATTCCACATGTAATAGCAGTTGTTGCTCTACAGTAGTGTGTGAATAGTGACCCTCTTTACAGTGTATTGATAGCGTATCTGTGAGGGTGATGATAGCTAAAGCTACAGTATGTACATGTCAGGAAGGAGGCGTGTCTCACCATGTACTCCATGTTGGATGCGGTGGGGTAGACTCCTCCCCTCAGTTTGTTGTGCAGTTGGAGTAGCTCCCCACGGTCCGTCCACTGGATGGCCCGTCGCGTCCTACTGCCCGCTGTGTTATCGGTGCTGTTCTGGTCATCCTGGTACCGGCTCAGTAGCTGCCGCAGCTCATTGGAGTCGGGCAGGAAGAGAGCGGCTCCTTCCCTGGCAGAGAGGACCAGGAGGGTGAGGGCGAGTGTGAGGGCGGACAGCCAGCAGGGTATGGCAGCAGTCATCTCCGGTCTCTGGGACGGGTCTCTGGGCGTCTGTATGTAGGGCTCTGGGCAGGCTGGGCAGACTACAGTGGGCAACCTTGTGTGAGCTCTGGTCCTGAGCGCTGCAGACACGATGCTGTGGGGAGAAAACACACTGTGAGCCGGCCAGCCAACAAAGCAGGTTACAGAGCAGAGCACATGGCCAGACAGACGACTGAGCTAACGCAAGAGGCGCATGCTCCATGAGTCCTGGCACCAAACATTGGACAGCAAACATCTCGGTCAATTGCTGTTGCCTCACTCTCTCACTACTTCCAAAAGAAGTGAATGAGGCCATCAATATGAAACCTCAGCAACTACCTGCAAATAACTCTGGTTTTTGCCATGGGAAACAGTGTATTAGAGGTATTGATCCATTTCAATTGAGGCATTTTCACAGGTTGCAACACATCATTCAGGGAAATGATGTCACAGCAGATCTCACCACATTGAGAACAAGTTGCATAACTATTACCACAAGAACAAAGTGGAGTCCCGAGAGATTTTGCAACAATTATCCACAGTACTGTAGCATTCACTGGTGAAGAAATTGAATTAGTGGTATTACTCCATATCAAAGGATACACTCTCTCTCTACAAGGCTTGCCGTAGTCAGACAACAGCTCATCAGTTTAATCTCCACATTGTACCTGATCTTCAGCTTAGCCAAATCCTTTCAAAGCTCTTTTCAGCTCTATCAAAATACAGCAATTAACTGGGGATATCCTTTCAGATCCATAATAATGACTGATTGTAATCTTCCATCGATTCCTCAACACAGTGACTTAGATCTGGGGTCTGGCGCATAAGGAAATGTTGCTTCTTTTGTCAGAATCTTACTCAGCTCCTCTGGAACTATGATCTACCAGTAAACATGACTGCAGATATTTTATTGAAGCCATTAATTGTCCTTAATGGCCCTGGATTCCAGAGTGATATATAAATCAGGGGTGGAAAGACAGTAATCAGTCAGGTTCACGCTCCCGGGCACAGAAGCATAATTTCTGTGACCTCTCTCTGATCCTCCTCTGGCTGACCTGCAAAATCACCATCTAAAACTATAGAGGGAGAGAGGGAGTAGGGAAGAACTACAGCAGAGAGGGTTATTAGTTAATGAGAGAGAATGATGGATAGAGAGATGAAAATAGATAGAGGGAGAGAAAGACAAATAAAGAGAGAGGGGGAGAGAGACAGAGATGCAGAGTTCTTTACTAAAACAGAAGATTTTAGTATGAATAAGAGGTAGTGTGTGGTTCTCATCCTCCTTGCCACAGCACACAGGGCTCACAGGGCAGGCTCCCAGCCTCAGCCTCAGCCACCACCCCATTGGCCAGGAGAAGACAAACAGCAGGGCTACTAAATCAGCCGGCAGGAGAAGGCATGGCAGAGAGAGACACGGAGAGAGGGAGAGAGAAGGAAAGCGAGAGAGAGAGAGCAGTCATTGCTCTGCTCCCTGCACCCTTCAATTCCTCCTCCTCTCTCTCTCTCTCTCTCTCTCTCAGCTTGGAACGGCGGCTTGAGGTCTGACGGCCGGTCTGTATCAACACACTGTCACAGCACCAAGCAGCCCCAGCCAGCGATGGGAGCCAGCCGGCCGGCCTGAGGCAGCCCAACCATCCCACCACGCCCCTCCTCTGGCCCTCTCTTTGTTTCCCTGCCTACCTTCTCACACCAAACCTCCACCAGCCTTTATTCTGGGCCTTTCTCATCATTCTCATGAATGTTATACCTGAGTGGCAGACAGAGCAGCCAGGCACACACACACACTGGCCACCCTGCCTACATATACAGGAGCCTGGAGGACTCTCACCTGCTGGCTCTGCAGTCCTCTACTGCCCAGGAGTGTCACACATCAACACAGCTCCCCTTGGACACGTTGACAACACATACTCCTAGGTAAGCCTGACTCAAAACAGGTATATTGTTGATATAGGCTACTTACTGTATGCAGTTTTCATTAAATTGCTCCCTAGGAATTGACACCTGGGATTGACATTATAGCACAGAAGCGGAAATGTGGACAGTGATGATGGCCGGAGCACTGCACTTGCATGTGTTATAACAATGTTCAAGACAATATTGAAATGTTTAGCGTTTCATGACAGGCTAATTCATTTACAACAGCATTGATGAAAGAAAACATTTGTTTTTTAAATATATTAACATATTCTTATCAAATCTGAACATCAATTATTTGGGGAAACTTTCCTCCTTACACTGTAAACTGTTTGAACTCAGTGGCACCCAAAAGCATATAATTACATGGTGCAGAATAAATCTAATTAAATGTAGAAAAACATGCTTACCTCAATCACCTGGTTTATCCGGCAATTATCCAAAAGCTTCTGCGCCGGTTCAGTATTTCCCGTTTGCTAATTTGGTGCTGAAGTGGAGCTGTACTCGTTGGCTGCGGTCCTAGAGAGCAGAGTAACTTGGTAACTTTTGACTGACGTTAAAGCGGCAGCTCAGTGCTTTATATAGAGGAGACCCCGCTGAACGAGTGAGGAGGGAAACTAATCTTAACTCTTCTTTCTTTAGTCACTCCCCCAACTCCCTCCTCAAGAAGGCTATGTTCTTGGCAAGCATCCTGCGCTATGACGATTGATGTCGAAAGGAAAACGCAAAGTATGTAATTCACTACGAACCAGAGCAATCGAAATGCGTAGTAGAGTTTTGTATAACTTTTCTGTTTCTTTTCCAATTCAAACATGTTGCCAGAGTTTCTTCAAGACAGTTAATCGATAATTACCATTAGCCTATCATAAACATTATTGCATGACTATATATCATTATAGTCGGATACATGTAAATAATTCATAATTCCACATACGATATTATTATAATTTGATCTATTTTGATAGTGATAATAATATACACTACCGGTCAAAAGTTTTAGAACACCTAGTCATTCAAGGATTTTTCTTTATTTTTACTATTTTCTACATTGTAGAATAATAGTGAAGACCTCAAAACTATGAAATAATACATATGGAATCATGTAGTAACCCAAATAGTATAAAATAAATCAAAATATATTTTATATTTGCGAATCTTCAAATAGCCACCCTTTGCCTTGATGACAGCTTTGCACACTCTAGGCATTCTCTCAACCAGCTTCATGAGGTAGTCACCTGGAATGCATTTCAATTAACAGGTGTGCCTTCTTAAAAGTTAATTTGTGGAATTTATTTCCTTCTTAATGCATTTGAGCCAATCAGTTGTGTTGTGACAAGGTAGGGGAGGTATACAGAAGATGGCCCTATTTGGTAAAAGACCAAGTCCATATTATGGCAAGAACAGCTCAAATAAGCAAAGAGAAACGACAGTCCATCATTACTTTAAGACATGAAGGTCAGTCAATACGGAACATTTCAAGAACTTTGAAAGTTTCTTCAAGTGCAGTCGCAAAAACCATCAAGCGCTATGATGGAAAGTGAGGGGGAAAAAGTATTTGATCCCCTGCTGATTTTGTACGTTTGCCCACTGACAAAGACATGATCAGTCTATAATTTTAATGGTAGGTTTATTTGAACAGTGAGAGACAGAATAACAACAAAAAAATCCAGAAAAATGCATGTAAAAAATGTTATAAATTGATTTGCATTTTAATGAGGGAAATAAGTATTTGACCCCTCTGCAAAACATGACTTAGTACTTGGTTGGCAAAACCCTTGTTGGCAATCACAGAGGTCAGACGTTTCTTGTAGTTGGCCACCAGGTTTGCACACATCTCAGGAGGGATTTTGTTCCACTCCTCTTTGCAGATCTTCTCCAAGTCATTAAGGTTTTGAGACTGACATTTGGCAACTCGATCCTTCAGCTCCCTCCACAGATTTCCTATGGGATTAAGGTCTGGAGACTGGCTAGGCCACTCCAGGACCTTAATGTGCTTCTTCTTGAGCCACTCATTTGTTGCCTTGGCCGTGTGTTTTGGGTCATTGGTAACTTTTGACTGACGTTAAAGCGGCAGCTCAGTGCTTTATATAGAGGAGACCCCGCTGAACGAGTGAGGAGGGAAACAAATCTTAACTCTTCTTTCTTTAGTCACTCCCCCAGCTCCCCCAGCTCCCTCCTCAAGAAGGCTATGTTCTTGGCAAGCATCCTGCGCTCTGACGATTGATGTCGAAAGGAAAACGCAAAGTATGTAATTCACTACGAACCAGAGCAATCGAAATGCGTAGTAGAGTTTTGTATAACTTTTCTGTTTCTTTTCCAATTCAAACATGTTGCCAGAGTTTCTTCAAGACAGTTAATCGATAATTACCATTAGCCTATCATAAACATTATTGCATGACTATATATCATTATAGTCAAATACATGTAAATATAATTCATAATTCCACATACGATATTATTATAATTTGATCTATTTTGATAGTGATAATAATATACACTACCGGTCAAAAGTTTTAGAACACCTAGTCATTCAAGGATTTTTCTTTATTTTTACATTGTAGAATAATAGTGAAGACGTCAAAACTATGAAATAACACATATGGAATCATGTAGTAACCTAAAAAGTGTTAAAGAAATCAAAATATATTTTATATTTGAGATTCTTCAAATAGCCACCCTTTGCCTTGATGACTACCCATACACACACAAAAAAAAAAATGTATGCACGCATGACTGTAAGTCGCTTTGGATAAAAGTGTCTGCTAAATGGCATATTATTATTTATTATTATGACAGCTTTGCACACTCTAGGCATTCTCTCAACCAGCTTCATGAGGTAGTCACCTGGAATGCATTTCAATTAACAGGTGTGCCTTCTTAAAAGTTAATTTGTGGAATTTATTTCCTTCTTAATGCATTTGAGCCAATCAGTTGTGTTGTGACAAGGTAGGGGAGGTATACAGAAGATAGCCCTATTTGGTAAAAGACCAAGTCCATATTATGGCAAGAACAGCACAAATAAGCAAAGAGAAACGACAGTCCATCATTACTTTAAGACATAAAGGTCAGTCAATACGGAACATTTCAAGAACTTTCTTCAAGTGCAGTCGCAAAAACCATCAAGCGCTATGATGGAATTGCTAAATACAGTGGGGGAAAAAATTATTTAGTCAGCCACCAATTGTGCAAGTTCTCCCACTTAAAAAGATGAGAGAGGCCTGTAATTTTCATCATAGGTACACGTCAACTATGACAGACGAATTGAGGAAAAAAAATCCAGAAAATCACATTGTAGGATTTATGAATTTATTTGCAAATTATGGTGGAAAATAAGTATTTGGTCACCTACAAACAAGCAACAGACCTGTAACTTCTTCTTTAAGAGGCTCCTCTGTCCTCCACTCATTACCTGTATTAATGGCACCTGTTTGAACTTGTTATCAGTATAAAAGACACCTGTCCACAACCTCAAACAGTCACACTCCAAACTCCACTATGGCCAAGACCAAAGAGCTGTCAAAGGACACCAGAAACAAAATTGTAGACCTGCACCAGGCTGGGAAGACTGAATCTGCAATAGGTAAGCAGCTTGGTTTGAAGAAATCAACTGTGGGAGCAATTATTAGGAAATGGAAGACATATAAGACCACTGATAATCTCCCTCGATCTGGGGCTCCACGCAAGATCTCACCCCGTGGGGTCAAAATGATCACAAGAACGGTGAGCAAAAATCCCAGAACCACACGGGGGACCTAGTGAATGACCTGCAGAGAGCTGGGACCAAAGTAACAAAGCCTACCATCAGTAACACACTACGCCGCCAGGGACTCAAATCCTGCAGTGCCAGACGTGTCCCCCTGCTTAAGCCAGTACATGTCCAGGCCCGTCTGAAGTTTGCTAGAGTGCATTTGGATGATCCAGAAGAGGATTGGGAGAATGTCATATGGTCAGATGAAACCAAAATATAACTTTTTGGTAAAAACTCAACTCGTCGTGTTTGGAGGACAAAGAATGCTGAGTTGCATCCAAAGAACACCATATCTACTGTGAAGCATGGGGGTGGAAACATCATGCTTTGGGGCTGTTTTTCTGCAAAAGGACCAGGACGACTGATCCGTGTAAAGGAAAGAATGAATGGGGCCATGTATCGTGAGATTTTGAGTGAAAACCTCCTTCCATCAGCAAGGGCATTGAAGATGAAACGTGGCTGGGTCTTTCAGCATGACAATGATCCCAAACACACCGCCCGGGCAACGAAGGAGTGGCTTCGTAAGAAGCATTTCAAGGTCCTGGAGTGGCCTAGCCAGTCTCCAGATCTCAACCCCATAGAAAATCTTTGGAGGGAGTTGAAAGTCCGTGTTGCCCAGCGACAGCCCCAAAACATCACTGCTCTAGAGGAGATCTGCATGGAGGAATGGGCCAAAATACCAGCAACAGTGTGTGAAAACCTTGTGAAGACTTACAGAAAACGTTTGACCTGTGTCATTGCCAACAAAGGGTATATAACAAAGTATTGAGAAACTTTTGTTATTGACCAAATACTTATTTTCCACCATAATTTGCAAATAAAGTCATTAAAAATCCTACAATGTGATTTTCTGGATTTGTTTTTCTCATTTTGTCTGTCATAGTTGATGTGTACCTATGATGAAAATTACAGGCCTCTCTCAAGTGGGAGAACTTGCACAATTGGTGGCTGACTAAATACTTTTTTTCCCCACTGTACACCACCAGTCAAAAGTTTGGACACACCTACTCATTCAAGAGTTTTTCTTTATTTTTACATTGTAGAAGACATCAAAACTATGAAATAACATATATGGAATCATCTAGTAACCAAAAAAGTGAGGGTGAAGCCCAGGTACTTCTCCGCATCCTCCTGTCGACCCTGACAGAGAACACACAACCATCAGCACTAACGAGATCACGGTGCCAAGAGAGCCTGCTCTCTAATGCAAAACCACTGACTCAGCACACACAGGCCCTGTCCACTGTTACGGAGCTTCAGGACAGGACATCAGTGCGCACATGGCACAGGTGAGATACGATCTAAACCACATAGGTCAGGCGCTAACTCTCACATTCCATTTATAATAGCATTTTTAATTGCACTTCATCTGGTTATGAATCAGTAATGAGTCAGCATGTCTCATGCACCAATAGATGAGTATTTGTACATGTATCAACGTACTGTACCATCAGACAGGTACAGACTGAATGTCTCTGGTGCATAGACTCCACAGGTGTACTGATGAGGATGTGGAATTTTACATAAAACCACAGTGTCAGGAAACAGGGGATACAAAGTGTTTCAGTTTATTTGCTCCAAGTCCCTGAACACCTGAAAGTGTGGAATGTCTGGATAGTTCAACATTCTAAAAATCAAACCCACTTGAAATGTAAAGACTAAATAGTTTTTGATTGATGTTAATGCTTGTAGGTCTGGCCGATACGGCCTAGAAATCATCTAGATTTATTTTATTTTTTATTTTATTTTACTTCTCAGCAATTCACGATATACACAGTACCAGTCAAAAGTTTGGACACACCTACTCATTCCAGGGTTTTTCTTTATTTTTACTATTTTCTACATTGCAGAATAATAGTGAAGACATGAAATAACACATATGGAATCATGTAGTAACCAAAAAAGTGTTAAAAATCAAAATATATTTTATATTTGAGATTCTTCAAATAGCCACACTTTGCCTTGATGACAGCTTTGCACACTCTTGGCATTCTCTCAACCAGCTTCATGAGGTAGTCACCTGGAATGCATTTCAATTAACAGGTGTGCCTTCTTTAAAAGTTTATTTCCTTCTTAATGCATTTGAGCCAATCAGTTGTGTTGTGACATCAAGCGCTATGATGAAACTGGCTCTCATGAGGACCGCCACAGGAATGGAAGACCCAGAGTTACCTCTGCTGCAGAGGATAGGTTCATTAGAGTTACCAGCCTCAGAAATTGCAGCCCAAATAAATGCTTCACATAGTTCAAGTAACAGACACATCTCAACATCAACTGTTCAGAGGAGACTGTGTGAATCAGGCCTTCATGGTCGAATTGCTGCAAAGAAACCACTACTAAAGGACACCAATAATAAGAAGAGACTTGCTTGGGCCAAGAAACACGAGCAATGGACATTAGACCGGTGGAAATGTGTCCTTTGGTCTGGAGTCCAAATTTGAGATTTTTGTTTCCAACCACCGTGTCTTTGTGAGACGGGGTGTGGGTGAACGGATGATCTCCGCATGTGTATTTCCCACAGTAAAGCATGGAAGAGGAGGTGTTATGGTGTGGGGGTGCTTTGCTGGTGACACTGTCTGTGATTTATTTAGAATTCAATGCACACTTAACCAGCATGGCTACCACAGCATTCTGCAGCGATACGCCATCCCATCTACTTTGGGCTTAGTGGGACAATCATTTGTTTTTCAACAGGACAATGACCCAACACACCTCCAGGCGGTGTAAGGGCTATTTTACCAAGAAGGAGAGTGATGGAGTGCTGCATCAGATGACCTGTCCTCCACAATCCCCCAACCTCAACCAAGTTGAGATGGTTTGGGATGAGTCGGACCGCAGAGTGAAGGTAAAGCAGCCAACAAGTGCTCAGCATATGTGGTAACTCCTTCAAGACTGTTGGAAAAGCATTCCAGGTGAAGCTGGTTGAGAGAATGCCAAGAGCGTGCAACGCTGTCATATAATAATAATATGCCATTTAGCAGACGCTTTTATCCAAAGCGACTTACAGTCATGCGTGCATACATTTTTGTGTATGGGTCATCAAGGCAAAGGGTGGCTAGTTGAAGAATCTCAAATATACAATATATTTTGATTTGTTTAACACTTTTTTGGTTACTACATGATTCCATATGTGTTATGTCATAGTTTTGATGTCTTCACTATTATTCTACAATGTAGAAAATAGTAAAAATAAAAATAAAAACCCTTGAATGAGTAAGTGTTCTAAAACTTTTGACCGGTTGTGTAATTTGTGTATAACTGTATTATTATTAATAATTATCTCTTTAGCTGTGTTATAATATATCATTCATATGATATGATAGCTGGTATGATAAATCAGTATATGGTTTAACAACTATTCACTTGTTGGCTTTTTATTTTGATAGCCTGCTTTGATGCCACTCAAGGTATGCCATGACAGAATGTCCTCTAGCCATAGCAGAGTGGAGGGGCAGTTCGGTTCTAAAACAGAACAGTTGTAAATCAAACAGGAATGAAGAATAGGGGGTGCTCTTACCACACTCTTCTCTCTTCACTGTCCTCACATGTGCAAACACATCATTCACATCTGTACCAAGTACCCAGTTTGTCAGAGCAGTCTCTTTGTTTATCTCCCTCCCTCTTATCTGCTCTGGCTGGTACAGCTCAGCATTGTCTCTGTGAGGATGACTTAACCCATGGGGAATTCACGTTTCTACCCCCAGGTATGGAGACCAAGACTCCCATCAGAGTGGGAATCCAAGATGGAATTTTACAAAACACACACACTGATTCACACACTGCATCACTAGCACACCAACCTCTACATCATGCTCCACCACATGTAAAGTATAGCATACATGCCTACATCTTCTGTATTGACCCAGACTTGTGGATGTAAAGGCATGGTACTTGGCATGGTAGTACTCCGTCATGATCTAAACACACAGCCACATGGGACCACAGAGGGAGAGCCATGTTGCATTTGATTGTTTATGAAAAAGAGAGATGACAATGTCAGCTGGCCTTCATTTGGCTCAGCAGCAGCACATGAAAGACGCACTAACAAACATGTTACATAGAAGAAACACGAGTTTATGACACTTGGCACGGGGGACGACACGAGGGGTGTTGACCCGCCAGACATGGATTAGGGTTGGCACGGTAACACAGAGAAGCAGAGGCTTCATGTGCTGCTGAGAAGATGGTTCATCATGTTGTCGCTGTTATTTACCTAGCAGAAGAAAAGCCAGCTGCACGGTGACCTAAATAGCTCACATTTTTCGACCCATAATTCCTCCATGAAGTTGATATTGCTCTGAAACATTTAGCTTGTGAATTTTACAAGGAACAAATCAAAGGATTGAACTTTTTGAGAATTCTGCTCCATTTAACAAAGGATCTCTCCAATCCTCCACCAGAGCCAAGACAAAGCAAAAGTCTCATCAGATCACACCCAGACCACTGATAAATTACCATTTGCAAATGGCCTCAATGATTGAGAAACAATTTGTTCAAAAGGCTTTTGCCGGCATCCACATGTTGTTTTATTGAATACAGGTATAGTAAACCAGTGAGAGACATCAGAAAGCTGTTGCGGTGGCTTTTATGTGTATCTGGGCTTGTCAGTCTTGCACATACACTGCGTGTACAAAACATTAAGAACACCTTCCTAATATTGAGTTGCACCCCCTTATGCCCTCAGAACAGCCTTAATTCGTTGGGGCATGGACTCTACAAGGTGTCGAAAGCATTCCACAGGGATGCTGGCCCATGTTGACGCCAATGCTTACCACAGCTGTGTCCAGTTGGCTGGATGTCCTTTGGGTGGTGGACCATTCTTTATACACACGGGAAACTGTTGAGCATTAAAAACCCAGCAGCGTTGCAGTTCTTTACACAAACCAGTATGCCTGGCACTTACTACCATACCCCTTTCAAAGGCACTTAATATTTTGTCTTGCCCATTCACCCTCTGAATTGCACACATACACAATCCATGTCTCAATTGTCTCAAGGCTTAAAGATCCTTTTTTAACTTGTTTCCTCCCCTTTCATCTAAACTGATTGAAGTGGATTTAACAAATGACATCAATAAGGGATCATAGCTTTCACCTGGACAGTCTACGTCATGGAAAGAGCAGGTGTTCTTTTAATTTTTTACCCCCTTTTTCGCCCCAATTTTGTGATATCCAATTGCGATCCAATTACAACCTTGTCTCATCGCTGCAACTCCCAACGGGCTCGGGAGAGGCGAAGGTCGAGTCATGCGTCGTCTGAAACATGACCCACCAAACTGCGCTTTAACACCCGCCCGCTTAACCCGGAAGCCAGCCGCACCAATGTGTCGGAGGAAACACGTTCAACTGACGACCGAAGTCAGCCTGCAGGGGCACGGCCCGCCACATGGAGTCACTAGAGCGCGATGAAGAGCAGGTGTTCTTAATGTTTTGTATACTCAGTGTACATGAATGAAAGTCTTATGCCCATATTATTAACACCTCTCCTCCCCTATCGTTATAGTAGTTCTGGGACACTTGCCTAAAATAAGTCATGGGTTTCAGATGTTCCATGTTTGATGTAGGAGCTCCATGGACTAATGTTTTGTCTGGAGATGGACCTGCTTTCATTTCCTCTTGATGGTTTTTCAAAAGAACACAAATAATTCCTTAACCTGTCCTGAAAGAATTTCCCAAAGAGGGTACGCTGTCCTACTTTTCCTGCCCTTCACAGGAAAGCCTTGACCCCCTATCCACTCATGTTTGGCCTGCAGTGCCAGTGCTGCAAAGCTGGAAGCTGGAAACATCTACATCCTCCACCACCCTCTTGCTAAGAACCCAGCACATATACTTCATTTACATTACTCCTCAATCATATTTTTTTTCTGTACCGCTCTGATAAGGCCAAACATAACAACATTATGGTAACCACAGTAACATTACTGGTCAGCAGCAGTCAGAGACGGGGGAACGCTTAATCCGGTGATTTACTTTTTTCTGTGTGAAACCCCTCTGTTGGCCTTTAAAACTTTAAAAAGGCCACAGTGTGTGCAACCAGCTGAAGGCCTGTTCTTTTTACTCAAATCACCGGAGAAACCCTCAGTGAAACTCAGCAGTTTAAACACTGTGCCCAGGTGCCCAAGCACTACAGCTCGTGTGTCAACAGAGCGCTAGGACGGAGGATGAGAAAATCTCATCTCCATCTTCACCCCCCTTCTCTCAGGCATGGGTCCAGTGCTTGGTAAAGATACCAAAATGCTCGGGGAAATACTGTTAGGATTAATATAATTTCTAGTCCTGAGAATAGGCTCACGTTACAACGAGGCAGAACACAGCCATTTACACTCAAACCCTCTCTGTGTCACAGGGTTCTTTTCACCCCAATGAATGGTGGCATGAATGGAGGGAATACCTGTTACCGGTATACTGAATAACTTATATTGTACATTTAAACAATCTCTACAGGCTTGATGGTTGTGTGATTTATGTCCACAAGAGGGTGCTGTTCCCTGAGACATGTGGGAAGAGGTGGACAGCAGAAGAGAAGGATCACTTTCAGAATCAAACTCACACTTACCTCAGAAGCTATAGTGAGAGGTCTGCGTAGCTGGAGGGCACAGGGACCAACACAGCACCAGACTGGCATGAGAAGGGAGTGCATGCCTGGGATTCCAGTCTCAAGGTGTACAGTTTGTTTGGCTGGACCAGGATAGTCCTGAGCCAACACAGTGGAGGGGGCGGGAGTAACTAACTGCTCATTACCATTCTAACGCAAATTATTGAAATGTGTATGCTAAACCACAGCAAAGTGTTGTTGTAAGTGCAACTTTTAAAACTATGTGATTCCCCCTCTGAGTGACCTAGCTGGTTACTACAGACAGGAAATTGTTGTCTCAGGTTGCATAGTTTTCTACAGCCAAGAAAAATTATTCTGAAAATAAGGACTGAGTTGGTTAGGGGACAGGTTTGGGGAGGCTATGGTGTTGATATGGATGTCTGTAACCACACATATTTTGTCTAGGGGTATATGAGGTTTCTCTCATGCACTGCATCTCTCCATCCACATGCTTCATAAAGAAGGGGCGAGTTTGCACTCAGCCCCCATGTAGAAGGAGAGTTCTGAACTTCATGTTCACTCAATGTTCTAAGGACTTCTGAGTCAGCCATCTTCTGAGTCAGCCATCCCTCACTAGACAATCTCTCCCTGATGGTTCAATCCTCTGTGCCACAGGCAGTGGTGCTAGTGTTCAAAACGTCACAGGTAATGTTAAAGTATCTCAGACGCTTCAAACTTCACTTTAAATCCCCTACCAACATTAAGAGTAGCCCCTGTTTTCAGCGAACATTCATGCCAGGGTCTTCACTGCAATATGCCCATTAGAAGTTACTGGCTTTAAAAATATGTTCTGGCTATTAACATCCACTCATGGCTTAAAAATGGAAGAGGTAAAACAAGCTCCCTTACAACATATCATTTTCTCAGCGTGGCTGAAAGAGACACTTCTCTGAGTATATAGGTGGTCCATCAGTGGGTGCCCAGGGCTGTAATTTCCCCCCCCAGGACAGGGGCCTATAAAGAGGATCTTTAGCTGTGCTGTGACATTAACAAGAAAAATACCACACTTAATTACATGTTCAAGTCTGAGAGTAAAACCTGCACCCCGCATCCCTGTACAAGGCCCAATTATAGCAAGAAAAACAGAGAAGGAAAATCCTTCCCTGGCAAAATCTGAAATTATGGGCATGCTTGTATAAACCAAACAGAAGCAAGCTCACTTTCCTGAACCAGACTGTAGTCAGGACACAGAGGCAGCCAGCTTGACCACAGTCCTGGTCAGGGGGAGGAACAGCTACAGCATACTGGAAATACTGTACATCAGATACTGTAGGTGAAAACTAAATGAGGAATATGGAATGAGACCATAGGTGGTTATTTCTAGATACTGGTAGGCTACAATACAGGTGATTATTTCTAGATTGGCTACAATACATGCAAAATATATACTGTGAAGATCAGTTTCCACTTTATTTCATGTTGTTTGTTTGTCAACTTGGTCTCAGAGCATTTCATATTATTCTGTGCGTAAACCCGAGACACTCCATTTAGCATGATATGCTAAGTTTCCGTATGGTATGTATTAAATTCTGGATGTCCATCACCCATTTTGTATATTTTTCGAATTACTATTCATATTATGTTACGAATTTGAAAAACATACAATATGTTACAAATTTCCAAAAACGTATATGTTACGAATTCTAGCTAGGTGGCTAACATTAGCTAGCTGGCTAACTTTAGCTAGGCTAGGGGGTTAGGGTTAAATTTAGGAGTTAGGTTAAAGGGTTAAGGTTAGGGTTATCAAAAAGGGTTAGGGTTAAGGACAGGTAAGCTAACATGCTAAGTAGTCGCAAAGTAGCTAAAAAGTAGTGGAAAAGTTGCTAATTAGCTAAAATGCTAAAGTTGTCCGTGATGAGATTCAAACTCGCAACCATTGGGTTGCTAGACATACAGTTGAAGTCGGAAGTTTACATACACTTAGGTTGGAGTCATTAAAACTCGTTTTTCAACCACCACTCCACAAATTTGTTAACAAACTATAGTTTTGGCAAGTCGGTTAGGACATCTACTTTGTGCATGACACAAGTCATTTTTCCAACAATTGTTTACAGACAGATTATTTCACTTATAATTCACTGTATCACAATTCCAGTGGGTCAGATGTTTACATACACTGAGTTGACTGTGCCTTTAAACAGCTTGGAAAATTCCAGAAAATAATGTCATGGCTTTAGAAGCTTCTGATAGGCTAATTGACATCATTTGAGTCAATTGGAGGTGTACCTGTGGATGTATTTTAAGGCCTACCTTCAAACTCTGTGCCTCTTTGCTTGACATCATGGGAAAAAAAGAATCAGCCAAGACCTCAGAAGAAAAGTTGTAGACCTCCACAAGTCTGGTTCATCATTGGGACAGGTTCATCCTTGGGAGCAATTTCCAAACGCCTGAAGGTACCACATTCATCTATACAAACAACAGTACGCAAATATAAACACCATGGGACCACGCAGCCATCATACCGCTCAGGAAGGAGACGCGTTCTGTCTCCTACAGATGAACGTACCTTGGTGCGAAAAGTGCAAATCAATCCCAGAACAACAGCAAACGACCTTGTGAAGATGCTGGAGGAAACAGGTACAAAAGTATCTATATCCAGAGTAAAACAAGTCCTATATCGACATAACCTGAAAGGCCGCTCAGCAAGGAAGAAGCCACTGCTCCAAAACCGGCATAAAAAAAGCCAGACTACGGTTTGCAACTGCACATGGGGACAAAGATCATACTTTTTGGAGAAATATCCTCTGGTCTGATGAAACAAAAATAGAACTGTTTTGGCCATAATGACCATCGTTATGTTTGGAGGAAAAAGGGGGAACTTGCAAGCCGAAGAACACCATCCCAACCGTGAAGCACGGGGGTGGCAGCATCATTCCGTGGGGGTGCTTTGCTGCAGGAGGGACTGGTGCACTTCACAAAATAGATGGCATCATGAGGAAGGAAAATTGTGTGGATATATTGAAGTAACATCTCAAGACATCAGTCAGGAAGTTAAAGCTTGGTCACAAATGAGTCTTCCAAATGGACAATGACCCCAAGCATACTTCCAAAGTTGTGGCAAAATGGCTTAAGGACAACAAAGTCAAGGTATTGGTGTGGCCATCACAAAGCCCTGACCTCAATCCTATAGAAAATTTGTGGGCAGAACTGAAAAAGCGTGTGCGAGCAAGGAGGCCTACAAACCTGACTCAGTTACACCAGCTCTGTAAAGAGGAATGGGCCAAAATTCACCCAACTTATAGTGGGAAGCTTGTGGAAGGCTACCCGAAACGTTTGACCCAAGTTAAACAATTTAAAGGCAATGCTACCAAATACTAATTGAGTGTATGTAAACTTCTGACCCACTGGGAATGTGACGAAAGAAATAAAAAGCTGAAATAAATCATTCTCTGTTCTATTATTCTGACATTTCACATTCTTAAAATAAAGTGGTGATCCTAACTGACCTAAGACAGGGAATTTTTTACTGAGTTTACATTTATTTGGCTAAGGTGTATGTAAACTTCCGACTTCAACTGTAGACGTTATACGCCCACCCATCCATGCCGACCAACCACCCTACTTTCGTTTTTGCCTTAAGTAACCATCTGTGTTATGTAACCATACCAAAAGCAACATATCATACTAAGTTGAGTGTCCCGGAATCACGTTTACTATGTAACATCTAGTCTGAGACCAGGCTGTTATTGTGCACATTGTCTGTACTAGGGCAGTTGAAGGTGTAGAGACTACATGATTTTGAAGTACTAGAAGAAAGCTAAGCAGTCTTCGGATTACACTTCATTGGCAAACGGCTTCGGTTTTCCACAATCTTTTATTTGAACAATAAACAAAAAGAGCAGAATGCTGGAGGATTAAGATGAAAAGACAGCATATAGTTTGTATTCAGCTTGATATCCCAACACAAGCCCTCAGCAGACAACCGTGTTAGGAAGCACAAACTAAACAGAACGACATCATTGAAGCGATTCGCCAGCATATATCCTGACCATAGTCATAAAAAAAGACTCAGGGATAAAACGTGTACAACAGAAAGCTTTCTGACAGCTTTAGTGTCCGTTTCAAACCATCTTCTTCAAAACATTCTTCAGGGGGGAAAGAAAAACAAATCAAACCAACATTGTCACAATGAGTGTATTAGATATGACCACATAGCCATCAGCACAATTGAACTAACACTTATAAGGAGTTTTATAATGATCTGAACGGATCAGCTCAATTTCCTTATATGGAATGACTGAGTCATGCTGATTGAATGAATCATGAGCTGTGGCAACAGAACATATTGGTGCAGAGGTGAAACCAAAGTTAGACATAGAAGCATTAGCGCAATTACGAAAGGCAACAGGGTCAATGTGACGTATCCTTTGGTTTCACTTGGGGACATTTTTTTGACTTTACATACCCATAAGTAATAAGCAAATGACTTGAGGGAACCAAATTCAGCAGTTTAGACTATGAAATTGCAGTCACTTTAACACAATACACATTTTCAGGGCAAAATATACAACGCTAATTCATGGAAGGGAATTGTGTTGGCAATATAAATGACACTGCTCCAAACGCAAAGAATGCAACACAGAAAATGCACATGGTCAGATAACTCTTTCCATGACTCAGTTTCCAGTCACTTTAAATAAAAGGGGATAGAAGTATATTTAATAGGTCTCTGCTACCATCAGTGAGTGAACTACAAAGTGAGAAATGGGATAAAATAAGCTCTTCCTGTTGGATCTAAAATGCATGCGCTGCTATTCCGATGTGGGAAAAATGATTTCACACTGCCCCAACGTTCCAGTGGTCAGAAATGGGAAAGTGTGAGAGCCGACTTACAAAAGGACCCATTCCCAGTTGTGTACCTCGTGTTAACTAATGGCCAAGTGTGTGTGCAAGTAGTGTGTGTATGTGAGAAAGTGTATACTGTATGTGAAAGCTCTTTAGAAAATAGTCTGCTTTGCCCATTAAGGACATAGAGTATACAAGGGTAAACCACAATGCACCAAGCCTTCAGCAAAGTAATGTACCAGTTATGTTATTTTTGTAAAGGATTAAATACTGACAGATTCTGAAATTGGTTTGGTTAAAATATCCCTTAAGATTAGACTATGGATCAAACTTAGTTCAGGGAAAAAAGAAAATGACAAAAGAAAATATGATCAAGCAAAGAACTTGTCCAATTTTATTCATTGTTGTGCTTTACCTTGGGTAATTTCGCTCAAATATCAATTTAAATGCCATATAGTATAATTCTGGGAAACGGTCATGGTATTATTGAACAAATGAAAAATAACAATAGCATTTAACCGAAACGCAAAACACAATCAATGAATAATAATGATGCAAAAAGCAAGGTCTCAAACAAAAACAAACATGATTTCCTTTTGTGCGCATTTATTGTGGGGGATTTCATTTCTAGAGCCAAGCAGCAGATGTGTTCCCACTTACCCCCCAACATGGACAGTCTCTCTCACTGGAGAGGAACTGCACTCAGCCACCAAAAGAGGAAATGCAAAGGTCAGGTACATTCCCATAACACTTTACAGACATTTGACTTACAGTTGTCACACTCACTGGGTTGGACTTGTACATTGAGTGGAGATTTGGATTAGAAAGCCTCGCATAGCGAACCTAAGGCAGCCCCCTTTTTCTGATGAGTTGAGGGGTAAGGAGTAATGTGGCTCTTGTAACTACAAAGGCAGGCCGCCTATACACAGATGGAACCTTTAGACCAGAACAGGGAAAAAAGGATAAATGAAGGATGGAGGGGAGAAAAGATAGGTATAAAATAAACAAGGGCCGGTGCTTGCGGTGGAATCTCAGTCTTCATTGGTATCTCTCCAGTGCTCCAGAGTACTCAGAAAGCCTTAGAACTAACAACCACCCAGGGAGCCAAACAAGGTGACACTCACCTAGATTTAGATTTCTATTTTTTATTTATTTTTTTCACAGTTTTAAATCTTAAAATATCTGAAAGTGTGCATTTGCACGTCCACATCTTTTTATTGATCAGTTATATTTTACGTGCACAGAAGCTTATTTTTTTAATCATTTAAATCCTAAAGCGCATTAAAATTGTTTTTAGATAGTCATTCTAATTCTACACCCAGAAACCACAAGGTTCTCTCAAACAAAGCTGTTTAGTTTCAGCACATTGTAGCAGCACCTCTTCTCCTGTCATTTTTTCTATTTTTTTGATGGCTCAAGTTTTACCTAGATTTAAAAGCATCAGGAAAGTGAGGAAGGTGGAGAAGGAAGAAGAGATGGTGGCCATGAAGAGCATCTTGCCTCTGGAGTTATAGAGACTCATCCGATAACGTTTTGTCGTTTTGCTGGTGCTGGGCCTTTTTTGATGCACTCTGGCAAAATTTCAACAGGCGTTTAAACTGCTGCAAATTCATTAGGACAACAACTCCCCTTGCTAAAAGGCAAAACACTGATTATTCTATGCCATTTTCCCCCCAAAATGAGAAGAAAAAAAACAGTAGATAAACAAAAAAAATACAACTTCTCTCCAGCAGTCCAACAGTCCATCTGCAGCCTCGTGTTGTAGATAGATAGTTCGTCCTGTGGGTAAAGTACTCACTGTTCCCAGTCTGAACGAGGGTGTAGGTTCAGAGGCGAGTCTCAAGGTCCCCTCCCCTCAGTCCATTCAACAGTCTCTCCTCTCAGCATTTAAAAAAAAACAGCAGTGGCGCACAGAGAAGAGGAAGCCATCACAGGGAAATTATTTTAGAACGCGTCCTTTTTTCCTCTAATTCTTCCAAAAAAGATAAAAGGAAAAAAGGCATTGTTGGAAAAGCTGGTTCTCTGGAAAAGCAGGGACGAGGGGGAGGAAGAGGAAAATCTTGCAAGAGAAGAAGTTGGGCAGTGTTCCTGTTCATTAGTTTGTGTGTTTGTATGCGTTTGTATGTATGCATGTGTATGTGCACTTGAGTGTCTGTAGTGGGAGTGTGCATATGTAGTTGAATGTGTTCTGCTGTGTGAGTGTGCATGTATATGTGTGTGGCGTCTACAGCAGGTCGACGCGACGGTAGTACAGCAGGTAGGCAGTGCGCTCAGCAGTCTGCTTCACCACCTGGTACTGGTTGATGACCTTCACTGCCTGGTCGTCAATACGCAGCCAGCCGTTCAGACCGATGTGGAAGACATCCGTGGTGTAATGGCCGCCTGTAGCGCTGTTCCCATGGTGATAGACAACTGCGAGAGGGACACACAAAATGGAAGAGTTTCAGAGGCGGAAACCAATGAATATGTGAATGTGAATATGAACATGAATAGCATGTTGTAAGCATATTGTTAAAACTTTATTACACTTCTTTCAGATATCTGATCAAGTGTCATAAGAATTCTTGGCAATGCATCAATCATGACCAAATGTAGAAACCTTAGTAACTACACAAGGAGAATGTGGAAAGAAAAGAACATTGTCCATTCTGTGCCCATATTTACAAGCTGGGCTGGCAACACGTGTTCCAAACAGACTTAATGCCCTTAACGTGAAAAACAACGATACGATGAAGAACACGTTTAAAAAGTGGGCTTCGGATTTAAGCCCCAGTGACAGTTGTTACCGGGCAGAAATAAATCATTAAATTGAGTAAACATGACGATCTTGTTAGATCCGTTTGATTTGGACACAGAACTAGCCTCAGGTGGTAACTCATTCTTTGTACTGAAACCATAACTTACTATAGGCAAGGAGTAATGTCATTACCCCCTCATCAGAAAACAGATATGTGCAACCAACTGAATGATTGGCTTGGCAGGAGGGAAAAAAGAAATACCAGTGTGTACTTGAGCCAACTTTTCCCCTAAGTGCTTGATTGCACAGGTTCACCTTTTCACTGGAGCAAGAACATTAAAAATGACATGATTGAAGTTTCCAAAGGCGCTTATTACATATTTACAATACTGTTATGTTATCATATTACACGCTGTGTAGCACGAGACCTTTTCATCAAGACTTTCTCCGTCCATGGGCCAGATGGTCAGAGAGAAGGCAAAACGTTTACCTCCAGGATCTTACAGTAAAAGATTTACTGCACCGCTATAGCAACAGTTGCCAGGGGTTACTCTACTAACAGCTTTTTGACAAGTGAGGAGCGCCCTTTTCTGCTCTGAAAGGAAAATAAACGGCTGAAGACAATTTAATTCCAAACTACGGGGAGATTAACAGGACCCCCATATCCACAGTGGAGGTTGTCTTTGTTTGAACAGGTCAGTGAGTCGTGAAGGGAGGGGAGGAGGGGGCAGGAGAACTACATGCTGAATGAGCTGCTGGAAATAACAGTTAGCTGGACACTGGCCGCTCACACCAGACAGCAGCACAGTGGAGATGTTTTCATGGGGCAGGCAGAGCTTCCTAATGAAGGACCACTTTTATCCCCTTTGGCCCTGCCAAGGAGGGGGTTATAGGGGTGGGGAGGGGTCAGGGCTGTGGCAAAGTCTGGGGTAATGCTCTAGTCTAGAAAGACTTCCTGGGTCTAGGAGGAAGAGTGGAGTGAGAGAATGTGGTTTTACTGATGCATGTTACCACAGAATGAAACTCTTGCGTAATTTCACAGCTGAGATCAGCACTAGCTACCTTGGGCATCATTCCACAAGGAGCCCTCTGGAATCATAGCAACAGAACTCAACACTGTACTTTTCCACCGTACCTTTCTCCATAGCCAAGTCATAATACTATCCAGTACATTAAACAGGTATGTTTATATTCTAGAATTTTGTAGGACATAGAAGTTTACAGAAAAGAAACAGCATTTTGCTCCAACTAAAAGTTTCTGAACATGATTTGAATCAACCTTTCCTCAAATTGCCCTTTCACTAAGCCCCGCCCCCCTTGGTTACTGTTGCAACCTCTGACAACATTTTACCGGGAAGCCCAATTCCCCATTAAAACCACTGGCGAAATCCCCTCACAATGATCTCAAACTGTGTTTCTAATACACAATGAAATTAAAAACAGACCACCCCTTGCTAGTCAGGAAACTCTTGGGTAGCCTATGTTGTGGTGGACTGTCATTACAATTTCTTCACGGGAACCTGGTGAAATTATGTTTGTAGTGTAGCTAGCCACTGAATGGCTCTGAATTCACTATTTGCATGCAATCAAAGCTATAAGCCAATTTCAGCTAACTAGTGCTTTCAAGGGAGTTGTATTCATAACGTTGCTAACTTAGCTAGCTAACATACATTGAGAAAACAAGTTATATTAAGTGGCTAACTAGCTACCTATCTAGCATTAGCAACGTTTGGTGGTCAATGAGACAGAGCTACCTAACCAGCTGAGCTAGCAAACAATGTACCAAAAGTATAATTTTGGATTAGAAAAATACTCCATCAACAGGCTCTGTATTTCAGGAATCACAGTAGCAAGTATTAATGGTGCACTGTTAAATGATTTAGCCATTTAAACATTAATTTTTTGCAGACAACTCAGTTTTTGCTATAGACATCACTGGCTTTCATGAGATTTAAGCGTGAGCTTGTCCGAGGTGTCGGACTTGACAACAGTTGCTATCCATTGGAGTGCTGCGATTGGTTGCCGAAAATTGTGGGGCGTGGCTCAGCGAAGGGTCAATTGAGATTTGTCCAAAACATAAAATTGTTCCAAGAGCAAAGTCATGGCTCCGAGAAGTTCAATCTGCTTTCTATCAGAAATACAGTAGCCGAGGAGAGCCGTTCAAGGTAGCTCAAATAAAGAGTATCAATACTATCAGCCACTGAGATAGCATGTGGAGTAAACAGAGAATGAATGGAAACCTCAGTGAGTCTGAACAACACATCAAAAGAGAATCCTATGAAATATCAAACTTAATGTTTGAATATATAATATGCTTGACTATATATGCTGTTACCTGTTCGCATTGGGCCAATGCCCTATTACCTGCGTATAATTGAATGATTGTGACCGTTTGTGTGATACTGTGTGGATAAATCGGTGTATACGGTACATACCTGCAAAGAGCCTGTAGGTTCTTTGGCCTTTGAATATTTTGCTCCGCACCCCTGAAGAGAGGAGATCTAAGGAGGACAGCCAAATTAATACATACAATACAGCCACATCACAGAGAGAAACAGAGGTGTAAGATATCCCTCAGAGCACCGTCAATTACAGTTATGAAAGCCAGCCCATCTAAATAAAGGTGGCTATAAAAATACACCAGTGTAGCGTTTGGTAAATTGTATGCAGATTAGATGTTCCAACTAGGCTAGAATGCTGCCGCTCGTCCCAAAACAAAGTAAAATGTAGCCTACTTTTTATAATATATACACCGGAGCAGGCCCAACACGCTGGACCCAGTTCTCTCCACATTCTGATGCTTATTCTGTAAATCTACAGTACTACTATCCTCAAGCTGCTGGGACTTCGTCTACGGGGATTTGGTAGACGTGCCTTTAGGACTAGCTACAGAACCCTCACATGAACCTCCTACATGGGAGAGATGGATACAGAGGCTCCCTCAGATATTATGGATATGTTGACCTACTTGGCAGAGGATTTCTAAAATGGCGCTTTTTTTTAGGGAGAGGGAAGTCCTCTATAAATATTTCCTCTGTGTGCTGCTGTTTCAGGGCTTGTAGGGTACAGGACTGATGAGGTGTGAAGCTGTGTGAGGTTGGGTGTCGGGCTGGATGAGGAGGCCTTTAACGGTATGAGGTCGACCCACAAATCATCTCTCCCTGCCGCTGATGATGACTTCCCAGCATTCTGCCGGCACCCTCGTTTAAATATGCGATGGCAGTCAAGTGAGCTACACCTGTGTGTGTCTGTCTACCTAGGACACAGACCGTGGAAAGATGGTCTTTACTGGAATATGATCAGATGCTGACAGTGTGAGAAGTATGTTAAAAATGATTGCCTTTTTCACACAGGGTTCAGAGCTTAACACACATTCAATAGAGTTAATTCAATAATTGGGGCATGTGTTTTTTAAGTGGGGAACTTACCCAATGGTCTGGAGGCTTTTCAGTGATTCACGTACCTTTGCTGATCTCTAGGTCTACAGGGTAATCAATGTTCTTGATCAGTTTCTGACAGCCTCCAGTCTTCTCAAACACAAATCTCTTGAGGTGGAGCACCAGCACAGGAGGGAGCTCCTCTAGGGTCACTCTCCGGCTGATCTCAATCTGCAAACACACGAGAGAGATGATCAAACTGACACAGGGGACTATTTGACACAGTGGCGCCACATCAAACAGCTAACACAAACCAGAACAGGTTCTCCCAATTTACCCAGGGATTACTCTGAACAAAACCAGAACACTGACACATAGGCCTACACTAAGAGCCTACTGTGAGCTTTGATCTAGTCACCCAGGAATCAATGGGGTTTTACAACTGCTCCACTGTCAGAACCAGGCTGTGACCCAAACTATCAGCTACTTCTAAAACAACAAAGGTACTGTAACAACTTGTAAAAGAAGAAAATAAAAGCTGATGAAGGTTGGTAAACAACAGTGTTGAGGCCCCTACTACAGCTGTCCAACAGATGTTGCCCTCTCCATTTTTGTGTCTATACAGAGGAAGCAGGCAAGGCACATTTGTCTTCTTACACTGGCTTTAAAACAATATGTTTTCACCAGGCAGCGCAGTCAGAGAGGACATGAAGCATAAACAATGCTTTAGTTTCCACACGCACAACACAGCCCTCAGTGTATTAACAGCAACAAGGCCAAAGGGAAGACGATCTGTCAGAGTCTGACCACTCAGCCCATTAGAAGGGGCCCAACAAGCATCCCAAATACTCCAGTTAAAAGAAACAAGACACCACAGTAACAAACATTCTCATTGTCTAAACACTACATTTTCAACTGGCAACATTCCCACATCCGGATTTTTTTTGGGGTTTTCGAGGCAGCATTCAAGTTTAGATCAACATACTTAAACTAATTGTACGTGGGTGAAAAACAAAGCGATTGAGCAAGAAATCAGAAATCAGAAACACATCCTAGCCTTGTAATGGTTTAGTAGAAGCATACAGTGGGGGAAAAAAGTATTTAGGTCAACCACCAATTGTGCAAGTTCTCCCACTTAAAAAGATGAGGCCTGTAATTTTCATCATAGGTACACGTCAACTATGACAGACAAAATGAGAAAAACAAATCCAGAAAATCACATTGTAGGATTTTTAATGAATTTATTTGCAAATTATGGTGGAAAATAAGTATTTGGTCAATAACAAAAGTTTCTCAATACTTTGTTATATACCCTTTGTTGGCAATGACACAGGTCAAACGTTTTCTGTAAGTCTTCACAAGGTTTTCACACACTGTTGCTGGTATTTTGGCCCATTCCTCCATACAGATCTCCTCTAGAGCAGTGATGTTTTGGGGCTGTCGCTGGGCAACATGGACTTTCAACTCCCTCCAAAGATTTTCTATGGGGTTGAGATCTGGAGACTGGCTAGGCCACTCCAAGAAATGCTTCTTACGAAGCCACTCCTTCGTTGCCCGGGCGGTGTGTTTGGGATCATTGTCATGCTGAAAGACCCAGCCACGTTTCATCTTCAATGCCCTTGCTGATGGAAGGAGGTTTTCACTCAAAATCTCACGATACATGGCCCCATTCATTCTTTCCTTTACACGGATCAGTCGTCCTGGTCCCTTTGCAGAAAAACAGCCCCAAAGCATGATGTTTCCACCCCCATGCTTCACAGTAGGTATGGTGTTCTTTGGATGCAACTCAGCATTCTTTGTCCTCCAAACACGACCAGTTGAGTTTTTACCAAAAAGTTATATTTTGGTTTCATCTGACCATATGACATTCTCCCAATCCTCTTCTGGATCATCCAAATGCACTCTAGCAAACTTCAGACGGGCCTGGACATGTACTGGCTTAAGCAGGGGGACACGTCTGGCACTGCAGGATTTGAGTCCCTGGCGGCGTAGTGTGTTACTGATGGTAGGCTTTGTTACTTTGGTCCCAGCTCTCTGCAGGTCATTCACTAGGTCCACCCGTGTGGTTCTGGGATTTTTGCTCACCGTTCTTGTGATCATTTTGACCCCACGGGTGAGATCTTGCGTGGAGCTCCAGATCGAGGGAGATTATCAGTGGTCTTGTATGTCTTCCATTTCCTAATAATTGCTCCCACAGTTGATTTCTTCAAACCAAGCTGCTTACCTATTGCAGATTCAGTTTTCCCAGCCTGGTGCAGGTCTACAATTTTGTTTCTGGTGTCCTTTGACAGCTTTTTGGTCTTGGCCATAGTGGAGTTTGGAGTGTGACTGTTTGAGGTTGTGGACAGGTGTCTTTTATACTGATAACAAATTCAAACAGGTGCCATTAATACAGGTAACGAGTGGAGGACAGAGGCGCCTCTTAAAGAAGAAGTTACAGGTCTGTGAGAGCCAGAAATCTTGCTTGTTTGTAGGTGACCAAATACTTATTTTCCACCATAAATTGCAAATAAATTCATTAAAAATCCTACAATGTGATTTTCTGGATTTTTTCTCTCTCAATTTGTCTGTCATAGTTGACATGTACCTATGATGAAAATTACAGGCCTCTCATCTTTTTAAGTGTGAGAACTTGCACAATTGGTGGCTGACTAAATACTTTTTTCCCCCACTGTAGCTGTACTGTGTGTGTAAGACCCTTACCTCCTGCTTGGATTTAGTGGTGTAGCCCTGAACCGACTCGCGTGCCACCAGGGTCTCTAGGGCCTCCTGAACGGTGCGGATCTTCTCTGACTGGATGTCCAGCTGCAGGGTGAAGAAGGGCTGCAGGGTGGCTGACTCCTTAGAGTTCTGCTGGTACACCACCGACCTGCATAGGACAGACAATTAAATACAATACATACAAGGACATTACAAAGCTTCACACAGCTTCTTTCAAAAACTTCAGTAATGGATATGGAGTGTCTCTCAACGACATCTCGACCTCAGAAAACAGCATCACAGCTTTGAAGGTAAGTGTTGAAAGTGGATGGGTCATAATACTGATTCTCTCTACACGTCTCTCCAAACTACTCCTCTATGAAACATCTTCTCCTCTCCTTCCTCAAGTTCTCCTCTTCGTGGCAAAAACAGATCCAAAATGTTCAAATGGCAAAAACAACTCCAACATTCATAGTCCTCTGACAGCTATATGAGTGAAAAGGTCATGCTAATCTTGCTCCAATGATTCCCCTCAGCCAAACCAATTACCCTGAGTAGAGTGGCAGAAAACGTGAATGTAGCTGAACTCAGCGGGTATGCATAGTTCAACCAAGACCTTCCTGAAGGTCTGGGCTTGTGTTCCATTTACTTTTACTACTGATTCTGAGAAAAATAATCCTCTGAAGTGATCTGTAACCCAGTCAGGCCAGGCGTGTGCCAAACCAGAACCTCAGAGAGCATGTCATTTGGCCCAGTCACACTCACAGGTACTACACTTTCAAAGTTGTTTTGTGATTTTCTTTGCGAGTGTGTTCCCCCACGCCTTGCTGTCCAGGCCACCGACCATAGGCCAGGCCACAATAGCTGTTACTATGAAGAGTGCTGCTGGAGCAGAGAAAGCCCAGTGCCAGCTGATGGCAGGCCTGGCCTGTTTGGGATGGCATCCTCAGCTGAGGTTGGAGCAGGGGGCCAGAGGCGGTGCCAGGGAAGTCAGCCCAAGGGGGCCCAGATAAAGATGGCACTATACTCTGTCAGTTCTCCTGTCATACCAGGCACCGGCGCCACAGCCAATAAAAAGAAGGGTAAGGACACCACTGGTGCCACAGTTCTGCTGCTGGGCTTTAAGAAAAATAAGCACCGGGCAGGGAGAAAAGAAACACTCAGCGGCTGACCATCACTCTGGCTTCATGTGCGAGAGAAGTCAGGTGTCTCTCCAAGACTCAGGCTTCTCTTCATGGAAATAGTAGTAAAGGCTTTCGGTCCACCAAAACATTGACTTGACTACATCTTCTTGAACAACATTAAGTTCCATTATAAGCAACACATCACATGTAAAGAAACTGTGTGTGAGTTTCCTGACACCTCACAAGTCAACACAAGTCATCGGTGTTACCCTACCGGATGTGCCCTCCGAATATGTCAGTGATGGGGGTGCGGACAAAGTCAGCTTGACGGGTAATGGAGGTCTTGTTTCGGGGGCCCACTTGCTCCCATTCCTCATCGCTCCCCTCCTCCTTATCAGCAGCATCGTCATCCACACCTGACTGGGATTCTGGGCCATTGGGTGTGGGGGCTTCTGATCAAGACAGGAGAAGAGACAACTGATTTAGAACCACAGTCAATGGCAATCATAGAGCAGATACACCTTGAGCAGTGAGGCCAAAGAACATAAGGAAATGATGTGAAGTGAAAAGGGACTAGATCAGTTCATAAATCAGAGAGCATGTGTTAATAGATCATCTCATGACCTCATGCATCAGATTTAGATCACAGCACTACTTACTATCTTCCTGAGGGGAGATTAGCTTTTTCAAAGCCAGCATCTCCTCATGCAGTCCGTTGAGGGTGAAGCCCAGGTACTCCTCCGCATCCTCCTGTCGACCCTGACAGAGAACACACAACCATCAGCACTAACGAGACCACGGTGCCAAGAGAGCCTGCTCTCTAATGCAAAACCACTGACTCAGCACACACAGGCCCTGTCCACTGTTACAGAGCTTCAGGACAGGACATCAGTGCGCACCAGTAGCATTATTAATTGCACTTCATCTGGTTATGAATCAGTAATGAGTCAGCATGTCTCATGCACCAATAGATGAGTATTTATACATGTATCAACGTACTGTACCACCAGACCGGTACAGACTGAATGTCTCTGGTGCATAGACTCAGGTGTACTGATGAGGATGTGGAATTTTACATAAAACCAGAGTCAGGAAACAGGGGATACAAAGTGTTTCAGTTTATTTGCTCCAAGTCCCTGAACACCTGAAAGTGTGGAATGACTGGATAGTTCAACATTCTAAAAATCAAACGCACTTGAAATGTAAAGACTAAATAGATTTTGATTGATATTATTGCTAGTAGGTCTGGCCGATACGGCCTAGAAATCTTGATTTTTTTATACTTCTCGGCAATTCACGATATACACAGTACCAGTCAAATGTTTGGACAAACCTACTCATTCCAGGGTTTTTCTTTATTTTTTTAAACTATTTTCTACATTGCAGAATAATAGTGAAGACATGAAATAACACATCAAACATACACTCTTGGCATTCTCTCAACCAGCTTCACCTGGAATGCTTTTCCAACAAGAAGAATCTCAAATATAAAATATATTTTGATTTGTGTAACACTTTTTTGGTTACTACATGATTCCATATGTGTTATTTCATAGTTTTAATGTCTTCACTATTATTCTACAATGTAAACAATTGTAAAAATAAAGAAAAACCCTTGAATGAGTAGGTGTGTCCAAACTTTTGACTGGTAGTGTATATCATTTTTTTCTTAAATGTTCTCTCTACACAAGCTTTGTTGTACAATTAAAAGGTAAAATACACTGCATTTCAAACTGTCAGCATAATCTAATGAATTCAGGGCTTGTGAAATTATACAGTGGGGAGAACAATTATTTGATACACTGACGATTTTGCAGGTTTTCCTACTTACAAAGCATGTAGGGGTCTGTAATTTTTATCATAGGTACACTTCAACTGTGAGAGACGGAATCTAAAACAAAAATCCAGAAAATCACATTGTATGATTTTTAAGTAATTAATTTGCATTTTATTGCATGACATAAGTATTTGATCATCTACCAACCAGTAAGAATTCCGGCTCTCACAGACCTGTTAGTTTTTCTTTAAGAAGCCCTCCTGATCTCCACTCATTACCTGTATTAACTGCACCTGTTTGAACTCATTACCTGTATAAAAGACACCTGTCCACACACTCAAACAGACTCCAACCTCTCCACAATGGCCAAGACCAGAGAGCTGTGTAAGGATATCAGGGATAAAATTGTAGACCTGCACAAGGCTGGGATGGGCTACAGGACAATAGGCAAGCAGCTTGGTGAGAAGGCAACAACTGTTGGCGCAATTATTAGAAAATGGAAGAAGTTCAAGATGACGGTCAATCACCCTCGGTCTGGGGCTCCATGCAAGATCTCACCTCGTGGGGCATCAATGATCATGAGGAAGGTGAGGGATCAGCCCAGAACTACATGGCAGGACCTGGTCAATGACCTGAAGAGAGCTGGGACCACAGTCTCAAAGAAAACCATTAGTAACACACTACGCTGTCATGGAATAAAATCCTGCAGCGCACGCAAGGTCCCCCTGCTCAAGCCAGCACATGTCCAGGCCCGTCTGAAGTTTGCCAATGACCATCTGGATGATCCAGAGGAGGAATGGGAAAAGGTAATGTGGTCTGATGAGAGAAAAATAGAGCTTTTTGGTCTAAACTTCACTCGCCGTGTTTGGAGGAAGAAGAAGGATGAGTACAACCCCAAGAACACCATCCCAACCGTGAAGCATGGAGGTGGGAACATCATTCTTTGGGGATGCTTTTCTGCAAAGGGGACAGGACGACTGCACCTTATTGAGGGGAGGATGGATGGGGCCATGTATCGCGAGATCTTGGCCAACAACCTCCTTCCCTCAGTAAGAGCATTGAAGAAGATGGGTCGTGGCTGGCTCTTCCAGCATGACAACGACCCGAAACACACAGCCAGGGCAACTAAGGAGTGGCTCCGTAAGAAGCTTCTCAAGGTCCTGGAGTGGCCTAGCCAGTCTCCAGACCTGAACCCAATAGAAAATCTTTGGAGGGAGCTGAAAGTCCGTATTGCCCAGCGACAGCCCCGAAACCTTAAGGATCTGGAGAAGGTCTGTATGGATGAGTGGGCCAAAATCCCTGCTGCAGTGTGTGCAAACCTGGTCAAGACCTACAGGAAACGTATGATCTCTGAAATTGCAAACAAAGGTTTCTGTACCAAATATTAAGTTCTGCTTTTCTGATGTATCAAATACTTATGTCATGCAATAAAATGCAAATTAATTACTTAAAAATCATACAAATGTGATTTTCTGGATTTTTGTTTTAGATTCCGTCTCTCACAGTTGAAGTGTACCTATGGAAAAAATGACAGACCTCTACATGCTTTGTAAGTAAGAAAACCTGCTAAATCGGCAGTGTATCAAATACTTGTTCTCCACACTGTACCTACGCTAAATATAGGCCTTCCACAACCATAAGACCCACTAATAATTTAATTATTTTATCAAAATAGTTTAACCTGCTTTTTTGCTATAATCACTTATCTGGCTTTTAAGTCTATGAAAATGACCTTTTTGTTACATACAGTGGGGAAAAAAGTATTTAGTCAGCCACCAATTGTGCAAGTTCTCCCACTTAAAAAGATGAGGCCTGTAATTTTCATCATAGGTACACGTCAACTATGACAGACAAAATGAGGATAATAAATCCAGAAAATCACATTGTAGGATTTTTTATGAATTTATTTACAAATTATGGTGGAAAATAAGTATTTGGTCAATAACAAAAGTTTCTCAATACTTTGTTATATACACTTTGTTGGCAATGACACAGGTCAAACGTTTTCTGTAAGTCTTCACAAGGTTTTCACACACTGTTGCTGGTATTTTGGCCCATTCCTCCATGCAGATCTCCTCTAGAGCAGTGATGTTTTGGGGCTGTCGCTGGGCAACATGGACTTCAACTCCCTCCAAAGATTTTCTATGGGGTTGAGATCTGGAGACTGGCTAGGCCACTCCAGGACCTTGAAATGCTTCTTACGAAGCCACTCCTTCGTTGCCCGGGCGGTGTGTTTGGGATCATTGTCATGCTGAAAGACCCAGCCAAGTTTCATCTTCAATGCCCTTGCTGATGGAAGGTTTTCACTCAAAATCTCACGATACACGTTCCCATTCATTCTTTCCTTTACACGGATCAGTCGTCCTGGTCCCTTTGCAGAAAAACAGCCCCAAAGCATGATGTTTCCACCCCATGTTTCCACCCCCATGCTTCACAGTAGGTATGGTGTTCTTTGGATGCAACTCAGCATTCTTTGTCCTCCAAACACGACGAGTTGAGTTTTTACCAAAAAGTTCTATTTTGGTTTCATCTGACCATATGACATTCTCCCAATCCTCTTCTGGATCATCCAAATGCACTCTAGCAAACTTCAGACGGGCCTGGACATGTACTGGCTTAAGCAGGGGGACACGTCTGGCACTGCAGGATTTGAGTCCCTGGCGGCGTAGTGTGTTACTGATGGTAGGCTTTGTTACTTTGGTCCCAGCTCTCTGCAGGTCATTCACTAGGTCCCCCCCGTGTGGTTCTGGGATTTTTGCTCACCGTTCTTGTGATCATTTTGACCCCACAGGGTGAGATCTTGCGTGGAGCCCCAGATCGAGGGAGATTATCAGTGGTCTTGTATGTCTTCCATTTCCTAATAATTGCTCCCACAGTTGATTTCTTCAAACCAAGCTGATTACCTATTGCAGATTCAGTCTTCCCAGCCTGGTGCAGGTCTACAATTTTGTTTCTGGTGTCCTTTGACAGCTCTTTGGAGTTGGAGTGTGACTGTTTGAGGTTGTGGACAGGTGTCTTTTATACTGATAACAAGTTCAAACAGGTGCCATTAATGCCATTCTTAAAGAAGAAGTTACAGGTCTGTGAGAGCCAGAAATCTTGCTTGTTTGTAGGTGACCAAATACTTATTTTCCACCATAATTTGCAAATAAATTCATAAATCCTACAATGTGATTTTCTGGATTTTTCTCTCTCAATTTGTCTGTCATAGTTGACGTGTACCTATGATGAAAATTACAGGCCTCTCATCTTTTTAAGTGGGAGAACTTGCACAATTGGTGGCTGACTAAATACTTTTTTTCCCCCACTGTATTTAACCAGAACCATGCATAATGCACATTCACTAATAATGACTAACTTGTAGCAGGTGTTATAGAAAATTAACACAGGTCTCAATCACTCTAGCACAAGCCCATGTGCTAGTGAGTAAGCAGCTCATCTTTATATTTCAAGTTTAGCCAACTTGGACCTATTTGCTGGCTAACAAGGTAGGACAGTTAAATTGTTATGAACACACCGTTCTGTCGGTCTCCAACTGTTTGAACAGCATGCTAGCCTGTCCACTTTGTTCAGATGTTGAAATCATGTAGCCTACCTTATTTCTCAGAATTAGAATGGGTTGGCAATTCGTTATATAATTGTGTTTTATGCTTATTGCACATTTATAAAACACAGACTAGACAGCTAGTATAACAGTCTTTGGCTAAAATGCTGAGCATACATTTTCCACAATCAATGTTCATTGATACTCCTGTTTTAGTAGTGCCCGCTCTGCGCGCAATTTGAGGAGTTGAGACATAAAAAGGGTATCGTTAGAAAGGTGAACTTCCTCTATTATAGTAAAATAATGTCTCAATGCATTTCGGTGTCCATATAACCGATTCTGTTGGATCAATCCACAAATGCAAATGGGAAGTTGAAGAAGTGATCTCTCATCTTTGTTGTTGTGAGTGGCAGGGGCTTGGTGTGTGCATGTAAAATGGTAAGGTGCACACAGCACAGAGGGAGCAAAGGAGACTAGACCAAAAAGACAACATGAGAACAAGCGGAAATAAATGTGCATAAAAAAATGAAAATGATTGTTGCGATATTCCGCCCTAAAACATTCTAATTAATTAAATATATCTCCCAGCCCGAATTGCTAGTACACCCTCCGAGCACACATTACACATTTTACAGGCCGAAGGTAAAGCTTGGTCTGGATGCCCCATGGCTTTACCTTCTCTGAGAGACTAGACTTGATGAGGGTGAGGAGTCTGTAGATGTAGTTGGGTTCAAAAGGAGCACCTGGTCGAATGTCTTTTATTATCTTTTCGCCAGCAGCTACGGAAAAAGCAACAAGGATCACATCAAATTAACATCAACAGGAAATAAAAGAAACTCTAGCTCTTTTAGAAGATGCTGACAGCTTACCTTGCTGTTTGGCTTTGGATGGCACAGGCATGTTGCTGAACTCATTGACAAGCCTTACACTGGAGGGAGTGGGGGAGAAACAAGGTCAGGGAGTTGCAATTAGCAAAGGAAGTACACACCCAACCCAATGCAGTCAGCACACATTTAACACATACTCTTAACACGGTTTTACCAATTTAGTTCAGGCAGGAATTTGTCATCGCTGCTTATTTGCACACAAACAAGACCTCTATTGATTGTGAGATTTGACTTTTAAATACGGCCAGTCAGCTCCCAGGGACAGAGAAGCTACTTACAAGTTGTCCATCATGGGTGTGGAAGTACAGGGTCTCTGGGTGTCATTGAACAGGGGAATGGACTTCAACAGGTGATACATGGGGGGGCAAGCAATCAGGGCCTGCAATGTCTTGGGGGAGGCAGTCAAGGGCAAAATCACCTAATTGGAACAACACTAAATATAGACATTTAATGTAACTTTATGACATGGTGTGATTGAAGCATTTCACATGCAGCTGAGAAAAGGATACAGCGTTGATATAGCACCAGTTTCCCCTGTTGATCAATCCTCTTGGTTGCAAAGAAACTGGTTTGTGTATTAACTTCACATTCTCAATTAGTTCTGGGGATTCAAACAAGTACACAGGATTTTGAACACATCCCTCACTAAATCAAACAAAAAGTTAAAATAGAAGTTAGTTTGTAAACCTCAAAAATAATATCAATTTACTCCATACTGTGCTATATACAGTGAGGGAAAAAAAGTATTTGATCCCCTGCTGATTTTGTATGTTTGCCCACTGACAAAGACATGATCAGTCTATAATTTTAATGGTAGGTTTATTTAAACAGTGAGAGACAGAATAACAACAAAGAAATCCAGAAAAACGCATGTCAAAAATTGTATAAATTGATTTGCATTTTAATGAGGGAATAAGTATTTGACCCCCTCTCAATCAGAAAGATTTCTGGCTCCCAGGTGTCTTTTATACAGATAACGAGCTGAGATTAGGAGCACACTCTTAAAGGGAATGCTCCTAATCTCAGCTTGTTACCTGTATAAAAGACACCTGTCAACAGAAGCAATCAATCAGATTCCAAACTCTCCACCATGGCCAACACAAAAGAGCTCTCCAAGGATGTCAGGGACAAGATTATAGACCTAAACAAGGCTGGAATGGGCTACAAGACCATCGCTAAGCAGCTTGGTGAGGTGGTGACAACAGTTGGTGCGATTATTCGCAAATGGAAGAAACACAAAAGAACTGTCAATTTCCCTCGGCCTGGGGCTCCATGCAAGATCTCACCTCGTGGAGTTGCAATGATCATGAGAACGGTGAGGAATCAGCCTAGAACTACACGGGAGGATCTTGTCAATGATCTCAAGGCAGCTGGGACCATAGTTACCAAGAAAACAATTGGTAACACACTACGCCGTGAAGGACTGAAATCCTGCAGCGCCCGCAAGGTCACCCTGCTCAAGAAAGCACATATACAGGGCCGTCTGAAGTTTGCCAATGAACATCTGAATGATTCAGAGGAGAACTGGGTGAAAGTGTTGTGGTAAGATGAGACCAAAATGGAGCTCTTTGGCATCAACTCAAAACTTGGAGGAGGAGGAATGCTGCCTATGACCCCAAGAACACCATCCCTACCGTCAAACATGGAGGTGGAAACATTATGCTTTGGGGGTGTTTTTCTGCTAAGGGGACAGGACAACTTCACCGCATCAAAGGGACGATGGACGGGGCCATGTACCGTCAAATCTTGGGTGAGAACCTCCTTCCCTCAGCCAGGGCATTGAAAATGGGTCGTGGATGGGTATTCCAGCATGACAATGACCCAAAAGACACGGCCAAGGAAACAAAGGAGTGGCTCAAGAAGAAGCACATTAGTGGCCTAGTCAGTCTCCAGACCTTAATCCCATAGAAAATCTGTGGAGGGAGCTGAAGGTTCGAGTTGCCAAACGTCAGCCTCGAAACCTTAATGACTTGGAGAAGATCTGCAAAGAGGAGTGGGACAAAATCCCTCCTGAGATGTGTGCAAACCTGGTGGCCAACTACAAGAAACGTCTGACCTCTGTGATTGCCAACAAGGGTTTTGCCACCAAGTACTATGTAATGTTTTTGCAGAGGGGTCAAATACTTATTTCCCTCATTAAAATGCAAATCAATTTATAACATTTTTGACATGCGTTTTTCTGGATTTTTTTGTTGTTATTCTGTCTCTCACTGTTTAAATAAACCTACCATTAAAATTATAGACTGATCATGTCTTTGTCAGTGGGCAAACGTACAAAATCAGCAGGGGATCAAATCATTTTTTCCCCTCACTGTAGATTGTGTCCCTTCTTCCAACTCTGCATCATATGACAGTGGCACACAAGGCTGGTTTGTCAGAACAAGGAGATACTGTGCCACGCCTAGGAAGGGAGACTGTCACTGGCAACACAGCTTCCATGGTAACGTGGCCAGACATTCCAGCATAGAAAGTATCATAAAACAATACCACAATCACATTATGGGAAAACAATGGGTTCAAAATACCAGGCAATTTTTTTGATAGTTCCGCCCATGTACATAGCATATTATGAACAATCTCCAAATTATAGAAACATGGTTTTTATAGATAACAGGTTTGCTAAAAGTGAAATGGTCATTCCAGGAGAGAAGATAAATATAGTTTGGCTAAACTGTAAATGCACACTCCAGATAAAATCCAGTCCAGAGATAAGATCGTATACGGGGTTGGAAATCAAAATGAGACGTGGTAGTGGTGACACCAGTTACGGGTCCTATAAATAGCTTCCTGTTCATCCTCTGGGGTCTTTCCTGACAGGAGCGCGCAGTCTGAGCACTGTATTGTGGGTAGAAAATAAGCCTTGAAGGCCGGTGAAGGCAACCACGTGGAGCATGGTTGAATTATTTACAGCACATTAGGCTGCCCAGAACCCCTCTCTCGCTCATAAATACTTCATAAGGGTGCCGGAGAGATGGAAAATCCAATTTTACTAAAAGGATGACAAAAATACAGTGTCAACCACAATTTACAAGGAGGCTTAAGTAACCCACTGAGATAAGGCCTCTCTGGACTATATCCATGAGGCCTGAGGAAGCCCAGGGTCATAGCACTGAGTGAAACAAGCAATAATCCCATCAAGATAACCACACATTACCCAGACATGACAATCCTCCCTGTCACAGTCTGTTTAAAACCACCAGTGTACCCTGTGTGTTCCCCAACACCTGTAGGCTGTTGTTGGGTGGAGAGAGTAATCAGGATATGATCATACATACCCCTTTTAATTAAGCAGCTTACAAGTTCAACTCATTATGCAACTTCGCAATTTTCTTTTAGATTCTGTGTGTGTGTTAGGAGAAAGGGTTGAGGTCAGTGATCTATCCTGCTCTAGTCTAGTACATTTGAAAATCCATAAGGTTGATGTCATGGTAACGGACTTAATTAGTGCAGCTCATACATTATTGGTAAAGCAGTAGCTCCAGCCCGCCCTCTGCCTGTATTCTCATGATTGCAGCTTGGAGTAGAGGCCTTCAATATATATTAGTATTACTGCTATATACAATGACTCCCTTTGATGCCAGCAAGGCCAGCCGGCCACATGGGAGTCTCCCTGGGCTCACATGGCCTGACATTAATTCCCCAGCTCCATTCATTGGGGCATGATTGGGGAAAATAGGGTGGTGAGGTAAAGCATGTCATGGAGATGTGTCATAGCAATCTGGGCCTTACCAAGCATTGAGTGTTAGCACCACCTGGTGTTCATGTGTATCAGTCTGGCTAAATGCCCCAATGTTGCCACCAAGTGGACGGTAGGCTGAACTTCAGCACATGCATACAGAACATGAAAAGTGCACAAATTGATAACTATTATAATAATCAATGGGTATAGTTTTGTCAACACACTCTAGGGCTGACCCCAATTATTAGACTGGTCGATTGTTTGGTCGATAGGCTGTTGGTCGACCAATATTTTTTAGCAAATATATATATATATTTTTTTGTTTTTATGGCACACAAGACCCATCTTATTCGTCCCCATCTCAGTGAACTAATCCATTGCGGAGGCCGAGACTAATCCATTGCGGAGGCCGCGGGGATGGCACACTCCAAGAAGAAGGGGAGTGTGGCTGCACAATGCACGTCTCTCTCCAGAATGCGCTTTCCCGCCAATTTGTGCACATTCATTGTTTCATAAATTGTGTGAATTGTTGGCGTTTGACTGTAAGTGTCTATCAATTCCCCATTACATATATCACCAGTAGTACATATACTGTTAATTACTATAATTTCTAATCTACAATGTTTGTTTGGTTACGGTAATGTCTGTTAATGCATTCAATATACAGTGGGGGGAAAAAAGTATTTAGTCAGCCACCAATTGTGCAAGTTCTCCCACTTAAAAAGATGAGAGAGGCCTGTAATTTTCATCATAGGTACACGTCAACTATGACAGACAAAATGAGAAAAAAAATTCCAGAAAATCACATTGTAGGATTTTTAATGAATTTATTTGCAAATTATGGTGGAAAATAAGTATTTGGTCAATAACAAAAGTTTCTCAATACTTTGTTATATACCCTTTGTTGGCAATGACACAGGTCAAACGTTTTCTGTAAGTCTTCACAAGGTTTTCACACACTGTTGCTGGTATTTTGGCCCATTCCTCCATGCAGATCTCCTCTAGAGCAGTGATGTTTTGGGGCTGTCGCTGGGCAACACAGACTTTCAACTCCCTCCAAAGATTTTCTATGGGGTTGAGATCTGGAGACTGGCTAGGCCACTCCAGGACCTTGAAATGCTTCTTACGAAGCCACTCCTTCGTTGCCCGGGCGGTGTGTTTGGGATCATTGTCATGCTGAAAGACCCAGCCACGTTTCATCTTCAATGCCCTTGCTGATGGAAGGAGGTTTTCACTCAAAATCTCACGATACATGGCCCCATTCATTCTTTCCTTTACACGGATCAGTCGTCCTGGTCCCTTTGCAGAAAAACAGCCCCAAAGCATGAGGTTTCCACCCCCATGCTTCACAGTAGGTATGGTGTTCTTTGGATGCAACTCAGCATTCTTTGTCCTCCAAACACGACCAGTTGAGTTTTTACCAAAAAGTTATATTTTGGTTTCATCTGACCATATGACATTCTCCCAATCCTCTTCTGGATCATCCAAATGCACTCTAGCAAACTTCAGACGGGCCTGGACATGTACTGGCTTAAGCAGGGGGACACATCTGGCACTGCTGGATTTGAGTCCCTGGCGGCGTAGTGTGTTACTGATGGTAGGCTTTGTTACTTTGGTCCCAGCTCTCTGCAGGTCATTCACTAGGTCCCCCCGTGTGGTTCTGGGATTTTTGCTCACCGTTCTTGTGATCATTTTGACCCCACGGGGTGAGATCTTGCGTGGAGCCCCAGATCGAGGGAGATTATTAGTGGTCTTGTATGTCTTCCATTTCCTAATAATTGCTCCCACAGTTGATTTCTTCAAACCAAGCTGCTTACCTATTGCAGATTCAGTCTTCCCAGCCTGGTGCAGGTCTACAATTTTGTTTCTGGTGTCCTTTGACAGCTCTTTGGTCTTGGCCATAGTGGAGTTTGGAGTGTGACTGTTTGAGGTTGTGGACAGGTGTCTTTTATACTGATAACAAGTTCAAACAGGTGCCATTAATACAGGTAACGAGTGGAGGACAGAGGAGCCTCTTAAAGAAGAAGTTACAGGTCTGTGAGAGCCAGAAATCTTGCTTGTTTGTAGGTGACCAAATACTTATTTTCCACCATAATTTGCAAATAAATTCATTAAAAATCCTACAATGTGATTTTCTGGATTTTTCTCTCTCATTTTGTCTGCCATAGTTGACGTGTACCTATGATGAAAATTACAGGCCTCTCATCTTTTTAAGTGGGAGAACTTGCACAATTGGTGGCTGACTAAATACTTTTTTCCCCCACTGTATTATTATTATTCCAGTCTTTTACCGTTCTCACTGTCGGAGTGGACACATTATTTATGTATTTATGTAGCACAACCTATGCTACACTTGTGAGAAACACATTTTGGTTAATTTCATTCATTTACGAGTTGTCAATTTAGTCACAGTCTTTTGTTTGGAGCGCTCCTGTCAATGTTGAGTAAGGATGTGCACCTGTTTACGCATTGAAGTAGGCCTATAGGTTACCTGGCATCCGCGCAAATGTTGGCATATAAATGTGCCCATTTGGGGATCTGATAGTATTTCTGATTGTCGTGGAGCTTCTCAAAGTAATGTTTCCTCACCTCAAACAGCAAGCAAACTAAGTCTTTTTATATCCATTGAGAATGACAATAATTCCTCAATGTATTTGAAAAATCTTTCATGCTCTCTCCCTTTAGATAAATGTCATGCTCTGATCCAGTGGAAACGTCACAAAATAGGCCTACCTGATTACTTCTTATCCCTTGCGCAAATAGCCTACAGCGGTGTGTCCAGAGTTCACTGGCACGGGAAACTGAGGGCCCAGAATATTTTATACAATGTTGCAAGGAGCTTCAGGCCCCACCCAAGTTAATAGTTGATACAATGTTTCAAGTTCATTGCAGACAGGCCATGCATAGCCAATGTGATTTATAGGATATTTATTTTTAAAATCAGGATCTTTTCTACCTGCTGGATGCAATGTTTTTATTTGTTGGCTTTATAGGCTATTTGTACATAGTTACTTTTTAGGTTTGTATCATTTTCATTTAGATTTTTGATTAACCACATGATAATGATTTTGAGATATGAAGACCTTGTTATAAATTAAATGAAACTGTTACACGAAAACGTGCATATGAAAACCATAACTGGCACGTAGATCGGTATAAATTGTAAAATAAATTGGCATTCCACATGAGAAAGGTTGCCGACTCCTCATGAAGCCTATTACCGGCAACTTCAGGAGAATAACGGCAGAATCTGCGAAAGCCAGTAGGAGCGGGAGGATGGTGGGGACAGGTTAAGGTTTTGTCTTCTGGTTATCTTGATCTCTGGCTCCCTCGAGTCATTTGTGTCATATTAAACAAACAGTGAGCTCAAAGCATCAAACAAGCTCAATGCATATATAGTTAATTTTATTAAAAACACATAGGGTGTATCTATATGGAAAAATACACGTTCGGTCGAAAGAACAGACGACTTAGATTTTTAGTTTTGTTGGAGACAGCCCTAACACACTCGAAAGGACATGAGGGTTAACCTGTGAGCTCTTCTTTGTCACACTGTGGGGCTATCTGTGAGTACACTACCTGCAAGTTTAGGGGCCATGGGATCCTCTGATACATGGACAGGGCTCTCCTTCACCTCCCCAGTCTTCTCATGCTGCTCCATGGCGGCCAGGAAGGGAGCCACTACCTCCACCACGTTCTTTACCTCCACGTAGGCCTGAGGGCTTCCAGGCAGAGGCTTGGAGTTGTGGAAGAGGCTAGCCCAGGATTTGGGGGGGTTGGCAGCGGGCGCAGCCGGAGGGGCAGGCGACTGAGGCTGCTCTGCCACCGCCGGCTGGGCCTCAGAGTCTGGGGACGAGGCAGGCTCCACTGAGGGAGCTGGGGCCTGCTGCTGGGGCTGCTCCCCTGCCTCAGAGGCCTCCTTGTGTCCGTCTGCACTGTTTCCAGCATGGGGCTCAGCCAGCCCATTGGCCACCCCACTGTCCCCAGTCTCCTCCTCTTCTTCAGTAGTAGCAGTAGCAATGGTGGCAGAGGGGCTGGCCTCAGCAACCGAGGGAGGAGGAGGGGAGGTGGGGCAGGGGCTGTGCCCGCCGCTGCCCAGCAGTTCAGGGCTCTCTGGAGCCATGTTCTCAGGCTGCTGCTCTGCAGTCCTGCCCCCCTCTGCCCCCCCACTGCTCTGAGAGGAGGAGGAAGAGGAGGAGGAGGAGGAAGCCGCGTCTTTACCATCTGATAAAGAGGCAGCTCCACTCGTGAAGTCCAAAGACGATTCATCAGGGCTATCACAAGTCCTCTGATTCACAGCAGCCGACGCATCCGCCGCTGCTGCCCTAGTGACAGGGGCTGAGGTGGAAAGTTTGCCCCCTGACAATGCCTTACCAACCATGTCCTGCGACCCGAGGTGAGGGCCGCTAAGAGCGTGTCCATTCACCAACCCCTTTCCAGGAGGCCCGTCTATGCCCATGCCACCGCTATTGGGGCCCGAGCCCTCCAGGTAGTTGTAGTATCCTGGCGGTCGCTTTTTCTTTTTCTTCCTCTCCCTCTGGCCCAAGCTGCCCGGGCCCCCGTCCCCATCCTGGCAGTTCTGGTTGCTGTCCATGGCGCAGGGCTCCGAGTCTGGGCCATCTGGGCCGTCGGGGCCATCCGGGCCATCCAGGGAGTTGTAGTGTGCTCCGTCTGGGACGTCTGCCGCCGGAGAGAGGGCTGTGGCTGTCTGCAGGACATTCTGAGACGGCTGACAGCCCAGAATGAACTCCGGAGCCTGGGGGTTCAGAGTGCTGGACACCTTGAAGAGAGGATCCTTCACTCCCACAGGCTCCAAGTCCATCACCTCGTCCACACCAAACTCAATGCGCTGGTAGTCTTCGCCTGCAGAGGAGGATAAGTCAGTCAGCTTGGGAACATAAGGCACTACAGTTCTGCACTGAAGACAAAGGTTCATAAGGATCACACAACACAATAAAATACTACTTGGCCAATATCTGGCCTCCAAAACAGGTTTTGGCATCATGAAATATACAACACAATTTCCAACTTCATTAACTGTCACAAACTCAATTGAATAACAAACATTGACCTTTAGTACTCCACAAATAAAAGTATCAAGCAACGAACCGTAAGTTCAATATCGATTACATTTAACAAGTTGCTAACATCTCAAATTGGAAGATTATAGGCAGTGAGAGAAAGAGCTGAAGGTGAACATGAAGAAAACGTTAGTAAATGCAGATCAGATCATCCCAACACTCTGAATATGGTACGGCTGGGCTATATAAGACATGACTGGTCATCCATACAACCCAGCCACCGGAAACCCTGAGGGGGAATGTAAGGTATGGTTAGAGTACGGTTGTGATTCGCTCTTCTCTGTGGATTAGAGTGTCCTCTGTTAGTGTTTTTATCAAAGGGATTTCATTCCAGAGAGTCATAATGATGCACTGAGAGTAATACCCTTGCAAAACAAAATACCTATTGTAATTGTTAGCTTCCATATAAGACCATTACTATGCCCTTATAAGTCCAATAAAAGAGGGTTCTCTCAATCCATCCAGTTAAGTGAGGGAGGGGGTATACAAATCAATCACAAGTCAACTTAAAGCACTGCTGCGGTGCAAATGTGTTTAATGCAATAGAGAGAGGAGATATTTAACGGCATCTAAGCATGCAAAGCCTCACAGATCGTACGGACAGGCAAGAATGAGAGTAAATAGGGGCAAGGTTTAGAAAGCCACCAGTTTTTGAGACCTGGGTTTGAGTTCTTCAGCAACAAGTAATAAGCACAGAGTGTCGGACCCAAAACTCACCGCAAACCTGCCGTCTCATAGACTCCGTAATGTAAGGCACAGCAGGAGTGCAGTAACTTCCTGAATAATTCATACAAATCAAGGTAAAAATCAAGTGTTATGAGCAGGGGAGGGGTATGGTTGACAGACTTTTTGTAACTTGGTGGCTCAAAAATCCCTGCTCTGCAGGTATGTTTGGACATATTTTTTACAAGTAAAACCTTATCTTAAAACAATATGAATTCAGACTGTCACTCTCTTCCATGCAGTTCAGTCAGGTTGGTCTGGATCCAACTAGCACAGACGGACGTATGTTTGACTTTGGTCATAACCATTAAATCATGTGGGGGCAAGAGTGTTGTCAACCCAGAGAGCGCTGGTCAGCCTCATGCGGATGACGTTTGGAATGGTCTATGAGACAAACTTAAATAAAAATCAGAGCAATCCAGTACAGACGTTCTTACCTGAAGACTGACTGACGCAGGAGACTTTGTCATTGAAGGGGGGAAGCTGTCAAAGAGCAGAGAGATTAGATTACAACTAAAAAAAACACTTTCTAATTAAAGTAAACAATCAAATATAGCATTAATCTCATAGACCACGACTGTTCTCAGTCTTCCTGCTTATCAATTCATCACATCTGTGTGATGTGCACTTTGGAGAAGTGGGGCAGATGACAGTCCTGGTGATAAAAACACGTTATTTTGTGCTGGCTTATATTCTTCACGCTCACTAAACTGCAAACATGAGCAATAAACCATTGTCTTCTCTGTGTTTTAGACACAATGACAGTAGATATACACACTGGTCTAAATCTATAAACTCAGCGGTTTGGGTGTTAATGAGCTTACAAAAGTCCATTCTTAAGATCGACCCGGTTAACATTAAGAGCCACCGGCACTCCAACACTTAACACCATAGACTATATGGTGTCAAAACAGCTATAAGCTGGAGGAAACGTATGTGAATAACTGTCTAATTCAAGCCTCATTCAAAAGTATTTGTCTTACCTCAACATAACATCGTGGAGTCACGAAGAACTGATTGATCTCATCAGGGCTGAACTCCCCGAAGATGTACTGCGGAGAGAGAAAATACACATTTACATAAAACACATCTGATTCAACATACTGAGGATAATCATGTGCAACCTATTAGAATCAACATATTAATCACTACATCTATTACATAACAAAATATTTCAGCTCAGATAAATGTTGGAAATGTGGTATATTCAATATTAACATGTGTGGGTAACGTAAGTGTGAAATATTGCTAAAACATCCAAGAACCCCATGAGAAACACAATTTGAAAAAAGGCCGCTATAGCCCTCCATTTGTCTACAGAGAATTTTACAGACTAGGCGTACACCTCTTATCAATGAACTGACACAGTTGTGACAGCCCCGATGGAGAGGTAACACTAGGCCTCCTGGGAGAGGGCCTGCCTATCATCAGTCTGCCCAGATTGCGCCATGGGTTTCGGTAAAAGTAAGGGACAACATGGAAAAGTGATGAGTCATGCAGCCATTAGAATGGCAAAATGGCTCCCGGCAGCCCACTTCACAGAGAACTGAGCCAAATGAAGAGACCTGACTCACTGGCTTCAGCCAATATGTAACATTTTTTGTAGTTTCTTCACAAGTGGAGTAAAACACAGCATTTGAAATCTTAGCTGACATTTGGCTACAATGTCATTATTTTATCAATCTTATGTCCCCAATGTAACAACTTCAAAAATGTTCACACAATGTTCTGGGGCAGGAAAATGTTAATGGCAGTGAGGGAAGTACCATTACTTGGTAAGCTGGTCTGGACTTGTGACCTTCAAATCCCATTGGTTCATCCAGCTGGGCTTGACATTAACGCTTGTCCGGGGACAAGTAAAAAAATAGTTTGGCAGGATGAATATGGATTTAAGTTGCCCAGTATGGACAAGTAAAACAATTCAGGCGCAAATCACAATATCAAACAATTACTCCAATCAGAATTGGATCAGAGGCCAACATTGGAATAATATGTAACATATACTGATGGGAAAAAAAGTATTTGATCCTGCTTGATTTTTGTACGTTTGCCCACTGACAAAGAAATGATCAGTCTATAATTTTAATGGTAGGTTTATTTGAACAGTGAGAGACAGAATAACAACAACAAAAAACAGAAAAACGCATGTCAAAAATGTTATAAATTGATTTGCATTTTAATGAGGGAAATAAGTATTTGACCCCTCTGCAAAACATGACTCAGTACTTGGTGGCAAAACCCTTGTTGGCAATCACAGAGGTCAGACGTTTCTTGTAGTTGGCCACCAGGTTTGCACACATCTCAGGAGGGATTTTGTCCCACTCCTCTTTGCAGATCTTCCAAGTCATTAAGGTTTCGAGGCTGACGTTTGGCAACTCGAAGCTTCAGCTCCCTCCACAGATTTTCTATGGGATTAAGGTCTGGAGACTGGCTAGGCCACTCCAGGACCTTAATGTGCTTCTTCTTGAGCCACTTCTTTGTTGCCTTGGCCATGTGTTTTGGGTCATTGTCATGCTGGAATACCCATCCATGACCCATTTTCAATGCCCTGGCTGAGGGAAGGAGGTTCTCACCCAAGATTTGACGGTACATGGCCCCATCCATCGTCCCTTTGATGCAGTGAAGTTGTCCTGTCTCCTTAGCAGAAAAACACCCCCAAAGCATAATGTTTCCACCTCCATGTTTGACGGTGGGGATGGTGTTCTTGGGGTCAAAGTCAGCATTCCTCCTCCTCCAAACACGGCGAGTTGAGTTGATGCCAAAGAACTCCACCGTTCTCATGATCATTGCAGCTCCACGAGGTGAGATCTTGCATGGAGCCCCAGGCCGAGGGAGATTGACAGGTCTTTTGTGTTTCTTCCATTTGCGAATAATCGCACCAACTGTTGTCACCTTCTCACCAAGCTGCTTGGCGATGGTCTTGTAGCCCATTCCAGCCTTGTGTAGGTCTACAATCTTGTCCTTGACATCCTTGGAGAGCTCTTTGGTCTTGGCCATGGTGGAGAGTTTGGAATCTGATTGATTGATTGCTTCTGTGGACAGGTGTCTTTTATACAGGTAACAAGCTGAGATTAGGAGCACTCCCTTTAAGAGTGTGCTCCTAATCTCAGCTCGTTACCTGTATAAAAGACACCTGGGAACCAGAAATCTTTCTGATTGAGAGGGGGTCAAATACATATTTCCCTCATTAAAATGCAAATCAATTTATAAAATGTTTTGCATGCGTTTTTCTGGATTTTGTTGTTGTTATTCTGTCTCTCACTGTTCAAATAAACCTACCATTAAAATTATAGACTGATCATTTCTTTGTCAGTGGGCAAACGTACAAAATCAGCAGGGGGATCAAATAGTTTACCTCACTGTATAAAAAAGCCTACATTTCAAAGTGTATGTGATATGCATATTAGCTACAGCCTCATGTCAAAGTGTATGTGATATGCATATTAGCTACAGCCTCATGTCAAAGTGTATGTGATATGCATATTAGCTACAGCCTCATGTCCAAACCGATGCTAACATGAGGCGACGCCAGAAAATGTAGCCAAACTTTAAATGAGTCTTTTAATTACATAAACATAGGCTAAACACCAGTCATGTTTGACAAATATAATTAAGGATCATTAATATTAACGTCTAAAGGCTCGATTCTGTCGACATACTCGAGGAGCAGTTTGTTCAGATCAAATGGTCACAAGACCGGAGAGTGAAGGACAGTGCCTGTTGCGCACCGCACATCACCCACCTTGAATCTGAGCGGAGGGGGTCTACATTTTGAAACTATTTAACCATAAACTGTCTTTTTTTAAATATTGAGCTTATAATATTAAGAAATTAAACTTGATCAACATTTTAAGCTAAACTGTCTGATCAGTTTCATCAGCCTCATTGCTTTTTACATGTTTTTATGTGCAGTGGTTTTATGAATTTTGGATCTGTCATCCCAGAACTGTCCCAGAGTGTTTTAAACCGTAGACATATACAAAAGTACAAGGTTGTCATTTTAATGTTGCAGTATTTTATAGGCTACCAAATGTCCTCCAGGAGAGCCTTAACGGGGCAGTGTTTTATTTTGAGACAGTCTTGAATATGCAAAGTCTTCAATAAGCATTTTTGTCCAACTCTCATCTCTATGGTAAAAAATACAGTAATGCATTTTATTTTGCACTTGCATCATACGATGATGTAAAAATGGTGTTACAGACCATTTTTCTATTATTGGACAAGTGACTTGTGCTTTTGGACAAGTACAACAATAATAATTCAGTCCTACTTCTCCGAAAGGTCAAGTGTAAAATAAAAGTTAATGTCAAGCCCTGTCTAGGGATTACTCCTTCTAGCTGCACCTTTTACACAAGGCTTCACACTGTAATGTCATTGTGCAAATTGAGTTGAGTACTGGCAACACTTGTCACACTAGACACAACCAAATTCCCCATATTAATAATTGGAAGTTGGGTGGTCATTCTTATTGTTTGAGGATCCATGCAGTCCATTTTGTGAATTTTCAATTAACCACATCTGATGTTTCAAATATTCATAAATATAGGACTCCCCCCCCCCCCCCCCCCACACCCTTCTGCCATTATCAATCAGTTTCAAACCAAACTGGACCAAGGCCAATTTGTGTTCAGCTAAAGAGGAATTTTTAGAGAAGGCGTTAAAATGTCGTTACGAACCTGGCAAAGCAACCCCCCTCCAGACCAGACACTAATAGTGGGAGAGTACTCTAGCCAGCCACACACTGCTTTGTAAAGATAATTATAGCCAGCATGGGGAAGGCAGGTTAAGTTAATCACAGTCGCACTGTGTAATTGAAGGTCTCTTGCACTTGCTGCACACCCGACAGCCCTGCAGTGGGGTGAATTGGTCCTTCAATCACATGGCGACTTTTCTTGGTTTGGCTCATTACAGAATAGCAGGGGCACTTGTCGATACAAAAACAACTCTGCATAACATTACATCCTGAAAAGACATCCTTGAAGTCTTTCATTAGGCAACAAATAAAAAAAATAGAAGGATGGTGGTGCATGGTGAGGGGAAGGTGTCTAATGATATGGAGCAGTAAAGAAGAAAAGGTGAAACAAGCTCGCTAACCACACAGAATCCTCCCAGCGCATTTAACAGTGGGACATGAAAAGGGAGGCACAGAGAAAAGAAAGTGCAGTTCAAGCATATGTAAATCTTTGCAAACAAGGGCCCAACATTGCTGAAATGGCACTACAAGCGACAAACAGCCTGCTATAATCCAACGGCCTCAGGACAGCTAATACAATCACAACAGAAAGAATGTCCCTTTGCCTCTTTCTACAGGCGTGCCACACGTACCACACTAAGCTTCCCTCGCTGTTAGTTTGGACTGAGGATTACCACAAAATGGCCATCTGTATTACCTCAACATGTTCCAGTGAGACGGCGTGCGCACATACACACACACTTTTAATGAATGGGGTTAGAGATCAGGGAGGAGCAGGGGTGGGGCTTACAGAGTAAGGAGGGGTCCATATGACATTTTTAGCAATGATATTGTCTCCGATATTAAAAGGAGCTAAACCAGAGAAACTGAACACATGCACATTTCTAATCTTAGTATACTAATGTTAGAATTATAATAATATATTACAGATGGCATTCAATAAAGCTTCTGTTTAACAATTAACAAAAAGACATCCAAAGGTTGCTTTATGGGGAAGACATGGCGTTGATGACCCCCTTAGAGGGGTGGGGGTGTAATAAGATCAAATGCGTCAAACAGCAGCAGAGCTGATAAGAGCCAGTCAAACTAGTTGTTTCACTGGAATTTCAAGTTACCAGACATTGCCAACTTCCACCTGATGCATAGAATAACAATCCACAAACCCCTATACCTACAAGGACTGGGACTCCCTCATCACTACTACCCAGAGTTCCCTATTGGACAGGGACTCAGCCAGCCCTGCTTTGCAAGGCCTCACAAAATGGAATGCAAAGAGTCACTATTAGAAAACTTGGCATTCCATGAATATGCAACACTACAAATAAGGTCAAACACGTTTCGAATAAACCTCTGATGCAGGCCGGGGCTTGAGTATTACATTCTCTTATGAAGAAAAATTGAGAATGATGAGCTAGCACAGGGAGTGATGCCCAAGAACTGAAAAAACATTAACTAAACACTGAGCAGAGCCAGACAGAGAAGAACACTATCATTTATTCACGTAAGAGACACTAATACAGGGCGATGTCATTCAAACACTACCAACAGCTGATGGGATTCTCTGAGGCGTAGCGCTGTATTTTTCGGGGCGTCATTACGTCATCTACCTACGTTATACAGGTATGCACGTCAGCTTTGACATCGGTTTTGCACATCGGCGTTGAACTACAGAGCCGATGCAGGCATTTTTAGCTAATATCGGCCGATTACGATATGCTTACCGATATATCGTGCATCCCTACTATAAACCACAATTGTTGAAAATGGTTGAGTAGGATTATTAGTAGTTGGACAAACACGGACCCAATGACAGATTACCAACAGGTCAACAAGAAATGTACTAAATAGTTAGCTAGTATTCACACCCCTTAACTTTTTCCACATTTTGTTGTGTTACAAAGTGGGAGTAAAATTGATCGAAAAAATACTATAATGTCAAAGTGGAAGAAAAATTCAAACATTTATAAAACATTTGGGATTTATTTTTCATAAATCTTGATTAGATAAGTATTCAACCCCCTGAGATAATATATGTTAGAACAGGGTTCGCCAACCCTGTTCCTGGAGAGCTACCGTCCTGTAAATTCACTCCAACCCAAATCTAGCACACCTTATTCTAATAATTAGCTGGTTGATAAAATGAATCAGGTTAGTTACAACTGGGGTTGGAGAGAAAACCTACTGGAAGGTAGCTCTCCAGGAACAGGGTCGGAGACCCCGGTGTTAGAATCCCCTTCGGCAGCAATGACAGCTGCAAGTCTTTCTGGGTAAATCTAAGAACTTTCCACACCTGGATTGTGCAACATTTACCCATTATTATTTTCAAAATTCTTCAAGCTCTGTCAATTGGTTGTTGAGCATTGCAAGACAACCATTTTCTGGTCTTGCCATAGATTTTCAAGCCAATATAAGTCAAAACTAACTCAGCCACTCAGGAACATTCACTGTCTTCTTGGTAAGCAACTCCAGTGTAGATTTGGCCTTGTGTTTTAGGTTATTGTCCTGCTGAAAGGTGAATTAATCTCCCAGTGTCTGGTGGAAAGCAGACTGAACAAGGTTTTCCTCTAGGATATTGCCTGTGCCATTCCGTTTTTTTTATCCTGAAAAACTCCCCAGCCCTTAACAATTACAAGCATACCCATAACATGATGCAGCCACCACTATGCTTGAAAATATGGAGAGTGGTACTCAGTAAAGTGCTGTATTGGATTTGCCCCAAACATAACACTTTGTATTCAGGAAAAAAAGTGATTTGATTTGCCACATTTTTTGCAGTATTACTTTAGTGCCTTGTTGCAAACAGGATGCACATTTTGGAAATGTTTTATTCTGTTACAGGCTTCCTTGTTTTCACTTTGTCAATTAGGTTAGTATTGTGGAGTAACTACAATGTTGTTGATCCATCCTCAATTTTCTCCCATCACAGCCATTAAACTCTGTTTTAAAGTCATCCCTGAGGGATATTAAATGTCAACTTTTTTACCCATCTACCAATAGGTGCCTTTCTTTGCGAGGCATTGGAAAACCTCCCTGGTCTTATAATATAATATATATAATAATATAATAATAATATAATATATATTATATTATATTATTAATTTGTGGTTTAAATTCACTGCTCGACTAGGGGCCCTTACAGATAATTGCATGGGGTACAGAGATGTGGTAGTCATGCTGGTTCAATGCTGTAACACAATAAAACAATTAATAAAAGTAAAATAAATATGGTAGTGACTGTCTATTACTACTTATCAACCATCATTTACTCACATTACTTTACATTAAAAAAAATATATATATATATATATATATTAGTCATTTAGCAGACGCTCTTATCCAGAGCGACTTACAGTTAGTGAGTGCATACATTTTCATACTGCCCCCCCCCCGTGGGAAACGAACCCACAATCCTGGCGTTGCAAGTGCCATGCTCTACCAACTGAGCTACAGGGGACTACATATATTGCCCACATATATTAATGACTTTCATTCCAAGTCGGTCAATTAGTTGTTTAAAAAACGAAAAATAACAGATATTTCTGTTAATCGCTCAGCACTACTAGCTAGCTACTTGCCTGGGGACCAGACAGGTGAATTTCTAGATCCACCAACCTGGAACATCTCAGTGTTCAATTCAGGAAAAAGGTCCTCCTAGATCCTCTACAAGCCGGAATGTTTAATCAAATTTAATTTGAACCTATTTAACCAGTTGTCTGCGTGGCTGGTCCTTATATGGGCAGGAATGAAACAATATATCCACAGGGAAGTATTATTAAACCAACTTTTCAAAGTGCTGGTAGTGTATCCAGATTTCTATCACCTGAAGCATGAGCAAAACCATGTAAACACGTGCACGAGCTTGGCAAGTATGCATGCGTTGCGTGCATGTATTTGTAGTCTCCTGAGTGGCGCAGTGGTCTAAGGCACTGCATTGCAGTGCTAGCTGTGCCACTAGAGATCCTGGTTCGAATCCAGGCTCTGTCGCAGCCGGCCGCGACCGGGAGACTCATGGGCAGCGCACAATTGGCCTAGCGTTGTCCAGGGTAGGGGAGGGAATGGCCGGCAGGGATGTAGCCCAGTTGATAGAGCATGGCGTTTGCAACGCCAGGGTTGTGGGTTCGATTCCCACGGGGGACCAGTATGAAAAAAATAAAATTTATAAAAATATGTATTCACTAACTGTAAGTCGCTCTGGATAAGAGCGTCTGCTAAATGACTAAAATGTAAATGTAATGCATTGTGTGCTCATGCTTCATGTGAGTAATCTAAACACACTACCAGCACTTTGAATAGTTGGTTTAATAATAATTTATTGAGAATATTGTCTTATTGCTGCCCACAAGGACCGGTCACGCAGACAACCGGTAGAGTAGGTTCAAATTTGACATCATTTTAAATACAGAAGTTTCATACAAATTTGAATTTAGAAATACACCAGTCTGGTCCCCAGCAGGCAAGCTAGCTAACGTACATGGCTGTATACAACCACATCTAGCTAGTTGGCTAATGTTATACCTGGGCAGAAGATATAGCTAGTTAGCTACTTTTCTAAAGTTCGACTACAATGTAGGATAGTTAGCTAGCTACCTAGCTAGTAGTTACGACTTCAGGCCGTGACAAGTCATTACAGCTAAACACATCATGGAGGTCTGTCCACATGAGTCAGCTTCCCTTGAAAGAAGCACAACTAGCTACGTGCTCTAAAAGGGACAGCAGAAACAGAGTGTACAATGCGCAAGCTCCGAACCGTTTGCAGAATCCTCACTGGTTCAGATTCGGATATCTAGCAAAACTGCCTCTGATCAGACAACCCCATTGTAGCTATGTCATTAGCCACACAACCTGCGTCCGCACGAACTCTGGCAAGCTAGCTAAATTAAGCTAGGTAGCTAGCTGGCTAGACAAATCAATTTGGCTAGCTAAATAAAGCTAGGTAGCTAGCTGGCTAGACAAATCAATTAAAGTTCACGTTTGACCATATATCATTTGTATTCATTCTTTGCTTATAACTCGTCGGCACTTTTAACAAATCACTCATATCTAAATGCTAAACTAGCAATTTAGCTAACATAACCAGTTATGAAAATCTACACTGGGATAAGCAGGCCTGTCGCATCAGCCAGAGCAGGTGGGCCATGCACATACACGCAGCAATCTTCAACAACAACTACAAATTGTCAAAGGAAAATGACACCTGTTGGGGTCTTTTGAATGTGTTATTTTCTCCACACAACACGTGCACATACGATTTTGCCCATGTTTATATTTTAATCTAACCCTGCTTCGAGTACTGTTGGCTAATTTGAATGGAGGCTCCTCGGGCCTGTACCATGCTGGTGTTTCAATGGGGAAATAGGCTTTTCGTGCTTAGGGAAGCATTAGCAAGCAATTTCATCACACTTTTCAATGACACAAGTCACCACTATATTTCGGGCAAGGAACACATCTAGAAATTTAATATATTATTTGACTACTTTTTCATTAATCTTGTGTCAAAACGTGAAACAGTAAAAAAAATCCTAGACGTATCAGCAGCGTGAAGAGTTCTAACGTTACCTGGTTAACGTTACTGTGAGAAGCCATGCTCCCGGTGAGATTGTCTTTTCCAATCAGAAGATGGACGTTCTCCGGGGAAGATGTTAGTTTTTTTGTAATAATTATTACAAAAGACGGCCTAATTCGACATCTTTTTCATTTTCTCGACAATGTTACTGACAGTTGTATTTTTAGGTTGTTTTATTGCTCCAGCATATCACGCTGCTTCCCCCGCCGTCGCCGCCATTTCTGTCTCGCCTCCTTGCTTCTGGCCTGCGCGCGCCGCGGATGGGTAGTGTTTTCTGGGAACGCGTTCGTTCACGTCCGGGTAGGAGGGTATAGTAGAGAACGTTTGACAGCTTGAGTAGGTGCGAAAAGAGCTGTCAGCTATGTATTATTTAGGACAGACAGATTGTGTTGTTATAACGAAGATTTATTGATAATTCAACATTCCATCCATGCATATTTGTTCACAAAAAAAGGGAAATGTGGGGAAAAAATGAAATTTATATATACACTACCAGTCAAAAGTTTGGACACCTCATTCAAGGGTTTTTCTTTATTTAAAATTTTTTTTACATTGTAGAATAATAGTGAAGACATCAAAACTATGAAATAACACATATGGAATCATCTAGTAACCAAAAAAGTGTTAAACAAATCAAAATATATTTTATATTTGAGATTCTTCAAATACATTTACATTTACATAATTTAGCAGACGCTCTTATCCAGAGCGACTTACAAATTGGTGCATTCAACTTATGATAGCCAGTGGGACAACCACTTTGATCAGAGCCTGAAGGTAAGGAGGTTGCCGTTCCCCTCACAGCTCCGTAGGCAAGCACCATGGTCTTGTAGTAGTAGCCAGCCTTTGCCTTTGCCTTGATGACACCTTTGCACACTCTTGGTATTCTCTCAACCAGCTTCATGAGGTAGTCACCTGGAATGCATTTCGATTAACAGGTGTGCCTTCTTTAAAAGTTTATTTTCTTCTTAATGTGTTTGAGGCCAAAAACCATCAAGCGCTATGATGAAACTGGCTCTCAAGTTCATTAGAGTTACCAGCCTCAGAAATTCCAGCCCAAATAAATGCTTCACAGAGTTCAAGTAACAGACACATCTCAACATCAACTGTTCAGAGGAGACTGTGTGAATCAGGCCTTCATGGTCGAACTGCTGCAAAGAAACCACTACTAAAGGACACCAATAAGAAGAAGAGACCTGCTTGGGCCAAGAAACACTAGCAATGGACATTAGACCGGTGGAAATTTGTCCTTTGGTCTGGAGTCCAAATTTGCGATTTTGGGTTCAAACCGCCGTGTCTTTGTGAGATGTGGTGTGGGTGAATGGATTATCTCCGCATGTGTAGTTCCCACCGTAAAGCATGGCGGAGGGGGTGTTATGGTGTGGGGGTGCTTTGCTGGTGACACTGTCTGTGATTTACTTAGAATTCAAGGCACACTTAACCAGCATGGCTACCACAGCATTCTGCAGCGATACGCCATCCCATCTACTTTGGGCTTAGTGGGACAATCATTTGTTTTTCAACAGGACAATGACCCAACACACCTCCAGGCTGTGTAAGGGCTATTTTACCAAGAAGGAGAGTGATGGAGTGCTGCATCAGATGACCTGGCCTCCACAATCCCCCGACCTCAACCCAATTGAGAAGGCTTGGGATGAGTCAGATGGCAGAGTGAAGGAAAAGCAGCCAACAAGTGCTCAGCATATGTGGGAACTCCTTCAAGATTGTTGGAAAAGCATTCCAGGTGAAGCTGGTTGAGAGAATGCCAAGCGTGTGCAAAGCTGTCCTCAAGGAAAAGGGTGGCTATTTGAAGAATCTCAAATATAACATATATTTTGATTTGTTTAACACTTTTCTAGTTACTACATGATTCCATATGGGTGATTTAATAGTTTTGATGTCTTCACTATTATTCTACAATGTAAAAAATAAAGAAAAATCATTGAATGAGTAGGTGTGTCCAAACTATTGACTGGTACTGTATATAAATAACTACGACCCCATCCCACTACTTTGGCACCAAAAGATCCTACCCCCCTGGAAGCTGGAACCCCTTCTCTCAAACCCCCCTGTAGTTCTTCTGCACTAAAATCTCTGACACCCAAAAACTTCTCTGCTACTAACAATTCAATCTTCTGGGATTTCCTTTCCATCTGTGCGGTGCAATTAATGACCATAGCAATAAACGCCAAGAAGCCAACCTTACTAAAGCATAAACTGTTCGGATACCTACTACTCACAGGGATCCTCTCAGGCTCCCTCACCCTATCCTCTACTTTCATCACCGCATCAGCATACGAAACTTTCTGCGCTGCTCTCACCCTGGAAACGTCAACCTGTCTCACTCGCACAGGACATTTCTGATCCCCAGCAACATGGCCACCTCCACAATTTGAAGCGCCACTTTTTCCACCGAAACTACACAGTAGGGGGGTGGAGTTCTATAGGGCGTACAGGTGAGAGGGAGGAGTTTGGAGAGGAAAGAAGTGCCAAGAGACAGGAAACGTAAAATACGTAAATAATCCAATCATTCGCACAAATTAATCCAGATAAGAACCAGAATTAAGAGGTATTGTTAATCTTTCTTCTATGATTCTTCATTCATCAATTCGTTATCGTCGTCTCAATGTTTGGTTCGCTTCAACCAACAGCATACCTGTGGGCCTTATCGTTCGTCAGAGGTTACATGGAAATGCATGTATGTTTTTATCTTCACCATCAAATACACTGACTAACGATACTGCCTAGTGCCTACTACCCTCGAGTCACAACCTGGTCTCAGAGCATTTCGTATTATTCTGTATGTAAATCTGAGATACTCCATTTAATATATGTTACTTTTAGTATGGTATGTATTAATTTGTGGATGTCCATCCCCCATTTCGTATGATAGGTTATGAATTACAATTCGTATTATATGTTATGAATTTGCGAAACGTACAATATGTTACTAATTTGCAAAAACATACTATATTTGACAAATTTGCAAAACGTATATGTTACGAATTCTAGCTAGGTGGCTAACGTTAGCTAGGCTAGGGGTTAAGGTTAGGGTTAAGTTTAGGAGTTAGGTTAAAGGTTAGGATTAGGGGAATGGTTAGCTAAAATAGTTAAGGTTAGGGGAAGGGTTAGCTAACATGACAAAGTAGCAAAAAAAAAGTAGTTGAAAAGTTGCTAACTAGCTAAAGTTGTCCGTGATGAGATTCGAACTCGCAACTTTTGGGTTGCTAGACGTTCACGTTATACTTTCGTTTTTGCCTTAAGTAACCATGTCTTATGTAACCATAACTAACGGAATACTAAAGCGAGTATCTCGGATTTACGTACACAATAATACGAAATGCTCTGAGACCAGGTTCCGAGTCAGTGTCAGCATTTTTGTTTGACTTTTTTAATGTTTGTCAAAGTTTTTCAGTGTTCATTCAGTTGTGTGCAGATTCATGACAGTATCATTCGAGTTGGGTCTGACTGTGACCCGCATCCTGGGCGGTTCTTACCTGACCAGGTTAGAACCACCCAGGAAAAACCAGCCCAAAACTTCCTCCCTCTTTCATTTGGCTCCAGGCTACTTCCTCATTCTACGGGTAGCAGTGAGTCATGGGTAACTGCTTCCCACTGGGCAGCTGTATCACAGTGTTGCCGGCGGTACTGTGACCCGTAGAATGAGGAAATAGCCAGTCGGAGGAATGCCACTTGGTATAACTGTCACTAGTGTCAACAAGCATTGCCACCAATGTTTATTAGGCCTACATGCACAAATAATAGATTGGGATTGTCATCTGATCTCCCTGAGATATCTGTATGACAACTTTACACTAATACTCAATTGATCATGGCAATATTCATTCTAATAATTTTTCAGAGAAGCGGCCAAGAGACCAGACAATGCCAGAGAGGAGCAGATACATGGAGAGGGATGAGTATGACAAGAGGCACAACAGCAGGGAGCGGGACCACTCTCACGACAGAGGAAGCTCCTCACATGAAGAGAAAGACTGGGAAAGGCAAAGAGAGAGAGACCGGAGGAAGAGAGACAAAATGAATGAGAGATACAGGGATGAGAAGGGCTCTGGCGATGACAGGAGGGACAGAGAGAAGGACTACTCTGACAGACAGCGGGATATGACACCCCATTCGCACAAGGAACCACCACCTGACCACAGAGGCGGTAGTCAACAAGGACAACAGAGAGTGTAAGAGACCATCTGACTGCCACAGAGTTGCTTCCACAGTGACCATCCTGGGCATGGGCAATTCCATGGTAACAGAATGATGCTGAGACTCAGATTTTTCACTTTCAATTATGTAAAACAAAAACCAATGATTGCAAAATCATAACAAACCATACTGTACAACTCTATGCACAAGGACTACCTAATTTCCACTTTTTTTTTTTACAAAAACATTTACTTCAAGAACAGTGCAGACGCAAAGTTTGGTAACAGAATGATGGTTTGGCTGACAACATCACGAAAATGATACACACGCATCGATGTAGCTGCGCGTTATGATTCTGTATGGTCAGATAGCTAGCAACAATGACAAGAAGCTGCTTTGTGGGGAATCGTAGGTGGCTCGTTTCAGCTCGTTGTATCTTGTTATTGATAGCATGTCTTGTTTTGAGGTGTTTTGACTGATTTCATGTCGATGCTAATATGGCAAACATTTGCTAGCTAGCTAACCAACAAATGACAAGTGCTCATTGTGAAAATGTTTTCAATAAACATTTGGAGAAAAATATAGTTAACAACAATCTAAGCCAACCCTGTCTGTTTTGCCCCATAGTTGAGCACATGTTGGTTTTGTTGATAAACAACCAACCCCTCTATGGGCAGAGAGGTTTGGAACTCTTTCTTATTGGTCTATTAACTAATTTACCGCCTGGTGATGTCACAAAAACTCAGTCCCACCAAAACTGGCTGAAATTGACATTAGAAGGGCATTATCATCATTTTCACAGTATTATTCCAACCTCAGTGTGGAAATATACACTGAGTGTACAAAACAATAGGAACACCTTCTTAATATTGAGTTGCACCCCCTTTTGCCCTCAGAACAGCCTCAATTCGTCAGGGCATGGATTCTAGAAGGTGTCTAAAGCGTTCCACAGGGAGGCTGGCCTATGTTGACTCCAATGCTTCCCACAGTTGTCAAATTGGCTGGATATCCTTTGGGTGGTTGATAGATTAATTTGTGTATTAAAAATAATGACTAAAGGATTTCACCCCAAATACAGTAGAAATGTGTATACGATATTCGAATTATCATGTAGTGTCAACCCACTAACAGAGGGGGTACTAAACATTCAAGGGTAAAGGAGAAGGCGGGAACTGTTTAAAAAAGCCACCTAAAGGTGGGAGGAGCATAGTGCCTTTGTTTGTCAAGAGGTATAAAAACAGTATGTATGTGTTTTTAGCGCCAGAGCTCTCTCCATGAATAAATATACAGATAATACTTGTTGGTTGTGGACCTTGAATCATTGATGATTAAAACCAGAGCCTTACAACCTCTGGTAATGATTCAAGCTTAGGTTGAATTAGAGATAGAAATTCACATGACAGTGGTAGATCATTTTTGATACACATGGGAAACTGTTCAGCATGAGAAACCCAGCAGCGTTGCAGTTCTTGACACACTCAAACCGGCGTGCCTGGCACCTACTACCATACCCCATTCAAAGTCACTTAAATCTGTTGTCTTGCCCATTCACCCTCTGAATGGCACACATGCACAATCCATGTCTCAATTGTCTCAAGGCTTAAAAATCCTTAATCTACACTGATTGAAGTAGATTTAACAAGTGACACGAATAAGGGATCATAGCTTTTACCTGGTCAGTCTGTCATGGAAAGAGCAGGTGTTCCTAATGTTTTGTACAATCAGTGTATATAAAACACAGGAAAAGTAATCATTGTGCATATAGTTGGATGGTTTATTTAACTTTCCAATCATTGGTTTTTGTTTGGCATACATTTTATAGTGAGAAATCAGAGTCTGCATCATTCTGTTACCATGGAATTGCCCGCGTATACCGTACAGTCTGAGAAGGCTCCGGTTTCACTGGTTTGGGATTGACTCCTTGTAATGAAGTAACTGTCTGCCAGTGTTTGAATGGCACATTGACTCTTGGGGTGCCCAAAGTAAATATACACCCCTGGAATATGAAACCTGCTCTCTGCCATGTAGGAGGCTTGTGGTGTGGTGGGTTTATGTGGTGTAGTTTCAACGTAAGATTTGGCAGGCATCAACTTCTGATTTTGTCTTTGCAGGTATACAGAAGCCTCCACGCCTCCTTCCATGGGGGAATACTATGAGCCACAACACAGACAGGCTCTGTACAACCTCAGATATGCCTTAACAGCCAGAGGCAAGTCATGTTTATATTAAAGAACAAACACCAACACAACTGAAATGTTGTAGGATTGTGTGTGGGTGAATCTCGCTGGTAAGGTGTAGTAGGCGTTGTTCTGTCTGTTTGATTGGTCCACAAGGAACCAAACGGGGAGGGACGTACCTGAATTTGTCCAATAGAAACTCTCGTTTTTGCTGGAGTAAACGGTTTCCGTTGCAAAACGTTTTGGACTAATGATTACACCCCTGTTGTAGGAATGAGCTGACCAACCACATGACCAGGCCTCTGTGGGTACAGGGTCTTTATAATGAGGGGATTGGAGTTTTGTATTATAGTATGCGTATTACTCAACGTTTAAGAATTATTGGGTTTTGTATGTGGTTTCTTTCTCCAAATTGGATGATTATCCATGATATGCAGTACGTATGTTTAATTCACACTATATGGCATACTGTATGTTCTATCTCCCTCTGTTGAGGTGGAATTCCCACCAAAATTAACCATCACTCCATGAGGCAGTGTTGGTCGTACTCAGATCAACCTCAATTTAGCTGCATTGTTGCATCATCCTCCCTCTCTTGTGAAATGTATAACATGACCTTCAACTCAGCTCGCCATCTCCCGAGACTCTTACTGTATGATAAGTAATGTCTTTCGCCCTTTCTTAATCTGTTCTGTTCAGGTCTGTGCCAGATAATGGAGGTCTTTGTAAACCTGCTGATAGTCATCTGCTCAGGAGTGACCTACAGTAACTCAGGGGGTTACCGGGACCTGGCCAGCCTCGGGGGTATCTACCAGTACTACTTTGGAGGAGCACAGGCTTTCACTGGAGCCGATGTAGACAGGGTCAAGGAGCTGGACAAGCTGTTCCACCAGCTCAAGCTGCCTCCATACATCTTCAGCATGGCCTGTGGAGGGGCTCTGATGGTCTATGCCTGCATTATTCTGGCTTTGGGGATCCTGAGAGTCCCTTACCGCTGGCCCCATGTGCTGCTGGGTGAGGCCCTGGTGAACCTCCTGATCGGCCTAGGCTACATCCCTGCCCTGGCCTTCTACTTCATCAAGCTGCAGGAGACCTACGACAACCCCATCTGCACAGAGAGGGAAGCACTCTACAAGAGCAAAGGGCATCAGGGCTTTGCATGTGCACTCAATGGAGCAGACATCGCTGGAGGCCTCTTCGGGGTGCTTGGAGTCATCGTTTTCATCTTCGGAATGGTCTTGGCCATCCGTGCTTTCAGGGCAGTGCGGGAGATGAAGAGACCGAGAGCGATGGAAGATGGTAACTTATAACGGGGTTTGCTCACCCCCCACTGTGAATAGAACTGATACAAATGTAGGGTTGAGATCAAATTCGGTCAAACAGCTATAAATGCTAGTGCCTTTTTATATGAATTGTGACTGTACAGTTTAAACACTTTTTTTTTTTTTTTTAAATCAAAGAGCAATTTTGTACATTTTCTTTATTCTGATCAATTTTATACACTTCAAACTGCACACTTGTTTTACTAAATGTTACAGATGAGACATCTACACTGTCAAATACATTGTTCTTTACTAATAAAACTCTTAAACTGATGTATTTCTCCTCCTCATGAACCCTCTAGCCTAGAATATCTCCATCTTACCTTGTAGAAGAATAGTTATTGTTTGTGGCCTCTGTGGGACTGAAAACATAAATCTGTTTTGGTGTGGAGCAGAGCAAAGAGATCAGCAGTGTATTCATTCTGCCGATTCTGTTGCAAAACACTTCTTAAACGGAAGCGAACAGGGAAGGACCTACCTGAATTGATCCAATAAAACTCTTGTTTTGCTCTGTTTGCTTCCATTTGGTTCTTAAACGGTTTCCGTAATGCAGCTCAGACGCAAATCAATGGTGTTTCTGAGGACAGTGTATGGCCAATGCCATCATCAGAAAGACAATCGAGGGGAACAGAAGTTAGGGAAATGAGAGAAATGCAACAACGCCCAGGTTTTTCACAGTATAAATTTTATTGCTACTTGGCTGAAAGTTAATTAAAAATACAGCTTTTCTGCTCAAAACTAGTCATAGCAGCATCTCAAATGAAATAATAAACCATCGCCCACTCAATTTAAATGAGTACAATTCTGGCTGACAAACAGCAAAAGTGCTCATGGTTAGTCCTTTTCCTAAATGATAAAACACAAGGTATCCTCTAAAACTAATTACATCAAATATTTAACAGAATTTTAATATTTTTTAGCAGTTTTCTGCATGCTAAAATATAAACAAAAATATTAGATATGCTCCAGATATTCAAAACAATGCCTTACAAACATAATGTTAACATTTTGTACAAAGTAATCACATTGTATGTGCACTGTATATATTTTATATTTATATGCATTTATATATGGCATGCTTCAGACATTAAATACATTAATAATTAGTATCTTAAATAAAAAATATCATAATCTGTGACGGTATACTATAGAATCCCTTTATTCTAGATTCTGTAGTGGAGAAGGACCTATACATTTGCATGAACAATGTACAAAAATAAACCTCAGCTTCTTGGCATTGAGAGAAAATATTCAAGCATCTCTAGAAAATAATGTACAGAAAGAAAGGTGAGATCAAACAATGTTTACTTTGGTCACATGTTAAACAATTGGAACGTCCTCAATATCAGATTCTTTCCAGAGTTAACTATAATCATTTAACAGAATGATCGAGATTCATTCTGTTAAATATAACAGCAAACATGCATGTACACGTGCATACTTTCACACTCACACCTCTTTCACAGACCACAATGACAAACAGGCAGCATGTTCTCCCTCTGAGAAGAGAAATAAAACCTATAATGTGTTAACAGAGAGTGGATTAAACGGATTCAGAATGAGTAAATTGAAAAGTCGCCCAGAAAACCATTCTGATACCATAACCTACTTAAATGTGCACACCCTCACACAAACACAAACTCAGTTGTATTTACACAAGATTATGGTGCACTCATCAGATCATGAACAGAAGTTGATCTCCTCTACTAAATAATTAAAGGGAATACTTTGCCATCCATTCTGATGGCACCTTGATCTGTTACTCTGTGCCCCCTCTTACTGTAGCCATACATACGGTATGCATATGTACAGGCACATTTATTCCTCTATTTATATCTATGTTAATGATCTTCTCAATGATATTGTATCTAGCTCTTGTTAGTAGGAGTAAACTTTTTGGTTCTTTACAAAAATAAGAGAGAGTTGACTGTAAACACAATAGCAAATCATACTTGGCTGCTAGAGCATGTAGCATGGGTGCATTTGGGACGCACAGAGCTTAGTAGTGTGTTGCTGGTCCTCACCTGGCAAACTAGGGCCCAATTATGGAGCCTCTTGATCAACTATTCTACAAGGACCACTGCTCGGAAAGAGTTGACAAAAGGTCAAAACACACACGATGGCAGAACACTGCACTTCACGATTCACACACACATACATCCGCACACACAGACATGAATGCTCAGTTACTACTCATTTTCATAGTTAAAAAAAAAAGGTTATCCTATTTTCAGGTCAGGTGTGTAACCTGTTAGTAATATATACAGGTGACACTTTGCATATTTGATGTGAGGGAATTCATGTTCATAAACATCTACATTTTGTAGTGTATTTGAAGTCTACCTGTTCATTAAGAGGATTCCACCAACCACATCAAAGACAATCACCTCTTCATACTGTTCTTGTGTTCTCAACTTAAATGCCATATGAAAATGTCAGATGTGTGCCAGCTCAAATCTGTTTCTTTCGTCTGTCCTGAAATGCTCTATCTGTGCCCAGGGTGGAGGGCAAACCCACACCTGTGGTGCTTACATGTACCTGTGTTACTGCCTGAGGCACAGCAGGTGGCTTCCGTTAGCAAACAAAGCAATATTCAAATGGTTGGTTTCTGCCACTTATCATCCCTAGAAGGAGCCAGGACCTTTTACAACTCAACACCAGCTGCTGTTCCTCTCATGGAAGCAGAATGACTCAATACAAAAAAAGACTTGAACAAGGAAGAACAATGCCTATCTTTGTGCTAAAAGACAAACTTGCATCCACCAGAAAAGCAGTTTTGTAATTGTCTCACACTTTACTTCGAATTATTAGCACTTCTATTGGATACTTTCTCTTAGAGAAGACATGATATGTTTGGCTGACAGAAGCCACAACAACGACAACTCAAGCCCTATGAGTTAATGTGCATTGTCGATAAATATCTCACATAATACTCAAATATCAACCTTTGAATATATTCATCTCCCAATGTACAAAGTGCTTTAAACAGTGTTTGATCCTTTCAAGAGCAGATTTTGTCCGACGCTGGGACAAAATAAGTAAATTAGACTTATATAATACATCTCATATTATAAGCAAGCAGGCTTTGGAAAGGCAAATTCACCAATCATTCCAGTCTAGAACGTTAAGGATGTAAATAGCCATTTCGAAGCAGCTGTGAGGTTTGTGAGCATCTTAAATACTGCCAATTCTATTAAACCTTTAGAATCCACCCCACTGGTCCCAAGCCTTGTTCTACTGGCCTGAAACTTTGCCTTGCTCTCTCTGCAATTTGGGGAAAAGAATGCAAAATATTGGCGTTTTCAGGTGTTCTATGCTCCTGACCTTGCCACGTAAGGTCAAGGGCAAAACCAGCTCCGCTAAAGGAAATAAAACCAACAGAAAAAGACGGTCCCCATCATCATTAGGACTGGCAGCGCTGCATTAAGGATTTGAACAAGCTTAGAGAGGGCTGTAGCTAGCTAAGCAGCTATGGTAGGTGCTACAACCATGCCACTAGCCTTTTCACAGTGGCATCTAGGAACACATACCGGTCATTCTCTAGTCAGACCACAAGCCCTCTCTTACTAAGTCAGACTGTTGTCCTCTCTAGAATGGGTTAGGATTAGACAGTTTGGCACAAGGGGGAAGGGGGTAGATTTTGGTCTGCAGCTATGTTATATCAATGATGAGTCAATTAGTGGTATCCTATCCTCTAACATCGCCAGAGCACAAGTGCAACTTTATAGAAATGTCACATTCACAGTCTACTGACCCATATTATGCTGATGTCTTTATTTAAATCAATGTCCATGACTGACATATTTCACCATGTCTGTGCTAGATATAAGCTAGGGCCATACAACACTAAAACCCTTAGCAAATGCCCCAAATAAAGTCTGAACTCAAATTCTGATGCAAAATGAATGGCTTACAGTCAATACTTTAGGTTGTTCACTCTTCTCATGACACAAAGTGCTTTGCTCATTGTGATGTCATCACTTCATTATCCAGTGAGGTGGATATGTAATGTCTAAGTTAATGTCTCATTGGCCCTATACATAAGAATACCTGTGTTTTTTCTTTTGTGTGTCAAAATACAGTCGATACTTTAACCCACATCTGCATCATGTCATCATCCCAGGACACAAATGTGAGATGGATGAAATCATTAGCTCCGGTGAGGTGATTTGTAGATAAGAGTATTGTATGGGACTCATAGAAAATTTGTATATTGTAGATATTTGCTAAAATTCCACATAAACGTAATCTGATAAACCCATTTTCTCATTGTTCCTTTACAATACCCCATCCAGTCATCCACCCACCTGTTGAATTGGTTTGGTGTTGCCCCTCGTGTGAGCTTCACACCACCCCTCTTACTCAAACCAGCCCTTATTGTCGCCAAGACAACAATGAGCTTTTCTGTCCAGCCAACAAAAACACACTGTGCTTGTTCTGAATCTGTTGTACAGTAGGTGGTAGAGTACACCAGGGAGTACACACTGGTGATATTCACTGATATAGAAGAAACAACTGAGGCAATTCATAGTTATCACCACCAGATGTCCCACAAACCCCTATTGAATCTGTCAGTAGATCTATGAGAATGAAATATCTAATTATTTCAATGAGTAAATCATATTATTTTTACTCTTTCCCTCTCTGGTCACTGACTTAAAATGAAGAGCATCAACCAGCTATATCTATAGCCTCCAAAATAATTATGCAAACTGCATGGCTAAAATAGAACATATTTGTACCAAATAGTACACATACATTTCACAACATACATACTTTACATATACAAAAAATATACCATGTTACATCCTCATTTTAGTACACTACTCATGGATATTTTGTTCAGATGACTGTGAAGCTAACGGAATGATGGGAATGGAATGATTCTGATACGTTGATCACTAGAGAGATTTTGCACAATTGCCTGGGTACAACAAGCCTGAAACTAGAAAATCTAAAGAAAACGGGGTCTACACACCTCACAGTATCTGGACTCCTTAAATGATGGCACTCTAATAATGTGAAGAACTCATGTTGAAGAGCATGTTTTTTCACCCATAATTTGTAATGATTACTGTATAGTATCTACTGTGCATTGTAGCTTCTTTGAGCTATGAACACTGAACGATTGCTTTGCCTTCATTGTCACCACTCATGTTGCTCATAAAACATCATTAATATAACAACTTTTTCTGTAAAAATTTGCTGACCATGCACTGTCACGGATACAGTGATACAATAATGGTTTTGAAGCAGTATACCATATTGGTTCTGTACAGGTGAGCAATGCACTGTTTATTTTGCGTTTGCCTTTTCTTGAACATTTCTGTAGAATGCATTATTTCTCCCAGCAAGGCTTCAATGGTTTCCAAATGGATAGGCATCCTGATGCTCAGACAAGGCCAAGCAGGCCATGTGATTACACCACTATGTGGTTCTGCACTATACTGCTCAGACTAAATGTGTATATAGATACTAACTGTATTTCCAATATAGAGGACTATGGTGTAGATAGAAAGGGTCACATCTTAACATTATTTTTTCAGTAAATTTAAATTCAGTTAGTTTTTTATCGTCTGCTGTTATGTTCCTACTTGCCTCTAGCATACACAGTCTGAATCCTTGTACCACAGAGTAAGGCCAGTCAGCCCAGGTTCCAGTCCTGCCAGCCATGTCGACTGCCATAGTGCAGTCAACAGGTTAGAGAGAGAGAGAGAGAGGAGAGAGAGGAGAGAGGAGAGAGAGAGAGAGAGGGAGAGAGAGAGAGAGAGAGAGAAAGGGAGGGAGGGAGGAGAGAAGTGGCTGTACCATTGGTGGCCCCTGGAGGACGCTGTCACACAGTGATGTCCTCCTCCAGGGTTAAATACTGATGTCCCCGCCCCCATCCCCCTCCCCTCCCCTCCATACACACATGCAGGCAGGGACATCTGGGGCTGAGTCATCTACAGTAGGCACTTTTTCACCCTTTGGGTCGCAGGACTTGTCCCTGGGATCTAGGAGCCCCTGGAGCCCCAAGGAATGGAATGATAAAACACTCAAAGGGATTCTTCTACCGTTTCACTATTTGACCTTCCTTCCAAGTAAAGGGAAATGTTGCAAACAAGTTCTGCAGTCTAAAACGCATGAGGTATTCTAGTTCAGGCTGGGGTATTTTGGCCTGCGGTGGCCCCCTTCTTTTCACAACCTCTTTTCATGGGTGGTGATTTCTGTGCCTGTTCAGCTCTGATACTCCCGACAGTTCTACCAGGTTCATCAGACAGTTAGCTAAGCATCTCTCTACGTCTAACGTGACGTAACGCATTCATGTGTGAACAGTCAAGGCCCCACATGTCCATCTGGTCTTCATGACAGAGCTGTATGGAAACTTGAACTGGAATATCCCACCTGTGCCAGAGAGACCTCCTCTGCCCCCCTGGTATGGCACTGTCACAGGACTGCCACAGGGTGGAGCTGTGCTCTGGCCCCCTCTAGAGGGCAGTATCATAGACTTCATGCTGTAGGGCAGGGATAGTGTTGGGGGCGAGGTCCCGCTGGGGCAGCATGGGGGCAGGGGGGTTGGGGTGGTCCCACACAGGGTCTCTGATGGAGGGGGGTGTGGAAGGGGGTGGAGGTCCTGGGACCATAGGGTTCTGGCCCCTCAGCTGTTCCCTAACATCCTGCTCTAGACTGGGAGGCACTACCAGCTGGTCCTCAGGGTCCTGCTGGGCGGGGGCAGTGAAGTAACCCGTCTTCTTCTTAGGGGCCTCCAGGGCTACCTCGATGAGGTTGTGGCTATCTTCCGGGGCCACCACGGAGCCGTTGGAGAGCTTCTTCCCAAAGAGGCTGGAGGTGGAGGGGGACTTCTTCAGGTCGGAGATCTCCCTGCCACACACAGCCAGCAGGCAGCCGTTAGTGGCTGACACCACCACGCTGTTCTGACGCCGCATCTTTCCGTTGGGGTAGTCCGAGCGTGTCTTGTCCAGGTTGTGGTCCTTGGGGCTCGCGGGGGGCCCAGAGCGGATCTGGAAAGCACAGCAGTGGATGTCCACCTCCACCTCCAGCTTGCTCCCGTTGGAGATGACCCCCTCTAGTGGAGCCTCGTCATCACTGTCCAGCCCGTTGTCAGACTGGTTACTGGAGAAGGTGGCACAGGAGGGCTGGCGCTGGAACAGGACTGGGTGGGGCCCCCCTACCCCGGCTGAGCCGGGTCCCGTGGGGCCACAGAGCGTGGCTGCAGGGTGGAGGCTACAGCGCCTCTCAGGTCGGGCCGTGGGGCCAGAGGAGGGGTGTTCGTCAGAGGCCGTGGAGCCTGCCTCACTCCCCACCTCCGAGGCTGAAGTCTCGCTGTTGAACTCTGAGGCGATGCCACTGCTGGAGGAGGGCGTGGCCGGGTCCCCTGGGGGAGCAGAGACAGGGAGGGGTGTTGGAGGGGGTCCCCGGGGTTCAGTCCCAGTATTGGCGAGAGCGGGCTCACAGGTACAGCTGTCCTCCCCGATGTGCAGGGACACCACCACCGCCCCCACATTGTCCCGGCAGCCGTAGCTCTGGGCCAGCGTGCAGAGCTTCTTGGCAGCAGCGCGGGGGTCCCTCACGGCCTGCACGGTGCACACGGCCTCCTGGTAGGACACCCTCTCAAACAGCGCCCGGTTCCCCAGGATCAGGAACTCGTCCTGGGAACACAGGGGCTCGGTGCGCACCCAGGGCTTGGGCAGCACCCAGGGAGACAGATAAGAGCAGCCCAGCAGGCGAGAGCAGCATGTCACTCCACTCACCTTATTATCCTGCAACACAATAACACAGGAGGGGACTCAGCTCTGCACTTTGAATACAAATGAATACCTCTGAGCATAAGGCATCACATCAAACGTTAACTAACAAGTAGATCTTAATGAACACAAAGGCACTCACAAAGATGTGCATTCCCACGCACACACACGTAATTCCCCACAGTACCTCAGTTATGATAGCCTTGCTGAGTTTGACCCTCTCCATCTCTTCGGTGCTCTGCTCCAGGCTGAAGACCTTGGAGAGGGGCAGGGGCTGGCCATCTCGACACAGCACCGCCTGGCAGCTGCCCACGTTGGCCACCGTCAGGCTGAAGTAGCTGCCCAGCTCCGACGGCTCGTGGTGGATGTAGCATAGCAGGGCAGATGCACCCAGCTTCTGACCAGCCATGCCCAGTTTCCTGCATCATACATTACAGAATGCAACTATCAGTTGCTAATGCAGTTGTGAATTAAGTCAATCAAATGTAAATGAACAGTACAATTGTAGGATTGTCTTCCCTATGGGGCAACAGTAATTCATAGGATACTGAAATGTGCATTACATTTAGCTTGTATTAGAGTAATTTCTGTCTGTGTGTGTGCGCATGTCCTTGGGTGTGTGTCTGTGTATACATGATGCTCATACCTGTGTGAGGTGAGGAAGGTGTTACTCATGTACACACTGTCCACACTGGAATGCAGCAGCTCCTCCGACAGCACATCTCCCATGGTGCACTGCAGCAGACGAGGCACTTCCTCATTGCGGTCTCCGTCGAAGATGCCATAGGCCGCCTCAACGCTGTCCCCAAAGCGGTCCACTGCCAGCACAGACACACACAACCTGTCCCCAAGGAAGAGAAAATACCATAAATATAGATAAGATTAACAGAAAAAGTGTAAACAAAATGTGTTTACACTTTGTGTAAATCCCGTTATACAATCTTGCTCATAAGCATACAATCTTGCTCAAATACGCCAAGGTAGTGGGTTCGATCCCCGGGACCACCCATACACAAAAAAAATGTATGCACGCATGACTGTAAGTCGCTTTGGATAAAAGCGTCTGCTAAATGGCATATTATTATTATTATTATTATACTTAAACAGTCAGACAGAGCCCCATTCCTACGGAGGCAGCAGGGGGTGGGTGTGACACCAGACACGGCCTCGTGACACTGTGGTGGTCATGACCCTGTGAGGCCCTGTTAGGGCAGCAGTCAGGCACATTGGGCCACCATCAATGATGCAGGGGACCCTGCTTTATACCCATTTTATCCACAGGAAGTATTAGGCTTCACCGCCTTCCCTACTATTAAACAAGATCCACTGCCCAGGGGCCTTGAGGCCAGCCCCGCCGGACATTCACCCAGGCAGTGGAAGCTGTGCTGGGGCTGTACAGTTAGATAACTAAGTAACTCCTCCATAGATGCATATTATAGCCCCGGGTGGGGTTTAAAATAGGAGCCCAGCCAAGAGGCAGAGCAGAAAAGAAACTGGCTGATATGGACTATGCACATCCTCTTCTCAGACCATTTAATGTAGTGCTGCTCACAGCGATTCCCTGAAAGAGGAAATGCTATTTCCTCTGACCTTCTTAAAGACGCTCTCTAAAACCACACATGATCTCATAATCCCATTTATACCCTCTCATCAGAATATCGTCATAAATTGGGGCTTCACACAGGCACAAAACACTATCATGCTCTCTCACACACGCTCACTCACTGTCTCATAAAGTAACTCTCTCTCCCTCAGCCCTCCTTCCTCCCTCCCTTGTGCTCACTTGTTCCTCTGTCCGCTCATCTCAGAGTAACCGTGGTTCCACAGGGTGGAGGAGCCCAGGGAGTCGCCGGTGGTCATAGCTGGCTTCTGGTCCAGCTTCAGGGTGGTGATGTGACTGAGGAGAGACAAAGAGATTACCTCACTACGCACTGGACCGAACAATCATTCACGCCGTAGCACACGTCTAAGAATATCATTTATCTCATAGCATTTCGAAGTACACCAGTGGCCTGATACTTTTCTGTGCGGTCTGACACTGTGGTCTCTGTGTGTCACCTGAACAGGTTGAGTGTTTTGTGCTCCAGCAAGAGGCTGCTGTTGCCAGTCAGGTCCAGTTCGTGCAGGGTGGCCTGTAGAGAGTCTGGCAGTAGGATCTCAGTCAGCTCATTACAGCTCAGGTCCACCAGCTATATATATATATACACACACACACACACACACAGAGAGAGAGGGGAGTGGGAAAAGATAACACACACACTGTTACACATTATAACATTGTAATAGATATACAGTGGCTTGCGAAAGTATTCACCCCCCTTGGCATTTTTCCTATTTTGTTGCCTTACAACGTGGAATTAAAATGGATCATTTCATTTACACAACATGCCTACCACTTTGAAGATGCAAAATATTTTTTATTGTGAAACAAACAAGAAATAAGACCCCCCAAAAAAAAGAAGAAACTTCAGCGTGCATAACTATTCACCCCCCCAAAGTCAATACTTTGTAGAGCCACCTTTTGGAGCAATTACAGCTGCAAGTCTCTTGGGGTATGTCTCTCTAAGCTTGGCACATCTAGCCACTGGGATTTCTGCCCATTCTTCAAGGCAAAACTGCTCCAGCTCCTTCAAGTTGGATGGGTTCCGCTGGTGTACAGCAATCTTTAAGTCATACCACAGATTCTCAATTGGATTGAGGTCTGGGATTTGACTAGGCCATTCCAAGACATTTAAATGTTTCCCCTTAAACCACTTGAGTGTTGCTTTAGCAGTATGCTTAGGGTCATTGTCCTTCTGGAAGGTGAACCTCCGTCCCAGTCTCAAATCTCTGGAAGACTGAAACAGGTTTCCCTCAAGAATTTCCCTGTATTTATTAGCGCCTTCCATCATTCCTTCAATTCTGACCAGTTTCCCAGTCCACGCCGATGGTGTTCTCGGGATGATGAGAGGTGTTGGGTTTGAGCCAGACATAGCGTTTTCCTTGATGGCCAAAAGTCTCAATTTTAGTCTCATCTGACCAGAGTACCTTCTTCCATATGTTTGGGGAGTCTCCCACATGCCTTTTTGCCAACACCAAACGTGTTTGCTTATTTTTTTATTTAAGCAATGGCTTTTTTCTAGCCACTCTTCCATAAAGCCCAGCTCTGTGGAGTGTACGCCTTAAAGTGGTCCTAAGGACAGATACTACAATCTCCGCTGTGGAGCTTTGCAACTCCTTCAGGGTTATCTTTGGTGTCTTTGTTGCCTCTCTGATTAATGCCCTCCTTGCCTGGTCCGTGAGTTTTGGTGGGCGGCCCTCTCTTGGCAGGTTTGTTGTGGTGCCATATTCTTTACATTTTTTAATAATGGATTTAATGGTGCTCCGTCAGATATTTTTTTATAACCCAACCCTGATCTGTACTTCTCCACAACTTTGACCCTGATCTGTTTGGAGAGCTCCTTGGTCTTCATGGTGCCGCTTGCTTGGTGGTGCCCCTTGCTTAGTGGTGTTGCAGACTCTGGGGCCTTTCAGAACAGGTGTATATATACACTGAGATCATGTGACACTTAAGATTGCACACAGGTGGACTTTATTTAACTCATTATGTGACTTCTGAAGGTAATTGGTAGCACCAGATCTTATTTAGGGGCTTCATAGCAAAGGTGGTGAATACATATGCACGCACCACCTTTATGTTATTTTTTTCATTTCACTTCACCAATTTGGACTATTTTGTGTATGTCCATTACATGAAATCCAAATAAAAATCTATTTAAATTACAGGTTGTAATGCAACAAAACAGGAAAAACACCAAGGGGGATGAATACTTTTGCAAGGCACTGTATACATATCTAAAAGACATATGCATAAACACACATATAAACAGATATGAGTGAAACTGACCTTGATCTCTGGCAGGTTGAGGATCTCAGGGAACACACTGATGTGGTTGGAGTGTGCTATGAGGGTGTGTAGCCTCTTACAGCTGGACACAGTGGAGGGGATGGTCTTCAGCTTGTTGCCACTCAGATTGAGCTCCTCCAGCAGCTCCAGTTTACTCAGTTTACTGCACACACACAGAGCAGTATAGAGACGTCTCAACCACACAGAACAAAGGCTCATATCAGATCTAGAGAATAGCTACAGTATATTAGGAGCAATAGAAAACATATTATGTCTTGAGACATACCTCAACTAGCCGGTGCCCCCGCACATTGACTCTGCAACGGTACCCCCCTGTATATATAGCTCCCTACTGTCACTGTTATTTTACTGATAATAGCCTCCCTACGTCACTTATTTTACTTCTGCTCTTTTTTCTCAACACTTTTTTGTTGTTGTTGTTTATTCTTACTTTTTTTGTTTAAAATAATGCACTGTTGGTTAAGGGCTGTAAGTACATTTCCACTGCAATGTCTGCACCTGTTGTATTCGGCGCATGTGACCAATAAAATTTGATTTGATTTGATTTGATTGAGACGCAATCTCTAAAGTAGTGGGTAACCCTGTGTAGAATACTTCAACTGATTGAAGGCATTTCCATTCTTCATAGGTACTGTATGAAGGCAGTTTAACTGGGTGTGGAGTTGGTTACCTGGCAGGGAAAGAGAGCAGCTGGTTGTAGGCCATGTGCAGGACTCTGAGGTTCTGGTGTCCCACCAGCAGGGCGGCACAGTTCTCATTCAGTTTGTTCCCTGTCAGGTACAGTTCCTGGAGGGTGCTGAGGCTCTCCTCTGATTGGCTGCTGGGGGGAATTATCTCCAGGGCATTGGCTGACACGTTCAGGTACTTTAAGCTAGGAGGAGGAGCAGAGAGAGATGTATGTAAATAGGAAAGAACCCAGGATTAATTGCCAGTGATGTAAGTGATGTAAATGTGTAATTTCAAGTCAACATTAGATGATTTAGACATAGTGTAAAATGTAGAACTTCCTCTTAAAGCTGTTATGACAGGAGAGTTAAATGCTCTTGTTACCAACACTCTGGCCATACATTTCCTTTAACAAAACGGATTCAGATAAATGATGACAGGGAGAAAATCAATAAGAATACATCTTCTAATGGTGGCTCTTTTGTAACACTAACTGAGAAACAAACATTGTTGACCAATGAGGCACTTTACAGCCGTCACACTGGCACTCGATGTCTCAGCATGGGAGACAGAGTAGAGTAGCCCAGGACTAATGGGTGCCCAGTGATTTATCAGACAGGAAACGGTAGAGCGTCAGGCTGCTGGGGTGGGATCACGTTACAGTCTGACTCTCTGACTGGTCCTCAGAGCCACACACTCCAGAGCCTGGCAGATACAGCCCAGTGGACCCAGTCAGCGAACCAGGGCCACCACGTCTATGTGAAGTAAGACATCTCTTACAGACTGCCAACCACTTCAATCCCATCAAATATTGATACTGTATTTCTACTGCATGATGTAGGGAGGATATAGGGCAGTGTTTCATTTCAATATGCCCGATCCTGTTTTGTCCTTTAATTGGTTGTTGTGGTTGAATAGAGGAACAGGGCCAATGCTGCTCAGGGGTTAAAGCAACAGCAGCAGCGTCACAGGCCCTGGGGGAGACAGAGCATCAGCTGCAGCCTCCAAAGCACCTGTCAGGAATGGAGAGAGAGGGAGAGAGGACAAACACCAAAGAGAAGGGTAGGAGAGAGGGTGGGTGCGAAGATAGAGAGGAAGGGGGATTGACCCACTTTAAGGCCTTGTAGAAGAGGCTCTCCGGGAGCTCGCCTAGCTTGTTGTGCTGGAGGTCGAGTGCTTCCAGGGGGACGTGGTCAAGTAGGTCAGGCAGTCTCTGGAGCCTATTGTTCCCAGCCAGCAGCTTCCTCAGACTCAGGCTGCTGAGCAGTCTAGTGGAGAGGGAGAGGAAGAGATAAAGAACATCATCTCCTGCTGTGAATTTGATCACTTGTGAAACTGGGGGGAATCTTGAGGCACAGAAACTCCACAGACAACAAATCCATCAATGTCCTTTTGAACTTGGCAGCCTAAAGATACCAACACAGCACAATTTACTCCAGAAATAATAACACAGAGGTCTCATCTGCAGCTACGCCGTCGAGCCGAATATTATCTTGTTTGCGAAGGCTTTGGTCTATTCAAATGCAAATAGTTGTGTTGAAGGGTAACGTTAAATGACGGTTGCTTTGAGCGGAGTGCTCCAGCATCGCCATACTGACATCACAGTCTGCTGACAGAAAGATGAAAAGCTGTGTATTAGCTTCACACAGCCAATGGAATCCTCTCATCAGCTGACTGTCAACACATCTGCTGATGTTTTAGGGACAGTTATTTCTGTCTGGACATTGGCTAAATGATGCCCAATGTTAACCAGATTAATATGGTGCTCATTCTAATAATAACTGCAGACTGTTTAAAAGCCAAATCCGGATGATACGAGATGGAAGGATTAAACATATAGTACAACATGATGGACAATGTAAGTAACAGCCTTTAATCTACCTTAACAAATATGCATGTTTAGAGCATATTTAGATGAGTTGGAAGTGAGGAGTTTGAGAAGGATGAACTAGTCCTCATAGGGAGACTAACCTGGCTGGTAGTTCAGACAGGAAGTTGTGTGTGACGTCCAGCACCTCCATCTTCCTACTGTCACACAACCAGTCTGGTAGGTACTCCAGCAGGTTCCTGTCACAGAGGTCACAGAGGTCACAGTCAGCACAGAGGTCAGAGGGGATATAAGACATTTTAACCTCCAACTGTACATGTACAGTGCATTCGGAAAGTATTCAGACCCCTTGACTTTTTCCACATTTTGTTACGTTACAGCCTTATTCTAAAATGGATTAAAATCGTTTTTTCCCCCCATCAATCTGCACACAATACCCCATAATGACAAAGCAAAAATAGGTTTTTAGAATTTAAAACCCCCCCCCCGAAATATCACATTTACATAAGTATTCAGACCCTTTACTCAGTACTTTGTTGAAGCACTTTTGGCAGCGATTACAGCCTTGAGTCTTCTTGGGTATGACGCTACAAGCTTGGCACACCTCTCTATTTGGGGAGTGTCTCCCATTCTTCTTTGCAGATCCTCTCAAGCTCTGTCAGGTTGGATGGGGAGCGTCATTGCACAGCTATTTTCAGGTCTCTCCAGAGATGTTCAATCGGGTTCAAGTCCGGGCTCTGGCTGGGCCACTCAAGGACATTCAGAGACTTGTCCCGAAGCCACTACTGCGTTGTCTTGGCTGTGTGCTTAGTGTCGTTGTCCTGTTGGAAGGTGAACCTTCACCCCAGTCTGAGGTTTTGAGCGCTCTGGAGCAGGTTTTCATCAAGGATCTCTCTGTACTTTGCTCCGTTCATCTTTCCCTCAATCCTGACTAGTCTCCCAGTCCCTGCCGCTGAAAAACATCCCCACAGCATGATGCTGCCACCACCATGCTTCACCGTAGGGATGGTGCCAGGTTTCCTTGTTTCTCATGGTCTGAGAGTCCTTTAGGTGCCTTTTGGCAAACTCCAAGCGGGCTGTAATGTGCCTTTTACTGAGGTGTGGCTTCCATCTGGCCACTCTACCATAAAGGCCTGATGGGTAGAGTGCTGCAGAGATGGTTGTCCTTCTGGAAGGTTCTCCCATCCCCACAGAGGAACTCTGGAGCTCTGTCAGAGTGACCATCGGGTTCTTGGTCACCTCCCTGACCAAGGCCTTTCTCCCCCGATTGCTCAGTTTGGCAGGGAGGCCAGCTCTAGGAAGAGTCTTGGTGGTTCCAAACTTCTTCCATTTAAGAATGATGGAGGCCACTGTGTTCTTGGGAATCTTCAATGCTGCAGAATGTTTTTGGTACCATTCCCAGATCTGTGCCTCGACACAATCCTGTCTCGGAGCTCTACGGACAATTCATTCGATCACATGGCTTGGTTTGCACGGACGTTCACTGTCAACATTTACATTTTAGTCATTTAGCAGACGCTCTTATCCAGAGCGACTTACAGTTAGTGAGTGCATACACTTTTTTTTCTTCTTTTTTTTCTCATACTGGTCCCCCGTGGGAAACGAACCCACAACCCTGGCGTTGCAAACGCCATGCTCTACCAACTGAGCTACACGGGCTGAGCTACTATGAGCTACTATGTCCCAACTGTGAGACCTTATATAGAAATCATGTCCAATCAATTGAATTTACCACAGGTGGACTCCAATCAAGTTGTAGAAACATCTCAAGGATGATCAATGGAAACAGGATGCACCTGAGCTCAATTTCGAGTCTCATAGCAAAGGGTCTGAATACTTATGTAAATAAGGTATTTCTGTTTTTTATTTTTAATACATTTGCAAACATTTCTAAAAACCTGTTTTCGCTTTGTCATTATGGGGTATTGTGTGTAGATTGATGAGGATTTTAATTTTTTAAAATCAATTTTAGAATAAGGCTGTAACGTAACAAAATGTGGAAAAGTGAAGGGATCTGGATACTTTCCGAATGCACTGTAAATGAAAAAAGCTACCAATATACCAGGTTCATGATTAGAAGTGTTGATGGATTAATAACACTTCTTCCTTCCTGATTGAGAAACTGAGGCCCTGGCCACACAGCACTCACCGTGATAGGTCCATCTGTGTCAGCTGGTTGGGTACTGGGTAGATGTTGACCGTGGTCAGGCCTGTGGGTAGAGGAAAAGCAGTGATCAGCAGCCAAGCTAGGGATGGCTATATGCATTATGTAACAGTGGTAGAGGGCCTGGAGAGACAGGGCCAGGGAGGTAGGTGCTCCACTCACAGTTGCTGCTGGCGTGAAGTGTGCGCAGGGTGAAGCCACTCAGCGTTAGCGCCCTCAGCTGGTTTCTCTGGCAGTGCAGAGTTTCCAGGCTGCAGATGGAGCTCAGGTCCAGTGTGGCCAAGTGGTTGTCCCTCAGGTCCAGCTGGGTCACCTGCTTCACCGCCTCCAGGGCCTCACTCTTCACCCAGCGCAGACCGTTCAGCCTGCATACAGTACACAGCATTTACACAAAGGCCTCATACAGTACGTAAGGGAAAATCAACAAGGGGCTATGTGGAAGGTGTGTTCCTCCACGACGTGCTAGCGGAGTGGAACTGACCTTCCACAGAGTTGTATTATTTTCCGGAGAACACATAGAGCTGCGAGTTGATTATCCCTTTTATATCATGGCTATAATTTAACATATTTACCGCTAGAAATGGGTTCATTTGCAGGTAGAAATGTGTTCAACATCCACTGAAGTAGCTCCCAAGTTTACCAGATAACGATAGTAGTTGCCTCCGTAATCAAACAGACTTGCTAGTTTAGCTAACCAAACCAAAAGTCCTAGCTTGCTATTATAAATTCAACAATGCCAATAATATTTTCAATATGTATTTTACTTTCAAAAGTAGCTCAAACATAGAACATGTAAGAACTACAGCCATTGAATTCTACAGTGCAAATACTGTGGGGAAAAAAAGTATTTAGTCAGCCACCAATTGTGCAAGTTCTCCCACTTAAAAAGATGAGAGAGGCCTGTAATTTTCATCATAGGTACACGTCAACTATGACAGACAAATTGAGAAAAATAAAATCCAGAAAATCACATTGTAGGATTTTTTATGAATTTATTTGCAAATTATGGTGGAAAATAAGTATTTGGTCACTTACAAACAAGCAAGATTTCTGGCTCTCACAGACCTGTAACTTCTTCTTTAAGAGGCTCCTCTGTCCTCCACTCGTTACCTGTATTAATGGCACCTGTTTGAACTTGTTATCAGTATAAAAGACACCTGTCCACAACCTCAAACAGTCACACTCCAAACTCCACTATGGCCAAGACCAAAGAGCTGTCAAAGGACACCAGAAACAAAATTGTAGACCTGCACCAGGCTGGGAAGACTGAATCTGCAACAGCTTGGTTTGAAGAAATCAACTGTGGGAGCAATTATTAGGAAATGGAAGACATACAAGACCACTGATAATCTCCCTCGATCCACGCAAGATCTCACCCCGTGGGGTCAAAATGATCACAAGAACGGTGAGCAAAAATCCCAGAACCACACGGGGGGACCTAGTGAATGACCTGCAGAGAGCTGGGACCAAAGTTACAAAGCCTACCATCAGTAACACGCTACGCCGCCAGGGACTCAAATCCTGCAGTACCAGACGTATCCCCCTGCTTAAGCCAGTACATGTCCAGGCCCGTCTGAAGTTTGCTAGAGTGCATTTGGATGATCCAGAAGAGGATTGGGAGAATGTCATATGGTCAGATGAAACCAAAATAGAACTTTTTGGTAAAAACTCAACTCGTCGTGTTTGGAGGACAAAGAATGCTGAGTTGCATCCAAAGAACACCACACCTACTGTGAAGCATGGGGGTGGAAACATTATGCTTTGGGGCTGTTTTTCTGCAAAGGGACCAGGACGACTGATCCGTGTAAAGGAAAGAATGAATGGGGCCATGTATCGTGAGATTTTGAGTGAAAACCTCCTTCCATCAGCAAGGGCATTGAAGATGAAACGTGGCTGGGTCTTTCAGCATGACAATGATCCCAAACCCACCGCCCGGGCAACGAAGGAGTGGCTTCGTAAGAAGCATTTCAAGGTCCTGGAGTGGCCTAGCCAGTCTCCAGATCTCAACCCCATAGAAAATCTTTGGAGGGAGTTGAAAGTCCGTGTTGCCCAGCGACAGCCCCAAAACATCACTGCTCTAGAGGAGATCTGCATGGAGGTATGGGCCAAAATACCAGCAACAGTGTGTGAAAACCTTGTGAAGACTTACAGAAAACGTTTGACCTGCGTCATTGCCAACAAAGGGTATATATCAAAGTATTGAGAAACTTTTGTTATTGACCAAATACTTATTTTCCACCATAATTTGCAAATAAATTCATTAAAAATCCTACAATGTGATTTTCTGGAATAAAATTATCAATTTGTCTGTCATAGTTGACGTGTACCTATGATGAAAATTACAGGCCTCTCTCATCTTTTTAAGTGGGAGAACTTGCACAATTGGTGGCTGACTAAATACATTTTTTCCCCACTGTATACTGAGTTATAGGGAAATAATGCACACTCTAGAATGCCCTTCAAGCCAATCAGAAACTAGTATTCAACAATGCCATGGTATAAACAGCATTATAAACTGGGTGGTTCGAGCCCTGAATGCTGATTGGTTGACAGCCATGGTATACCACGGGTATGACAAAACATTTATTTTTACTGCTCTAATTACGTTGGTAACCAGTTTATAATAGCAATAAGGCACCTCGGGGGGTTGCGGTATATATGGCCAATATACCACGGCTAAGGGCTGTACCTAAGAACAGCCCTTAGCCGTGGTATATTGGCCATACAACACACCCCCTCGGGCCTTATTGCTTAATTAACACACAGGCTTCATACACATAGAGAACATAGGATCAAGATATTAACATCAACATGGGGTTAAAGCAATGGCATCAGACAAACAGAACACTGGGTTAGAATGCTGACAGCAGACAGACACTAGACAGAATATGTCTGGCTGATGAGTTCCAGACTGCCCCTGTGTGTCTCCCTCTTCCTGATCTGATCTCACTCTGCAGAACCTCTCCTCTCCCTTTTATGAGCCCAACTGGCCTCCTAATCCTGCAGGCACCCAGCCCCCCATAAATCCACCCCATAACTCACTCTCAAGGTGAGGCAGAGCAAGAGAGAGGGAGCGAAAGAGAGAGGGAGAGAGACAAAGAGAGGAGAGAGAGAGGGAGGTAGAAAGATGGGAGGAGAGAGATGAATAACGACTAAACTTTAAAACAGTGACGGGGAGTGAAGGGGGGTGATACTGCAGGTTTTTAGGGGATCAATCTCACTATCAATGGCTGCATCAGAACTGGATAGAGAGATGAGAAAGGTGTTTTATATGAAAATGCCTAAGTGAGGCAGGGTCAGGCATCGGGGTAGGGGGCATTTGGGGGGGGGGGGGGGGGGGGGGGGGGGTGGAAGTACATTGAACCGTTGCTGCCAACTCTGTGAGATTTAATGACAGGGGGGCTCTTATTACCATTGTGTATTGATCTTGAATTATGCATGCTGTGACTGACGAATAGAGTGTATACACTGAGGGATGTGTGTGTGTGAGTGAGTGAGTGAGTGAGTGAGTGAGTGAGTGAGTGAGTGAGTGAGTGAGTGAGTGAGTGAGTGAGTGAGTGAGTGAGAGAGAGAGAGACAGAGAGAGAGAGAGAGAGAGAGAGAGAGAGAGAGAGAGAGAGAAATAGAACTAGGAAAAGAAAGATAAAGACAGGGGGCCCGTATGAGGGCAGAGAGTACAGACTGGTCTAGTTCCTCACCGCAGGTCGATGTTCTTGAGGTGGCTCATCCTGGCCAGGATCCCCAGCTCCAGGGTCTCCACCCGGTTCCCAGCCATGGCTAGCCTGTCCATGCCGCTCAGCCTATCCAGAACACCAGGGATGTGGGGGAAGTTGTTGAAGGAAAGCCCCAGGCTGCTGAGCTGAGCTAGGCCGCCAAGCTCTTCGGGCAGGAAGCTCAAGTGATTCCCATCCAGAGACAGGGTCTGCAGACTGGGGGACAGACATATAAATCTTTTTCATCTCTGTTTTCTGAGGATACACAACTGTTTGGCATTCCATAAGAAGAGGTGAAAATGTCAGTGTTTGTATATTTGAAATCATTCTATATTAAGCATCATGCTGCAGTAAGTGAGCTGAGAGCATGAAAAGTGGCCTGATTTTAAAGCTTTATTTAATCTGACTGCATAACAACAAACAGCTGAACTTAATGCAGTTCACTGGTTCAATTAACAAAACAAAAAAAACACACACAGAGAACATGCTCGATAATGATTCACTGCTAAGATGAGCATGTGGGCTCATGTGGCCAGAAAGGCGAGCAGAGGGGAGAGTACTGCACACAGCACTGAGCAGCACAAAATGTCCAACCCAACATCCAGTACATAGAGGAACTGATACTCATATTGACCATCATGGAATTACACCCTACCTAACACAGCTAGAGTGGGAATGTTAGCATGTAATCTATGCCAAACTCAAAATAATATATAATTTTGGCTGACTGATATAGGGTGTATGTATGTGACTGTCTCACCTCTGGAGGTTACCTATCTGTCTGGGGACTGTGTTCATGCCGTTACAGGAGAGGTTGAGCTCTGTCAGGGTGAGGATCTCACAGACAGACTCTGGAAACACTCCCAGGCGGTTATGCGAAAGGTTCAGGCTCTTCAGCTGGGAAAACCTGGGTAGAAAGAGAGGGTTTGAAAAACTGGACCTGGCTTTTCTGACATGTTCAATGAATGACCAAAAGTAATTCAACGTAGAGATAGTTTTTCTGTCTGATTATAAAAATAGATGTATTTTGTGGGCTCATTGCATTGGCTCAGGCAGTCTCGTTCATCATAATCGCTCCATTGGAATTTATGTCCTCGTTACTAGGGGCTGCTGACATTTTACATTTTCGCATCTGGCCAAAACCCCATCTCACACACACACACACACACACACTAAGTAGCAATACAATCATTTTAGTGAATGAAGTGATGCAGAGTGGATGGGGGATGGAGGTGGCCGCCGTGAGTCACAACATATGCTAGAGCACAGACCGCATCCGAGAAGAACCATCCCCTCCCTCCTCCACCCCCTCCCTCAGGCTCCATCAGCCTCCCTCACTCCCCTAGCCCTGCTCTGTCTAAATATACAGATAGAGGGAGTGACAGACACACAGAGAGAGAGAGAAAGAAAGAGAAAGAGAGAGATGCAGTGATGTGTACATTGTCTTCCTCTCAGCTACACAGCACAGTAGATCCTCTATCATGTGTTCTTTCCACAGCCCTTCACACACGCATAAACACATGCACGTCCACACACCACTTATTACAGCTCGGCCCTCCTGTAATGCTTGCCATACAACAGGAAATACTACAGAGGGTAGTAGATAATTAACATTTAATAGCATTATCTCTTTGAGAATGCCCGCTTGCTCAAATATGCCCCAGTTGTACCATAGGAGTGGACACTGAGCTAAGTGCCCCTTCACCCTCCCAGATGATATGCCGGCTGAACCACCGTGTCTCTGAGCATCGACCACAAACGAGTGGTCAGGAGAACTTATCAGCACCGACTAGACGATAAAACAAGCTCTGTGATAAACAATGTACGTACCTGTAGAACATCATATGACATGATTACATAATGCCTTTGGGTAAAACTGTCAGACTGTGTTGTAACACTACCACAAATTGCATTGTAACAGGGAGGACAAGTTTATCTGTGGACGGATTAAGATTTAGTATCGAGGTAGGGGTGTTACTGAGCAGGTTTAGTATTGGGCTACAGGTTTCGCTAGGCATGTTCAGACTTATTTTAGGTAGGGTTTTCCTAGGTAAGTTGTGTCAGTGGTTGTGTGCTGCCCTGCCTGGTGAGAGAGTGCATTTACCTGGGGAGGTTGAGCAGTCCTCCGGGGCCCTGCAGGGACATGAAGTTGTGTCGGAGGTTGAGGTGGGTGATGTCCTGGCTGTAGAACAGGTACTCTGGCACCTCCTCCAGACTGTAGCATGACAGATCCACCAGGCTGATGGTCTGAGAAACCACCTGCAAACACAGGACATGTCCGTTTACTGTTTACTGCATCCAAATGGGTTTTTAATTAAGCTTAGTGATAATAGAACAAGGTTTTGACCAGAAACCACCTGCATGGAGCAATTGAGTTTTGCACACACACACGGAGTAACGGGCAACTTTAATTTAAAAAGGTTGAGTCGGTTCAATAATGCTTAATTCACAAAAGGGAAGTTGGAATCCTACGCTTCAGCATTATAGAATGATTTATTGAGCATTATAAATAAAGGAATACTGATAAGGTTATGTTGTGAGTCCATAACAAAACAGGATGTTCACACAGTGTTGAGGTCTATAGGAGTTGGCAGCATGAACTCCACTGAGGTGTGTGGTACTTAATCATTATCCTCACAGTGAGTGCTGTGTATATCCAGGGGTGAAAGTAGATGTCATTTCTTCCCGGTATGGGACCTCCTATGTGTGCATTTTTTTATAGGCCTAATCATACAATTACATATAGAATTTCATAGGATCTCTATGCCTAATTGTACAGATTTGTCGTTTAACTTTTCAAATGTATTAGCCTACCTTTTAATGTGGCATCAACATAGTCATGTTTTCATCTGATTGTCAAACAATTACTTAAAAAGGCTCATGTAGGCTACCTGCGTACTTTACTCCGGGACGGCGTGATGATTATTTGAAAGGGGGGTGCAGAAGAAAATAGTTTAAGCCTCATTTAGATATTTTTCTGCTTATAATTTCTGACATTTGGTAGGCTATTTGTAAGTCAAGGTGTCTATAATTAGGTACATGCAGCTTCTCTTGTCATTACTTGATGCTCGTGTAGAATACTAAATAAAGCCTTGCTCGCCGAAATAATGTCATAAATCATCAACAATCTACACCGAACAAAAATATAAACGGAACATGTAAAGTGCTGGTCCCATGTTTCATGAGCTGAAATAAGATCCCAGAAATGTGCGGAGGAGTATTTATGTCTGTAATAAAGACATTTTGTGGCTCCCCAGTGGGTGGGCCTATGCCCTCCCAGGCCCACCTATGGTTGTGCCCCTGCCCAGTCATGTAAAATCCATAGATTAGGGCCTAATGAATTTATTTCAATTGACTGATTTCCTTATTTGAACTGTAACTCAACAACATCTTTGAAAATAAATGAAAAGCTGTGAAAACGATCCAACATGTTTCTGATAGTATTTCAATTAGTCTTGGATGCACATTTTATGTGGTTGAAAATGGAATCCAGTCAGCTTTTATGTCGCTGAAAGAAATTGCACGTTTAGGCTACACAGCCCAGTCCCTAAACGCGCATTCGCATCCAATCATATTTCGCCACTCCTGTTCCCGAGACAAAAATGTACATTTGGTCTATCATTTTACTGCGAGGAACACTTCATTCTGCTGGAGTTTATATTATAATAGGCTACATATGAAGCCTACAGTCAGTGTCCAGACTTCCGTTACTATTCCAACTATTCCAAAATAATTCTGGCCTCCATACAGTGCACTGTGCACCCGCCATTTGATCAATGCAAAGAGACATCAGTTACAAAACACCAAAGTCTTATGAATGGCATTCTGTGATTGTCATTCATTAGGCCTACACAAGTCTTGTAACCTGAATGTGTGTGTACACTGCTGTCCGTGCGAATCTCGGTCTTGGCCACTCATATCTGCATTGGCAAAATTTCAGTGTTATTGTCGAACCACACCGCACTTCGAGCGTTGGCTATTCAACACCTCTTCAAGTCTATTCGCTAATTTTTCACATGACTAATGATAGTGTAATAGCCTACAGTTTTCTTGAAATCTGTTTTAATTCTTGTGATAGGCTCATGTTTTACCGGTACGGCTTACCCCCACTATTTATTTTGCCGGTACTCTGTACTGGACCGCACTGGCTTACTTTCACCCCTGAGTATATCTGATTTTTTGTATTGTTCAGCACTCCCTGTCCCGCCATTGCTTTTCATTGGCTATGCTCATACAGTCATGGCTCACTTACAGTGGGGAGAACAAGTATTTGATACACTGCCGATTTTGCAGGTTTTCCTACTTACAAAGCATGTAGAGGTCTGTACTTTTTTATCATAGGTACACTTCAACTGTGAGAGACAGAATTTAAAACAAAAATCCAGAAAATCACATTGTATGATTTTTAAGTAATTAATTAGCATTTTATTGCATGACATAATTATTTGATCACCTACCAACCAGTAAGAATTCCGGCTCTCACAGACCTGTTCGTTTTTCTTTAAGAAGCCCTCCTGTTCTCCACTCATTACCTGTATTAACTGCACCTGTTTGAACTCGTTACCTGTATAAAAGACACCTGTCCACACACTCAATCAAACAGACTCCATCCTCTCCACAATGGCCAAGACCAGAGAGCTGTTTAAGGACATCAGGGATAAAATTGTAGACCTGCACAAGGCTGGGATGGGCTACAGGACAATAGGCAAGCAGCTTGGTGAGAAGGCAACAACTGTTGGCACAATTATTAGAAAATAGAAGAAGTTCAAGATGACGGTCAATCACCCTCGGTCTGGGGCTCCATGCAAGATCTCACCTCGTGGGGCATCAATGATCATGAGGAAGGTGAGGGATCAGCCCAGAACTACACGGCAGGACCTGCTCAATGACCTGAAGAGAGCTGGGACCACAGTCTCAAAGAAAACCATTAGTAACACACTACGCCGTCATGGATTAAAATCCTGCAGCGCACGCAAGGTCCCCCTGCTCAAGCCAGCGCATGTCCAGGCCTGTCTGAAGTTTGCCAATGACCATCTGGATGATCCAGAGGAGGAATGGGAGAAGGTCATGTGGTCTGATGAGACAAAAATAGAGCTTTTTGGTCTAAACTCCACTCGCCGTGTTTGGAGGAAGAAGAAGGATGAGTACAACCCCAAGAACACCATCCCAACCGTGAAGCATGGAGGTGGAAACATCATTCTTTGGGGATGCTTTTCTGCAAAGGGGACAGGACGACTGCACCGTATTGAGGGGAGGATGGATGGAGCCATGTATCACGAGATCTTGGCCAACAACCTCCTTCCCTCAGTAAGAGCATTGAAGATGGGTCGTGGCTGGGTCTTCCATCATGACAACGACCCGAAACACACAGCCAGGGCAACTAAGGAGTGGCTCCGTAAGAAGCATCTCAAGGTCCTGGAGTGGCCTAGCCAGTCTTCAGACCTGAACCCAATAGAAAATCTTTGGAGGGAGCTGAAAGTCTGTATTGCCCAGCGACAGCCCCGAAACCTGAAGGATCTGGAGAAGGTCTGTATGGAGGAGTGGGCCAAAATCCCTGCTGCAGTGTGTGCAAACCTGGTCAAGACCTACAGGAAACGTATGATCTCTGTAATTGCAAACAAAGGTTTCTGTACCAAATATTAAGTTCTGCTTTTCTGATGTATCAAATAATTATGTCATGCAATAAAATGCAAATTAATTACTTAAAAATCATACAATGTGATTTTCTGGATGTTTGTTTTAGATTCCGTCTCTCACATTTTAAGTGTACCTTGATAAAAAATTCAGAAACCCCTACTCTTTGTAAGAGGAAAACCTGCAAAAAAGGCAGTGTATCAAATACTTGTTCCCCCACGACACAGTGCGAATGCAGCCCCAACACATTTCCTTCAGCTCTGAAAAAGTAGACTGTATAGTCGTGCAATGGGGAATGTCTTTGGGGGTATGTCAAGTCCAGCAAGCAGTGGTTTTCAACAGTGGTCCTGAGGGAGTGCTAGGGGTTCCCCAGCAAAATTAGTTAATAGCGTCACAATCATTTAACCACTTAACTTTGGTTATGTTTGAAAAACCTTGAAAAAGTGTGCACATCTTTGAATATTTATCTACATTATAGCCTACAGTAGTACCATAACAAAAAACAAAGCTTACAGCGCTTGACGAGGCAATATCAATGGCTAAATTAAATGTGTTTTTTTTTTAAGTGCAAAATAAAGTGCCTGTAACACGACAGTAAGCGCGTAAGCCTAAAGTTGCAGCAACACGGCTGCTTAAAATATACGGTAATCAGCCTACCAGAAAAGTCATTAATCCTCGTCTTCATCTTTTAGGCTAAGGTGCAGTACACGGCTGTAACCAGAAAAGTCAAATCATTAATCCTCATCTCCGTCTTCTTCCTGCGTACTAAAACCACCAAAGTCCTCATCTTCAGTGTCGGAAACGAACAGGCTCAGGGTGGCTTCGTCAGCCACTCTCCTCTCTCCTTCGTTGTCGCTCTCAAAACCAACGAACTCCTCTTCGTCACTGTCGGAATCGAACAGCCTCTGAAGGGCCTCAGCTGTGGCGGCGTCCTCCTCTTCATCACGCAGCAGTCCAGCCTTTCGGAACCCGTTAATGATCGTGGATGTTTTGACAGCCAGATTAACTGCCTTTAACTTAAAAGCTGCATCATATGCATTTCTACGTTTGTTTTCCATAATGAGGGTTTGTGCATGAAAACTTCCTTTGCACAAACTGTCTCGCTCTCGTAATGTCTGTCTGTCTTGCTCTCGTTCTGTCTCTCGTTCTGTCTCTCGTACCACTCTCGGTTCCACTTTTACTTTTGCGCGCTACCTGTCTCACTCTTTTCCGGCCTCCAGCTTTTCCTGCTGGAGCCCGCCTCTTTTAAAGGTGGGGGGCGCGGACCGGTCATAGAGCCCATAGAGTTAAAGTTGGTGGACTGTAACCTGTAAAATCCATAGATTTAGGAGGTCTTCTAGTGGCCGTTAGCTGTAAAAATCCATAGATTAGCCGCACCGTTATATAAGCCGCAGGGTCGAAAAATTGGGAAAAAAGGCGCGGCTTATAGTCCGAAAATTACGGTACTTGATGCTCGTGTAGAATACTAAATAAAGCCTTGCTCGCCTAAATAATGTCATAAATCATCAACAATCTACACCGAACAAAAATATAAACGCAACATGTAAAGTGCTGGTCCCGTGTTTCATGAGCTGAAATAAAAGATCCCAGAAATGTGCGGAGGAGTATTTCTGTCTGTAATAAATACATTTTGTGGCTCCCCAGTGGGTGGGCCTATTCCCTCCCAGGCCCACCTATGGTTGTGCCCCTGCCCAGTCATGTGAAATCCATAGATTAGGGCCTAATTTATTTATTTCAATTGACTGATTTCTTTATTTGAACTGTAACTCAACAAAATCTTTGAAAATAAATGAAAAGCTGTGAAAACGATCCAACATGTTTCCGATAGTATTTCAATTAGTCTTGGATGCAAATTTGATGTGGTTGAAAATGGAATCCAGTCAGCTTTTATGTCGCTGAAAGAAATTGCACGTTTAGGCTACACAGCCCAGTCCCTAAACACGCATTCGCATCCAATCATATTTCGCCACTCCTGTTCCCGAGACAAAAATGTACATTTGGTCTATCATTTTACTGCGAGGAACACTTCATTATGCTGGAGTTTATATTATAATAGGCTACATATGAAGCCTACAGTCAGTGTCCAGACTTCCGTTACTATTCCAACTATTCCAAAATAATTCCGGCCTCCATACAGTGCACTGTGCACCCGCCATTTGATCAATGCAAAGAGACATCAGTTACAAAACACCAAAGTCTTATGAATGGCATTCTGTGATTGTCATTCATTAGGCCTACACAAGTCTTGTAACCTGAATGTATGTGTACACTGCTGTCCGTGCGCATCTCGGTCTTGGCCACTCATCTCTGCATTGGCAAAATTTCAGTGTTATTGTCGAACCCCACCGCACTTCGAGCGTAGGCTATTCAACACCTCTTCAAGTCTATTCGCACATTTTTCACACGACTAATGATAGTGTGATAGCCTACAGTTTTCTTGAAATCTCTTTTAATTATTGTGATAGGCTCATGTTTTACCGGTACGGCTTACCCCCACTATTTATTTTGCCGGTACTCCGTACTGGACCGCACTGGCTTACTTTCACCCCTGAGTATATCTGATTTTTTGTATTGTTCAGCACTCCCTGTCCCGCCATTGATTTTCATTGGCTATGCTCATACAGTCATGGCTCACTTATCTACATGTGCAGAATGCAGCTGAACAGCACTTCAGCTCTGAAAAGATAGTCGTCAGCACATGGAGGACACTGTCTGTCTGGGGGTAGTAGCTTTAATACATTTCTCAGTCTGAAAACATGCTCGCTTCAATCCACCACAGGACCGCATACTGTGCAACACCCCAGAAAATAGGATGGTTGCTGAGCAGAGCACGTCGTCACATCATTGCTTTTAGGGATAAACAAAGACAAATCTTAGAGTTCTCATCAGCTAGCTTTTAAAAGGCCATCGAGGGCGGGTCAGAGAGAGACAGATGAAGAGAGAGAGAAAGAGAGAAATGAGAGAGAGATGAAAGAGAAATTGAAATTGAAAGAGACAGAGAGAAAGGCTGGGGGTAGTGTCCTACATGTAGACTGGACTGAGAGAGGAGAACAGCCTGTGGGTAAAGAAGCTAGCTAGGCAGCAGGGGGAGCGCTTGATGCCCAGTGTGTGTGGCTGTGGAAAATGACCCCCTCCTCCCTATAGTGGAAGATGACCCCCTTCTACTGTATCCATTCAGACAGCCTCCAAGCCTTTCTGTCTGGGAAGGACCTGGGCACGCCACAAGGCCACTCACCAGGCCCAGCTACTCACATACAGGCCACTGTTAGAGCAAGGAGCCATTAGCCAGCCAGCACAGCCCCCATCACACAGAAAACACCACAACAACCCCATCCCCCCCTCACTGATTCAGAAACACACACACGCACAAACACACACGCTGAAACAAACACAAAATGAAACACATTAGCACAAATACACTACAACAAGGGCTTGGTTGTGTCCAGCCTGGCATGAGTATTGCCCCAAATCCACCATCTCATCCACCCTTCCTCTAATTCTCCTCCCCTCATCTCTCTCTGCCCCTCCAGTCCTCTCCCTCTCTTCATCTCAAGCACCACCCCTCTCTGCTCCTCATACATCTCTGCCTTCATCTCAAAGCCTCTTCTCTGTCACTCCTCCTGCATCTCTCTCTATTTCTCTCTCTGTCTTCATCTCCAGCCAATCATGTCGCCATAGGAACCTCTGATGTCTAACTGCTCCCCAGTCCAGCTCAGTGTTCCGCACCACAGTGGTAGGTAGGGGGAGAGAGAGAGCGAGAGAGAGTTAGAGAGAGCTCCTTGACTTAGCATGGATCTACTACTAATTGGATTTTCATTTTTCAGTTGCCTTTTTTCTCCACGGCTCATTGTGTGCCTGCTCTGCCTGGGTGGAGGCATTCACAGAGCTGGTTAGGGCCCAGTAAGGTTCTGGGACATAATGGCCATTAATTAGGAAAGTAGAGGCACAGCGAGAGGAGCAGAGCAGTCCGGGAGGGACAGAGAGAGGGACTGAGGATACTAACGTCATATAGTTGTACTGAGTCCCATGTGCAAGCACACAGACACACACAGTACACACAGATACAATCAATGACCCATGCACCCTCCTAGCCAGTTGTTTAATCAAAGCCAGACACTGCTGGTCCTCTGTAGTCACTGTAGAGCCAATCAGAGAGGTCACCTGTGCTCCACAGCAGGACTCTGATTGGATGACAGACCAGGCAGTGTGCACTCTGGGTAACTCTGCCCTCTCAGCACTATGATTCCCAGCCCAGAGGAACCAACCAGGACCACCCCTCACTGTGTGCCCTGACAGAGACCTTGCATAATTTATCAGAGAAAACATACACAAAGCTCTGGCACACAGATTCTCCTACATAACAACTCTGACAAGTAAACACATACTTACTTTTGAAGCCTGCCGATGCCACCTCTGATAGTCTGCCAGTGTGTCGAAGTTAACAAAGTATGTCTGGGCCTGGGGTCCAGCTGAGCTGAACATCAGACAGTGCTGTCTCCTCTTCACCTCCTCCACCTGAACATACAGAACAGAAAGGGTGAGGAGGCCAGACAAAGACATCCACTGATGTTCCCAATAAATTACAAAACGGCATTATGGTGCCTACTGGCTCTGTCCATATTAGGCAGAGACACATGTGCTTAAGTGTGCCTGAATGTGCATGTCTATGGCTGCATTTACACAGGCAGCCCAATTCTGATATTTTTTTCAAACTAATTGGTCTTTTGACCAATCAGATCAGCTCATTTGCCAATAATTGGGCAAAAGATCAGAATTGAGCTGCCTGTGTAAACACAGCCAATATGTGTGTGTGTGTGTGTGTACTAGTGTGTGTTTGTATGTGTGTATTTCTGTATTTGCTCCCTTCTCATTGTACTGTACAGTGCATCCCCTCTGTCCGTCTGTCAGTCCCAGCTGTGTTGTTGTATCTGTGATCTGCTGTTGTTTCTGTCTCTCTTTGACCCCTGGGGAATGCATGGGCTTGGAAAACAACGTCTCTCCAACCCCTGACCTCTAACCCCTCACCTTTCCCCCCACCAGAGGCAGGATGTGCATCTTCCCCGTCAGGCTGTCTTTGACAGAGGCCACAATCAGACAGGTGCCACACAGGAGGACCTGGCGCTCTGCCCACTTGTGCAGCTGGGTCTTGCCCTTCCTGACGCTGAACACGCCCGTCAGCAGGGTCCGCTCCTGCTGGTCCGCGTTCACCGGACACTCTGGGGGAAGCCAAGGGAGGAGAGGGGTTAGTTAAAGAACATGGTCACATATCACTTACGCAAAAACACACCTTTGCACAGACACACACACATACTCCACACAGAGCACATACATCCCAACCACTCCCCCACCACACCCTGTACACAAACAATACATTACGTTAATTAATACCATATGTTCTCAAGGGGGTTGTGCTTTCAAGAGACAAAGACAAGGAGAGGGCTAGACGCTGCCAGAACATGAAGTCAAACTGATAAACAGGTCACGATGATGTCACCTATGCATTAGTCAATGAATAGCACATCTCTTCCTGGAAGTGTTCTTATGTCAGCAGATCAGCCCAGCATATAGTCTCATTATCCTCCTAATAGACCTTCGCTGAGATCTCTAGAGCATGCCGAACATCTGATATGACAAACTGTAATAACGTATCAAAACCCATTTATTCGCTAGATGGAATCTAAAGGTAGTTTGAAGGCTTTATAATCTATGGCTTCATCCATGGTAGAGATGACAGGTGTGTGAGTGTCAATCCCTCTAACATCTGATCAGAGATCACTGGGCTGCTGACAAGCTTGATCAAAACACCAGGTGATACAGGTGAGCATTCATTGGCCCAACTCGAGGTGTCCCTAGCGTTTGATCAGTCTCCCCTTTTCATTAACACACACACACGACTTTGCGATTGTTCTCAGAAATGCTCTAACCCAGATGCATCAGTCAGGCTTTTGTCACATTAAACCCTCTTTCAATCTAATTATGTAGCAGGGAGGTGAGGCTAGTGTTGCAGCCTGAGTATGCTGTTGCTGAAGGACACAAACAGCAGGCCTCCCTCCCTCCCTTTGCTCTGCCAGGCCTCAAGTACACTCTGGTTAAAGGCTGGTCAAATAAGCACAAAGGGCACACAACAACTTTTCTCCTCTGTTTTCAATTTCCCTTGAAATAACAAGGTCTGCGTTTTCCATAATAGCACCTCCTTGTCTCAAACTCCCAGAGGCAGGCAGACACGTCCTCGCTCTCTCTGCCCTTTTCTGTCTTCTCCTTCACGTCTAAGGATCAAAACGAATCGTCAGGCTGCTTGTCTTTGTGTTGTCTGGAAAACCCATAATGAACAAGACAACGGCCTCTGACAGCAGACTGGGCCGCTGGCGCTGGCTGGGGGATCAATAGTGGTGTCTGATCCCAGGGCTTCCCCTCTGTCAGAGAGAAAAGGACCAGAGTGCCTCAACTCCAGCACAAAGGCCCTAGGGGCCAAGGGCAGCCAGGGAGAACCGGCCTTAGAAGGAAAGGGAGAGGGGAAGAGCAATAGACAGGGAAAGAGGGAGAGAGAGAGAGGGGGAGAGCTGCATCATTGCCCTGTCCTCTATGTGTCTGTGAGGGTGAAAGAGGCTGACCTGTCAAAGACAGAGCCTTGTAGCCCTGTAGTGGATCCACATACAGCCAGGAATAGACACAGGCAGACAGGACGCACTCTCCCACTGGCACCACAGCAAATCCACTACAAACAGCCACATTCCTCCCTCATCCACACACTCATCCCCCAATGCACTGCTGCTTACCAGCCCCACCCCCACAAGTCTCTCTCACTTTCACATCTCGCCTTCCAACTGAATAAAACACCTAATAATCACCTCCCTGTTCTCTACACCTCTCTGTGAAATGATCCAAGAACACACACGCCAATACAGCACGTCAATACAATCTCAGTCCCACTGCGCAGTCTCACCTCCAACATCACACAAACACTGCTTCATTATTAGAAATAGTGTTGACATGGCAGTGGGTTGTGAGAAAGAGGATGGTATATTTGTTTGTAGCTACGCACGTGATGACAAAGCTGGAAAACCCCCAAAAACAAGTGTGCCCCTCCAATGAGCCAGGGAAGACTGAAAGCCGCTTCTAAATAGAGTTAGGTTTCTACAGCAATACGAAGAGAAGTCACTCAATATTGGGGTTGGTTGCTTTTTGTAGGCCTACGGCAAAAAGAGTGTAAACTCAAGGAACCAATCAAAAGCTGAAAGCGAACCGAGGCAGATGAGACCAAAATCGAGCTCTTGCCATCAACTCTATTCGCCGTGTTTGAGGAGGAGGAATGCTGCTATGCCCCAAGACACCATCCCCACCGTCAAATGGAGGTGGAAACATTATGCTTTAGGGGTGTTTTTCTGCTAAGGGGACAGGACAACTTCACCGCATCAAAGGGACGATGGACAGGGCCATGTACCGTCAAATCTTGGGTGAGAACCTCCTTCCCTCAGCCAGGGCATTGAAAATGGGTCGTGGATGGGTATTCCAGCATGACAATGACCCAAAACACACGGCCAAGGCAACAAAGGAGTGGCTCAAGAAGAAGCACATTAAGGTCCTGGAGTGGCCTAGCCAGTCTCCAGACATTAATCCCATAGAAAATCTATGGAGGGAGCTGAAGGTTTGAGTTGCCAAACGTCAGCCTCGAAACCTTAATGACTTGGAGAAGATCTGCAAAGAGGAGTGGGACAAAATCCCTCCTGAGATGTGTGCAAACCTGGTGGCCAACTACAAGAAACGTCTAACCTCTGTGATTTCCAACAAGGGTTTTGCCACCAAGTACTAAGTCATGTTTTGCAGAGGGGTCAAATACTTATTTCCCTCATTAAAATGCAAATCAATTTATAACATGCATTTTTCTGGATTTTTTTGTTGTTATTCTGTCTCTCACTGTTCAAATAAACCTACCATTAAAATTAGACTGATCATGTCTTTGTCAGTGGGAAAACGTACAAAATCAGCAGGGGATCAAATACTTTTTTCCCCTCACTGTACTCCACACAGAGCACATACATCCCAACCACTCCCCCACCACACCCTGTACACAAACAATACATTAAGTTAATTAATACCATATGTTCTCAAGGGGGTTGTGCTTTCAAGAGACAAAGACAAGGAGAGGGCTAGACGCTGCCAGAACATGAAGTCAAACTGATAAACAGGTCACGATGATGTCACCTATGCATTAGTCAATGAATAGCACATCTCTTCCTGGAAGTGTTCTTATGTCAGCAGATCAGCCCAGCATATAGTCTCATTATCCTCCTGATAGACCTTAGCTGAGATCTCTAGAGCATGCCGAACATCTGATATGACAAACTGTAATAACGTATCAAAACCCATTTATTCGCTAGATGGAATCTAAAAGAGTTTTAAGGCTTTATAATCTATGTCTTCATCCATGGTAGAGATGACAGGTGTGTGAGTGTCAATCCCTCTAACATCTGATCAGAGATCACTGGGCTGCTGACAAGCTTGATCAAAACACCAGGTGATACAGGTGAGCATTCATTGGCCCAACTCAAGGTGTCTCTAGCGTTTGATCAGTCTCCCCTTTTCATTAACACACACACACGACTTTGCGATTGTTCTCAGAAATGCTCTAACCCAGATGCATCAGTCAGGTTGATTAATGCATCAGTCAGGCTTTTGTCACATTAAACCCTCTTTCAATCTAATTATGTAGCAGGGAGGTGAGGCTAGTGTTGCAGCCTGAGTATGCTGCTGCTGAAGGACAAACAGCAGGCCTCCCTCCCTCCCTCCCTTTGCTCTGCCAGGCCTCAAGTACACTTAGGTTAAAGGCTGGTCAAATAAGCACAAAGGGCACACAACAACTTTTTTCTCCTCTGTTTTCAATTTCCCTTGAAATAACAAGGTCTGCGTTTTCCATAATAGCACCTCCTTGTCTCAAACTCCCAGAGGCAGGCAGACACGTCCTCGCTCTCTCTGCCCTTTTCTGTCTTCTCCTTCACGTCTAAGGATCAAAACGAATCGTCAGGCTGCTTGTCTTTGTGCTGTCTGGAAAACCCATAATGAACAAGACAATGGCCTCTGACAGCTGACTGTGCCGCTGGCGCTGGCTGGGGGATCAATAGTGGTGTCTGATCCCAGGGCTTCCCCTCTGTCAGAGAGAAAAGGACCAGAGTGCCTCAACTCCAGCACAAAGGCCCTAGGGGCCAAGGGCAGCCAGGGAGAACCAGCCTTAGAAGGAAAGGGAGAGGGGAAGAGCAGTAGAGAGGGAAAGAGGGAGAGAGAGAGAGGGGGAGAGCTGCATCATTGCCCTGTCCTCTATGTGTCTGTGTCAGTGAGGGTGAAGGAGGCTGACCTGTCAAAGACAGAGCCTTGTAGCCCTGTAGGGGATCCACATACAGCCAAGAATAGACACAGGCAGACAGGACGCACTCTCCCACTGGCACCACAGCAAATCCACTACAAACAGCCACATTCCTCCCTCATCCACACACTAATCCCCCAATGCACTGCTGCTTACCAGCCCCCCCTCCCCCCACAAGTCTCTTTCTCACCTTCACATCTCACCTTCCAACTGAATAAAACACCTAATAATCACCTCCCTGTTCTCTACACCTCTCTGTGAAATGATCCAAGAACACACACGCCAATACAATCTCAGTCCTACTGCGCAGTCTCACCTCCAACATCACACAAACACTGCTTCATTATTAGAAATAGTGTTGACACTGGTGCAGTGGGTTGTGAGAAAGAGGGAATGGTTGATATTTTGTTTGTAGCTAGCGCACAGTGATGACCAGAGCTGGAACAACCCCCAAAAACACTACAGTGATAAGCCCTCTCTCCACAATGGAGCCAGAGGGACAGACTGAAAACGCCGCTTCTAAATAGAGTTAGCGTTTTCTACAGCAATATGAGGAAAGAGAAAGTCACTCAATATTTGGGGGTTTGGTTGCATTTTCAGAGACGGCAGCAGAATGTAGCTCAAGGACAATACAGTACTCCTTGGGCTATTTTAAACAAAGTGTAGCCCTAAAAAGCCCTTCAAATCAAATCTACTTAGAGATCTTCTGACTATCACGCAGGATGTCAACAAGCGTTTCTAAATTGGACATCCCCCTGGACGCTCGACACAAAATCTGAGGAGCGGGCCTCTGCACAGAGCAGCATCACGCTGAAATAATTGAACGCATAGAGACACTGAGCTGTGCTCTGCTCTC